CTCGAAAGTTCCTTGGAAGTAACATACTTAGTAACTCTTGTTAAAATAATAATACAACAGTTTTTACATTTAATTTAATTTGCAATATCGAGTTTCAACAACAAATCACATGCGGTTTGCGACATTAGAAGCATACTAATGCAACTAAAGAAGAAATATTCCCTAAATTGTAAACATACATATATTAATAAACACTTGTATGTATATTATGTACAAAATACAAGCTTTAACACTTAAAGAAGAATAATATTTGTTTTCGTAGTAAAAGCTGATTGAAATCAGTGTTGATTCCAAGAAATTATATCAGCTAAATTCTTGTTATTCTTGGGCGAACAAAATATAAACAATAAAGTCAATTCCCATTTAAAAGTTGTGTATTTTTAAAGGGAAAAAATAATAAACATTAATGAGTGCCCATAATATTTTATTTTATTTTATTTTATTCTTTTTTTAATTAATAACAATAATGTTCTTCATTTATGGTGAAAAGATGTTAATGTAAAAATGTAATGTCTTTATTAAAGAAAAGAAACATAAAAAAGTAATATAAAAATATGTAAAAAATAGTAAAATAATAAAAAAGCAAGGTTTAATTTATAAATTTAAACAAAGCAAGTAGTAATAGCTAACTTAGTACTCCATTAAAAGAGGTTATTTCAAAATAATAAACAACTTAAGACATCAGGGGCAGGAATTAGCACCATTTTCTTCTCTAATTTAATAGAAACATTTAACTTTTAAATTATTCTATGAGCTTCCAAGTGATTTAGCAATTATTTCACTCAAGTATTCCCCCACACACTTTTTATTTTGATTTCTAATGGGATGTTGTCTCTATTTTTATGGGGAGCCCCACACCTTTGCATATTATACCCATTTCCACTCGATTTTAAATATTCAAGATTCTTTTGTATATTCCTGTTTCTTTTTTCCCATTTTTGTTGTGAAAAAAAAGAAAAAGAAAAAACAGCACATGAAATTATCGCTCGAAGTCAATAAACTGTCACCGAACGACCCCAAAAAATAAGAACAACACGTTGTTGCCGGGGGGTGTTGATTCTGGGGGTTGGGGGTGGATGTCGCTTGGGGGTGGTAGTGGTGCAAAAAAAGGCAAGAGCAAAGAGCAAGAATCGAGAGAAAAGGCAGCGGGCATAGACACATATTTTTTTCGGGGTCTCCATGCTCCTCCATGTGTGGCCTTCGGTGTTCGCTCTTCGGTGGGTGGTGGGCGGTGGACAGTCGGTGGTGCTGCCAATGAACTGCAATCGGTTAAGAGGGCCTCAAGGTCAACGTCTGGCACACAAAAAAACACCGGCGGTGCCGGTGCCAGTGCCTGAACTTGAATTGAACCTGAACCCGAATCTGAATTTGAACCTGAACCCATCTAAAAATGGACCTTGAACCAAGTTTAGTGACAGAGTGCAAGTTGATTCCTAACTAAGAATTACCCAATCAGCTAAGGGGCGAAATTCAAGCAAAAAATATATAAATACTTATTAAAGGCATTCAAATATATTGCCAGGTTGGCTATGGTTAAGGGGAATATTATATGTCATAGGGAAAATTCTGATATAATATATGAAAAATAATATTGATTTTTATATACTGAATTTCAAAATATTTGGATGTTCCAAATAAAATTTAAAAAAAAACTTGTAATATCGAAAAATATCGCATTTAATGTTGAAATATCGATATTACTTTGATAGTTTAAATATGAAGAATTATCGCATTTAATGGTAAGATATCGATATTTAATATCATATCGAAACTTTGATATACATAATTTGGAAAAATCAAAATAACTATTGTTTTTTACGTTTAAGAATCGATATTACTATATCGAATTTTAAATCCTAACCTAACCTAATGGTATTAATTTTATTGATCACTGTTTCGTTTTTTGTTAATTTTTTTTTTATCGTAATTTATTTCTATTGAATTTAAAATACATTTTTTTTTAAATTTATACATTTATATTTCCTATCATTTCTACTGCATTTCCTAAAATATTTTATACATTACTACTTTTACTATTTAATACTTAAGGTTTTTTTTAATTAATCTAATAAAATCTAATACATTCAAGTAAGTATAATAAATAAACAAGTATAAACACAACAAATTGTTGTTATTTAATCGTAATTACTTGTACTTAATAACTAAGTTTATTAATTACCATTTTTAATGGCATATATACCTATTTATTTATATATATATTTATTGTCCCAATTGATGTAACTCAAAATCCCATGATTAATACTTAGTAAAAAAAAACTATTTGTTTACGCCAACTATTTCAAGGTTCGATTGGTCAATGAAATGAGGAACCACTGACCCACAAAGCCCGGTTGCCAGTACCAAGTAAAGCCATCTCTAATCTCCCGGACCCGAACCCGTACCCCGCAGCCGCAGTCCTACCCCCTGGCCCCACCCGGACTCCTGCTCCTCCACTCCCCAGTCCGTGTGTTCGTTCGGAATCGGAATCGGAATCGTTGGTGGTCGGTGCTCGGGATTCATTATCGGGGAGTTGGGGATCCTGTCTGCACTCCGTCTGGCCGGCTGGCGACCTTGGGCAACCCCCGCTTGAGCCGGGTACATTGCACCCCCCTCCCGAAAACGTGTGAGAGAGTGTGTACCGATGACCTTTCACCCCGCGGCAAGTCGAGCTTTTCCATTTGCCATTTTCCACACTTCTCCCATGAAAACAGAGTCAGAAGCTGAAACAGAAGCCAGCAGCAGCAGTGGAATCACTTGAGCGGCGCGTGGGCCCACGACTTGTAAACAGAATCGTGTTTACTATATGCCACACTTCCACTACATATATGCAACAGCGGGGGGCAAGAAAATAGCACTGCCTTCTAAAGGCAGCTTTGTTAGAAGCAGTTGGGAATTTTATGGATGGATGGATGGATGGATAGATAGATAGATAGATAGATATTGATGATGCTATTGTTGTGACCCCAACTGTATACAAATAGGTACTAAGGGTGAGTACAACATATAGTATTTACGATTAGAATTGAGATTTCAAAATAAATCATTAACCGCATTTCAATCATTTTCATCAATTAAATCATTCACCAAAAATAAAACGAAACCGATAACGAAAATAAAACATGAGAGATTTGAATTTAAAAACAAACTAAAATAGTATAACAAAATCTAACGCTGCGATATATGTGCGATTTATCGATATCCCGTTTGATATATCGAACTAACATAATATTAAATAATAATATATAAATAAATCAATTAAAATGTTCCTATGCATGCATATTTTATATAATTAAACGCGGTGAATCTCGCTGTGATTGTAAACAATTGTACAAATAGTCGCAATAACAATTAAAATTGATTTCCTTGCGATTAGCGACCGCTCGGAGATTTCACAATTTCTGAGAGTCAATCGGTGATTGAGGAGTGGGCGGGCGGTGCGTGAGGAGCGAAGGAGCACAAGGGTATCGGTTCGGTAGATGTAGCTGCAGCTATAGCCAGAGCCGTAGGCTATATCTGATCTGGGTGACCCGCTTCCAATCCTGCAATCTGGCCGATTTCCCACGTGGCCATTATAATGCACTCTTAGAAATATTTGTTTATATTTCATTTTGGTTAATATTTCATAAAAAACTATGCCGAATTAGCTCTTAAAATCTCACGACAAATAAAAATTACACTATTGCACATATAATTCTCAACTGGTTCTAAAATATCCGGAAATAAAGGGACGGCTGCCGGTCATAGATACAAGCAGTGGTGTTTGTGTGTTTTTAAATATTGGTTATTACCATTACATATTTAAATACCCAAAAAGTAACTAAATTTGTCCTTAAATAAAGAAAAACGGCCCTTAAATTTAGAAAAAATTGTTTCATAGCTAAGAAAGTCGTTAATGTTAGGAAACGTTTGTCCCATATTTAGGACACAATTCTACATTCAAAAAAAATCTTCCTAGATTGGATATAGTTTTTTTTCAGAGGCTTTTTAAGGTAACAATTTTTATAAGTGTCTCTGCCGTGAGACCCCAAGACCCCATTTTAAATGCAAATTATATTGACAATTTTCGATTTGGCGATAGCAAAGGCCATCACAGCCGATCTGAAAGAAAATTACCCCTTTAAGAAAGCTACAAAGTGTCTAAAATGAATGTTTTTTTTTATGATTTATTTTCAAGGATTACAGTTAACATCACATTTGATATTATAAATATCCTACTTACTTAAGTATGTAAAGATGTTAAAACTGACACCTTCTTCATAGTTTTTTTTAACGATTTTAAGAAAAATATCAATTTTGTGTTTTTTTGTAATAATTTTTACTGTTAAATCATTTCTGTAATTCACTGCTGTTAATTTACAGCCTCTGTAAACTTCTGCTGCTAACTAAAAGTTGTTAGTGATAGCCGCCAGAGGGAGCTCGCTTTCAGGCAGCCAGCAGAGGGCGTCATGGTAAGAGGTTTGCGTCTGTGATAGGCCGAAACAATAACTATCGTTAGCAGTTGTTAAATTTTAAATTTTAAATGGATGAAATTATTACGCAAGGAGCAAAATTCTCGGTCATACTCTGAGTTTATTTTTAATTAAGCAACATAGATACGATTACAATCGATAGTTGAGTTTACAATATTATCGATAGTGCTATCGATACCATAGCAATCTCAGTTCATTTGTTTAAATTAACCAAATTGAAAATATAAATTGTATTTTTAACATTAAATAAACTTCTATTCAAGCAATGGAAAAAGCGAAATAAAAAAATTACACAAGGTAATCGGAATAAATTAATTTAATAAAATACACGTTGACATGGCTTTCATTAGAATATAATATATATAGAATATAGAATTGAATTGTATCTCAGAATGAAGTGAATTCATAACATTTCAATAATTCAATTCTAACGCCTTTTTTCGAAAACAATATCGATATCTTTCAGCTCGCTCTTTCTCTATCGATAGTGCCATCGATAGCAGCGAAGAGCAATCGACCATCAGCTGTTCGCGACGCGACGTCGGCAGAGAAAAACGCTTGAGAAAAAAAATCGGTGCCTTTTGTTGTAAACGACAGACTCGCGCAGTACCGCAGACGCCGAAACCGCCCGTCGAGCACCGCCGCCCACCAGCAGTCGTAGTAGCGTAACTCCAAACAACAACAGTAACCACCCCCGGAGCGGGAGTTGCCTGGTTTTCCGGAGTTTGGAGCGGCAAACCAAAGCGTCCGCGTCGCAACGCATCGTAGCATCTCGCGTCGCGTCTGTGGAATCAAAATTAACCGTTTTTCCAGTGTTTAGCGCGTAAAACTCTCCGAAGTAAGTGTGAATTGGAGAAGTATCTAAGAGTTAAAACATCTACCAAAGTGCAAGGCACCAACTAAGTGCCAGTGTATGCGTGTGTGTGTGCATGTGCGGTTTTAACAGTTACGTCTGGCACAGATAACCGTCTTGCGCTCTTCTTCTTTTTTTTTCCATTGCCACACGCTGCACTATTAGCTAGCTGTACATTGTGTGCGAGCGAGAGAGCGCGAGCATAGCGTAAGCGCGAGCGCACGGCATCGACGATCTCCCTCTCCCCTGCTCAATAGGAATAGTAAAAGCAATAACAATAAATAGTATTTGCTTTAACCGTGGCTATAATAGTGGCTGTGCCTGCAAATTGTTAAGTTAAATAAATTGAAGTCAGTGTATTTTAGCCGATTTGATGTCCTTGACATAATTTTCTTCGGCTCTAGCCATCGATTATTCTCCATGAGACACGAGCACACCCTCTCTCTCTCTCCATCCCCTCTCTCCGGCTCACAAGGGGGTTGAAGGCTGAGACTGCTGCTGCTGCTTTTGTTGTTGTCTGTGGCCCGTTATCATGGCTCTGGCCGTGTGTGGTGTGATAAGAAGTGAAGAAAATAAAGCGAGGTAAAGAATCAACTTGCAGACCACATCCCCTTGCGGTCGGTTGACGCTTGCTTAATTTTATTTATAGCCACTGGAATTTTCTTCTCCCACAGAGCTGATTATCTTCTTGACCTTCGGCATGTGTGTTCATGGGAAATAAAAAATTCAAAGATTATCGACGAATCCCAAACTCTTGGAAGTCAGAGGCACCCTAAAAATAGTACAAGCATAACACGCAAGCACATAACTAAACAGGGTGTCGTAGATCAACGGCAGAGGGAAAGGGATGGCAGCAGGCCAAGTTCATTGTCCTTGATCAGTGCATAGAAAGGGATAGAGCGAGTGAGAGAGGGAGAGGGAGTATGTGGTAACGTGGGAGAGTTAGGCGGAGTGAGCGAGGGGACAATATGCGGGAAAGTGACTCTCCCCCGTTGACGTGTCACCGAAGGAGAGAGCAAAGTCATGAGCGTGTCAAAGGGGGTGGCACTGCACTGTTTGATCACCCTCCAAAAAAAATATACCATTTTGTTGGTATAATATAATATTTTTATTTTTTTATTGTAAAAAAGTAAAAAAAAATTGTTCTTTTTTTATACTTATATTTTTTTAAAGCTTTTTTTAAACCCTTTAATTTACTACAATGATTTCTGATTGTGTTCTTTAATTAACTACACATTTCCCGGATTCCCAGTGGAAATTCTACAATAAACAAACTGACCGCAAACACTGATCATTCATCGGTTGCCTACTCAATTTCTGCGAATGCAATTACCCTTCTGCAATTGAAAGACAAGACTGTTTATTGTAGAATATTTGAATTGAACTTGAAACCCCTGGGAGATTTATTTTTTTAACAACCGAATCGAACCCCAATCTGCGACTTTCACACGACCAAACGGGGGCTGTGATGCAACCCAACTCCAAGAACCCCTTGCCTCCCCAGAGACCCTCTGGATTATAGTATTATTTATACAACTAATATCTGAATACTCGCTCCATTTCGCGCTTATCAGCCGACTCCGACATGACCGAACAGGCTTTAATTATGTGGTGTCCCGGGGCTTGAGTCATGGATTATTCGTATGAGTTGGCTTGGGAAATGAATGTTTACTTTGTGAGCGCGGGTCTTATCAGGGTTCCCAGTACCTGCCAAACGAGGGCGGTACCTGCGAGTCAACACACACAGCTTTATCTACACCCCTACAGTAACTCCGTAAAGTCGGAAGGGAAGCCCCCGCCAACAGCCGACCGATAAGTGAATCTAGCTCTCCGGTTCAGATCAGTCCAGTAACCTGTCGTTTACCTGTTTACCGGGACTCATCATGTTCAGTCTAGTCTCGTTCTCCAAAACATTCAGACGTCAGTCATATTCACTATATATTAAATCTATATATATTTTCTATAAACAAAATCTGGCCATAGTCACGAATGAAAAATCAAGTAACCAACCAACATTGAGCGGCATTAGTAGCTTCTTCTGGCAGCCTCAATGCGGAAGTGTTTGGCCTGAGTAAGTTTTCTGGTTACGCTTTTGTGGTCAGCGGGGAAAAAACGAAATGAAAATAATGAGGAAAAGAAACACCTACCCAGAGAGAGAGAGAGAGAGGAAAAACAGAGAGATCTTGCACCCGCCGCAAACAAGCAACACTTAACGCCCATAAATTAATTACAGTCAGACACGAAGGGGCCATAAACTATATATTAATAGAAGTATGGAGAAATTTGGTAAAAGAATCTGCAATAGATCACTAATTAGCTGTATCTGCTGCTTTTACCAGGTTTATTTTCAACCAGAAAGTTCACAAAACTCCATACTATTGGGTTTAGCCTTGTTTTTCTATTAGATACAGTATCTTTAAGGGTATCTCTGGCTTCGATCCAGCCGTTTATTACATTCTTCCGTATGCACAGCGCAACTGAGAGAAGATACATCCAAAATACATGACAGGCAACAGTGGAGGCCCCCTAATTCTATTCTGTGATTGATACGCCCCCAAACGGAATGGGTGCGAAAAAGAGCCGAAAATAGAAAGGCAATTTCGGGGCTGATTAGCCGGGCCCAATGCCCAAAGCCCAATCCCACTACCAGACGTTGATTAATGGCCTTAAAGCCAAACTGTCGTCGTAGCAAAAAATAAAAAAAATTAAATAAGAAACACGAAAAACACCACAAATAAATTACAATTTTATTTAAATGCGAAAGGAACACCACACCATTCTAATTATTTATGTTGTATCTTCTCTCTTTTATTTTATTTGCAGCACTCGCATATATAACTATATATATATATATTTTCTACTCACATCGGAGACTTACTACGGCGCCTAAAGCAACTTGTTGGAGTTCGGACTTAAGACATTACTTAATTATTTTGTTTTTTTTTTTTTTTTCGTTTTGTATTCTATATAAATTTAATTGTTTGGTGGTCTTGATACTGCCATATTTTTTTGTTTGGTTTTGTGTGTGTTATTTTTCTGAGTGTAATTAAAACACCAGACACGCGGCTAGCGTTACGCAGCCGGTAAAATGTTTAGTCCCGAATATGAGAAACGCATCCTGAAGCACTGCAGTCCCGTGGCCCGGAATCTGTTTGATAATTTAGAATCTTCCACCACGCCCACATCCCTGGATCGCTTTATACCTTGCAGGTGAGTTTTTTAAAGGATTTTTAAAGAAATTAAGGGATATTATGATTGTATTTAAATATGTCCAAGGCTTTATTTCTATAAAAAAAAGTTTATGTGATTTTTTATTATTATTTTTAAGTTTAAAAATTAAATTATTATTAAATTATTTATTTAATCAGTTATTCAATTTAAAAATGTGTGTATTAAAGTTAATATATGACTTAAAACTATAATAATATATAACATAAATCGACTATAAATAATAATTTTTAAAAACTAATGAGCATTTGCTTTAGTAAATACTTTTGTAATAATATATAATTTTTTTTTTAAATATATTATATATAACGACTTTAAATAATATTGCTTAAATCTTAACAAGCATTTTATTCAGTAAATAATGTAACTGTACAAATTTCAACTAAATACTCAATTCAAAACCAAGTGTATCTCATGGATACTTTATCTATAATACCTTTATAATATTTTCGTAATTTCTTTAGAAAATTTTGGCCAAAGTTCATTAACCTTTGCCCGCAAGCTTTTTCATTCTGCTACGTCATCTTTTCCGTTTACAAGGCAAAAAGTACAACAAAGAATAAACAGCAGCGGATACAAAACAAAAAGAAAAAAATTATGAATTTCCCGCCTGGCTGGGCCTCGTTTAGCTAACGGTAATAGCAGTAAAAGACAATAAATAGCAACAAAAAGCCAACAAACATGAAACACAACATAATTTTAGACTTTTAGATTTTAGAAAGGAACTACTACACATATATTTTTTTTTTTTTTTTAATAAGTTTAAATGATAAAGACAGATTTTATAAAGTTATCTAAGTAATTTTTAAGTTTTTAAGATTGATTTATCGAAGCCTAAATGTTTAGGGAAAGAAACTAATATAATTTTTAAAGTTTAAATGTTATTTTTGAAAGGAGATTGTATATATTTTATAGCAAAGATAATATAAGTAACTCTGAACTCTATAAATATATATAAATTATATACTTTACCCCAAAATTATATCTCCTTGATTCGCTAATGAGTTCACAAGAAGACAAGCACAGAGACTTTGTGTTACTAACGACAACTTCATGGGAAAACCCGGAAATTTGAACTTTTGGGTCAACTCTTTGGGGTTCAAGAATGAGCCGAAAGACACACTCACGACAGGTTCAGTGGAAGTTAAAGAAGAGATAAATAACGAAACATTTTTTAATTTGCGTAGAAACGTAATTATACTTCCGGTTACACAGAGCGCAGTTTCCTGTCAACCTGAGCCTTCTTTTTAATTGAATTGTCGTACAAAATATGCTTTTATATTTGTATATATTTTTTGTTTCCGAGCCCCCCCCCCCAGAGGCCTCCAGCTTGTGAAATTTTGATTTATTCGAGGTGGAAGTGAGCACTTCAAATGCGTTTGTCAGATAATCAAAAAGGGGTGAGAGGTGGAGAGGGTTTACCGCAACGCTTATTGCATTCCTAAGCAGTTGCACTGCAGTGGGGTGGGGTGGGGAAGTTATAACCCAAAAAAAAACCTGACAAATGCCACACAAAAATTCTCTCACACTTGGACAAATTTCATGGCAAAATGATTATTATTTGTATGACTTTGTCACCTTTTGTTTTTTTGTGCAAATTTTGCACAATTCGACCGTCAATAATATATATATTTTTTTGCACGTTGCACACGTTTTTTATGTTTAATGGGGTAGAAATAATAACAATTGTATTGTATGAGGCTAAGGGGGGCTGCCAGCCAGCCAGCCAGCCAGACTATATGGCTAAATTGAATTTGAACGTTATTGCATAAATTTATTTAGTCTGCGCTTCTATCACGCTTCCACTGTGGATTGTCTTTCTTTTTATATATATTTATATAAATTATTAATGTAAGGCCAAAGCATTTTTTGATGTTCTTTAGTTTCTCAGTGCTGCAACAAGGCAAAGTCATGGGCATAGGCGTCGCTGAAAAGGGTTTAGTGAAAACGCTTTTTAATAAAAAAAAGTGATAACTATCGATAGAAAATAGAAATTATATCGAAAGTTTTATTAACTTTAATAAATTTGAAATTTTTTAAATAGAAAGTAAGCAGGATTAATATTAAATCGATTTTAATGTTTACGTATAAATATTATAAATAGTTAGATAAAAAAATATTATTGATTTTTTATATTTACCTTTTTTTTGATCCGATATATTAAGCTCCCGATAAAATATTAATTTATATATCGATTTTCTTTTAAAATATCGATAAAGTATCGATATATCAATATTTTCTGGTTTTTCTTTTACAAAAAAAAGAAAAAAACAAAAATTAAATTCTCTTTCTTTAAAAACTCTCACTTTTAGTATATAATATTCTTTCATTTCTAAAAAAAATATTTTTAAATAATAAAAACTCTCCAAGAAACCCCCCCCCCATTGGCTAAGCCCTTGTCTGGTAGCTAGAGTTTTCTCTGGTTCTGGCCATAATTAATGGCATTTTCATTTCGCATTTGCATTAACATTTTCGTGTTTTTCCTTTTCCTACTATAATATGTATAAATGCTATCTTTTATTTTACCGCAGAGCGAACAACAACTGGCAGACGAACTTCGCCTCGATCAACAAATCCAATGACAACTCACCGCAGACGAGCAAGAAGCAGCGGGACTGTGGGGAGACGGCACGCGATAGTCTTGCCTACTCCTGCCTTCTCAAGAACGAGCTCCTCGGAACGGCCATTGACGATGTGAAGACCGCCGGCGAGGAGCGCAATGAGAACGCCTACACACCGGCGGCCAAGCGGAGTCTCTTCAAGTATCAGTCACCCACCAAACAGGTGAGTTTGGTTTCCAGTTTCCTCAACTTCTTTTTTTTTTTTTTTTTACTTCCACTCACTTGACTAAACTGAAACTGAACTAAGAAATATAGTAGAGGCTACGAGTGATACCAAGCTCCTAAAACTCAAAAAGACTCTTACAGGTCAAGTCAAGTCTACCTCAAGGAGAGAATTTCCGTTGCTTCGGTCTCTAAGTTCTCCTCTAAGGTCACCGCATTTGACTTTTGATTGAAGTTCCTTGGGTTCTCTCTATTGTGTGCTGCAGAATGCATTTAATTGAATTTGCAGTCGGTGCTAATTGAGGTTTTCTTGTACGTTTCTTGATTGCAAAAAAGATCACAACAGGCGGGGAGGTTGAATGAACCATTGGGATCGTGGGATATCTCTTTTGATTTCTTCCAAAGGCCAAATCTTTAAATTTGAAATGCTTTTGAAGATGTGGTGATTACACTAAAAAATACAAGTTACATAAAGGAAATATAACAATATAAAGGAATAAAATATATATTTAGATAAAGGATCTATGTTATAATAGATCTTTGATTCTTAGATCTTGATCTTAGATCTACAAATTCTTCTGTTAAGCTTGAACTCCAATCTAAAGGCATTTTTCCGGCTGGAAAAACTCTTTTCACCAGCATTCAGATCTCATCTTTTTCCACCTCTCCCCTCTCTCTCTCTCTCTCTCTCTCTCTCTCTCTCTCTGTGTCTCTGTCTCTCCAACCATCCATCTATTGATCTAACCAAGAAAGATAGAAGAAGTAAACCGGTTTGGTTTCTGTGAAAAACTCATTGCCTTTTTCGGCCTAGGCTAGAGAAAACTACTGGCGGAGGCCATGAGGTTAACACACTCTATTTTCGATTCCCAATGAGCGCGAGATGATGATGATCGCCAACGTGTTTCCAGATCTTTATATACAAAGTACATATATAAACAATGGATCACCAGCCTCAAATGGTCCAAATGTGCTATGTATATGGTTTGATTGTTCAAGTGTCGCTCCAAAAAAGATCTCGGGCAGCAATGAAATGTGAGGAAAGGTAACCATAAAGACAACTATTGCCACTTGTCATTAGATTTGTGGCTTCGCCGGTGATCTCTCCCATCAATGTTGCTGCTATACCCCCATCATCATCATCATCATAATTATTATTACTGCTGCTCACCTGACATATTTGCTTGCTTATCAGATTTATGTTGCCTCAATTGGCGGCTCAAAAATAAATTTTTTTTTAAAGAAATATAAGCAAGCATATATATTTGTGTAAACGTGTGGGTCACGTCCGTCCGTTCGTCTCTTGTGGCCCTTCTATTTTTTTTGCTTTGACTGATTTTTGACAGTTGACACGTTGCCAGCCAGCCAGCCAGCCGCAGAAGCCAAAGAAGCCAACAGCAAATCACAATAATAACAAAAATAACAATGCCAGAGTCAAATTCCGTCAGTTTTGGAAACAAATAAGTGAGCAATGCCGAAAGACACACACAACCAAGCAAACACACTTCAAATCGAGTCTTTTAATCATAAATCAGGCCAGGTGACAACGAAACATCCAATACTCTTTATATAACGAATAGATATGTATCTTGAAAAAGAAATAAAAATACAATTAATTGAATACCTCATTTATTTATTTACTGAAAACTGAATAGGGTTACAAACTTTTCCTGGAATTCTTTTTATACTTTAAAGCAAATATCTCCAAGCGTTTATTTTGTATTGAAGTTTCAACAAGAAGGGAATTTATATCAACATTAATTGTAAAAGACGTATAGATATTTAAGGTTCAAAAAAAAAAAATGGTAAAGCATCGATCTTTACCTATAAAATATTGTTTCTACTAATTTATTGTAATATCACGTTTACATTAAGAATGACAGAAAACATCCATAAATCGATTATTAATCGAAATCTCGATACATAAATCAAAAGGTCGATAACATAAAACGATATTTTAAAGCTGCTATATAAGTGCAATAGGTCTTTATTCTGTTTACTATATCAGAACAGTAAAAAATATATATATATTTAGAGAATATCGATAGTTGAACAACATTTTAAATTTCGATATATCAAAATAAACGATAATTTTCGATTAAATATTGAAAGCGTTATAAAATATCGAGCTTTTCCTCTCGAAATACATCCCTAATTCAAATGTAACACATCAATTTCCATATAACAATACTTTTCAAAAGAATTATTGCTTTTATTAATGCAAAAATGGTAATTTTTCATGCATAAGGTGTAAAAACCTGTGATCGCTGCCCATAAAAAAAAGGGTATAACATGATATAAATTATGGAAAGCAAGAAAAGCAACTTGAAGTGGTTAGACCGGACCGTACGTTCATCTTCAACTACTACTTCAGTGGTCTAAAACGACACTTGAGTCAATAGCTGGGATCTCTCTCTATCTCTAACCCAAAAGTTTATACATATATATATTCTCCGCTGCTCTGTGGTGATTAATTGCGATCGCAGCTTGGTCGACTTGGTTTTTGGGCCTAATGGTGGCTTGCCAATTGGCCAAGTGCTTCGATTTTGTGTCCCCCCGGCAATTACTCACCCACAAATCGGAGGTAATTCATCTACATCACGCCCACACAATTAACACGCAAACATATTGGGCCACTCCCCTCGACTCCCTGACTTTTTAGGTTTTTTTTTTTTTAATATTTTGTTTTTTTTGTGGTCACAACAAACAATATGTAATTCAATTATGTGCGGTCGCAAAGTTATTGTCATAAATTATGTGGATTGTGCTGTGCGGGGGCCCGAGCCCAACCCCCTATTATTTTCTTTCCAGTAGTTCAGGCGGAGGAAGTGGCCCAAAATATATGGTCTCAACACTTTTGTAGACGTTTTTGGGGATTGGTTTCTCGGTTTTTTCGAGTTTCGGTTTATTTGGGTTCATTGACGAGTCAACGCGAGTGTCTAAAAGAATTGTTTCTTTTCTTCAAGTTTTTCAATGAATAGCTGACCATTGTGTGCGGGGAATTTGTTGAAGAAGTTATACAAAAAATGTTTTTACTAAAAAAAAAAAAAAAATTAATAACGAGAACATTCCACTTATAACTGCACCCACAAATTAATTTTAATTTTATATTTTAAATAAAATTAAAGATAGAAATTAAAGAACTTGCTCAAATATTATTTATATAAATTAAAAAGCATTTTCTAACTTTAACTAACCCTTGGTTTTTATGTGTTCTTCGAGTTATAATAAAATCTATAAATTTAGCTTGAGAAAATGTTGCTAAGCAGTTAGATATCAAAAGTAAATAAAAAATTTACATAACAAGTATTGAAAATTATGACTTAAATTTATTTATTTAATTGTACAATGATTGGAACCTAACAATTACATCTTTAAAAAGTAAGAAAGTTAAAAAACTAAAAATGTTTTCAGGGACATGTTGCTAAGCAGTTATGTATATAAATATAAAAGTTACAAGTTCAGTTTTGTATTAAAAATAATTAATTTTGTGGGTTTTTTTAAGTTGTTAAATGATTAAGAATTAAAAAAGACACCTTACAACTAAGAAAGCTAAAAAATAAACTTAAATCAAACATGTTGCTAAGTAAATGTTTTTAGCAACATGTTGAGCATAGCCTATTATAGATTAGTTTTGCAAGAAAATAAATTTAAATAAAACATAGCTCTTTCTATTTGATATTTTCTAGTAATTTAATATAATAATTAATTGCTAGTTGCAAAATAAATGTATTTTCTTAGCTTATTTTCTGCTCGTTTCTTCTAGTTAAGATATTCGTGCTAGTTAATTTTTGGTTTTTAATTACAAAACTCTCAGGATTCACCTGCTTGATACCTGTGCCTGGCCATTTCGAATAGCCATTAAGTGGAATTATAGAAGACCACCGACTCTTTGCCCATTTGGTATGGTTCGTTTTATTGTTATTATAATTATTAATTTATGCAGCAGACATTTGCATTAGCATCACATTAGCAGCAGCGGAGTGGCGATGACTATTTTCGTGGCAGCAAAGTGATTAAGTTGGTCCCAACCGATCGCAGCGACAGGTTCATGGCTTAACCCTTTTCCTCACTCTCTTAGCATCGGGCTTTTTTATTTTGTTTTTTTGTTTTTCTCTGCCGTTCTCGCTGCTGGTTGGTTGTTTATTTGTTTAATTTATAAGCTTGCCTCCAAGCGCCGCCCACAAGCCACAAAAAAATAAAGCAAAAAAGAGAGTAAATATAAAAAAAATCTGAGATGAAAACAACAAATGCCGGCCGGCAAGTTTTATTTATACATATACATCTTATATATAAATATATATATATTTTTTTATTGTTGGCATTTTTAAGCTGCTCACATTTTTGTCTTTTGTTTGGTGTTTGCTGTTGGAAATGAATGAATGAGCCATACTGTTTTGCCTCATACTGTACTATAGTGTGCTGGCTTCTGGTTATTTAACAAGTCATTGTTAATTAAATAAATAAATAGGTTGACAGTAAACATAAAAAATTTCTATTATATCGAAATTGATTAATAGAGACAAAAAAAGGGAATAAATATTTTTATAAGTAACATATTTATTTATTAACCTTATAAATGAAATGAATATTTCTCTAAAAAATATGTATACATATATGATTACTTTGTTAAAATAATTAACAATTTTAAATGTATAAAAAATATTTAATTAAACATTATTTAAATATTTTTTGTTATCTTTGGACTTAAAATTAAAAGAAACAAGACTGAATAGTACGAAAAACTAAAATTTAACCTGACGAAAGGCATAAGAAAATGTTGCTAAAAAGCAACATATTTCCTGCAACATGTCACTAGCAACATGTTCTTAAGCCTATAATTTACACCTAAGTTGAGTAGCTTTTTAAAACAAGGCTTAAACTCTTTAAAAATTAAAAAAAAAACAGTTTTAAATGTAAAAAGCAAAATGTTAACCCAAAACAGGGCAATCTTTTTTTTTTTTTTTAATAAAAAAGTACCGCCCGTGTGCGATTTTAATCAGTTTACAAGCTGACGGATTTCCTCTTGTCATTTGTCAGCGTTTGTTGTTGGTTGTTTTAAGCGTTTTAACAATTGAATTTCTAATAGGCTTAAGCCTTAACTTTTTGTTCATTTTTTTCTTTTCTATTTTTTCCTTTGCATCGAAAAACATTTAAATTTAATGTCCAGACCACGCAGCTATTTTAACTGCCTTTTATAAGTGTTTCCATTCCCAGAAAAATGGAAGCAAAGACCCCGAGAGCCATTAAATTGTTGGCTTGTGATTTCTTTTATAATTTTATTTCCTTTGTCTTGGAGAAGGAGAGCCAAAAGTGTTAAGCGATCATTAAGGGCTCCACACACGCACACGCTTCTCTTTCGAGTCTTCTATTAAAATACGAAAAAGTAATACCCAAAAATCCCCATGCCGCCTCTCAGTTTGTAATTAAGTTCTGTTTGTGCCTTCTGTTAATTGAATTAAATTTTAATTTGCTAAACGAATTAAGAGGGGGCTGACGTCAAGTGCTTTTTCGAATGCAGGAATATGACCCCCCTTTTCAGGCGGGTCAAAGCACACCCTCGGTCCACTTCAGTGGGGGGGAAAAGCTGTATATACAAGCTATATATACGTAAATATATATATATAAAGTTAACTTTTAACCGAGAGAGATAGCTACGTGTACATATTCACCCCTTTTTATCTTTCAACGGCCTGTGTTTACCGGGATGTTTGCTTGCTTTATCGCAATTGATACCAACGAACCTGACCAACCCAGAATGACAAATGCTAATCCCAAAAATTTTCGACACTTTTGAGTTAAGTTTAGCTAATTTTAAAAAATAAAAGCTGAACACAGTTATTAGTTTTATATATTATAATATTAAAAATATTATTAGTTTTATATATTAAAATATTAAAAATATTAAAATTAAATATAAAAGTGAGTCTAAGCTTGATACAGGCATTAGTTTTATATATTAATTCTTGAACATTTAAAAAGAAATGGTTAAATATTCGAAAATTTTAAATCAATAGACTCATTGTTCTCTACATTCACTACAAAGGCTTCTTGATTATTATTATTATTAATTAAATGATTATTAAACAAGAAAGGAAGCTAACTTCGGCACGCCGAAGTTTGTATACCCTTGCAGATTGGTTTTGATGTTTATATTATAGATATAAATGTTGAAAACACTCACAAAACAGAGTTTCATTACAGTTTACCTATACTTATTATGTTTACAGTTTGACAGTTACAGTTTTACATTCCCAGCTTTACATATTTTATACATTTACCGATCGCTTCTATGGCAGCTATAAGATATAGTTGTCCGATTTTTATGAAATTTATACCAAAATTCTGGAATAATAAAAAAAGCTTATATCTCAGAGTAGATAAAAATACGTGGAAAAACTACGAAGCTATAACTTTATTCCTATTAATTTCCCGATCGTTCCTATGGCAGCTATATCATATAATCGTCTGATTTTCATAAAATTTTTACCAAAATTCAGAAATAATATAAAATGGGCATATCTAAAAAATGGTGCAAAAATATTGAAAAACAACAAAGTTATAATTTGTTTTCTAAAAATTTATCGAACATTTGTATGGCAGCTATATGATATAGTCGTCCGATCCGGCCCGTTCCGACATATATAGCAGTGAGAGTATATAGAAGACTATATGCAAAGTTTCATTCAGATAGCTTTAAAACTGAGGGACTAGTTTGCGTAGAAACGGACAGGTGGACAGACGGACATGGCTAGATCGACTCGGCTGTTGATGCTGATGAAGAATATATATACTTTATAGGGTCGGAAACGTCTCCTTCACTGCGTTGCAAACTTATGACTGAAATTATAATACCCTGCAAGGGTATAATAATATAATGATATAATAATGCTAAATACATTTAAATTTTAATATAATCCATAAATTAAAACCCGAAATAGAGCAACAAATTCGATTCAAGCAATAAGAGTTCACTTTTTGAATATATTTACATCGCTTGAATGCATTTAGAATGTTCTTATTTTCTTTGGCATTGTATTCCAGCGAAAGCTATTCTTCCGATTTTTGAGCACACTTCTCCAGCCATTTGATTTGCATTTTCCAACTCTTTCCCCAAATGGTTTCTCGGCAGCAACTTCCCAATTTCCACATTGCATTTCGTTGGCACGCACAATTTCGCTCGTTGGACTCACGCATTTTTAATGTAATTTCTTGCGTAAGAAAAAAATACAATAAAAAAAAACTAAAAAAAAAGGGGGGTGAAAAGGTGTGAAGCTGAATTTTTGTTGTTGCTAAATTACTGGACTGGCCTCTCATGGAATACTATAAGCATACGCTTAACACACTTCCCTGCCCGCATTTTCTATGGCAAACTAGAGGCCCAGAGCTACCAGTGAGGCGAAATGCGTGCCAAATGCGAATTACAAGGTCTACACTCGACGAAAAATGGGTGCCTGTCTTTACAGCATGCAAAATAAGCAATTCTAGGGCTTTGTTTGCCGCAGCCGTATGAATGCTTATAGGGTTTCTGTTGTGTTTTAAAAAATTTCCCATATAAAAATGATTTTTTCTATTATATTTAACGAATTTTTATTAAATTTAGGGTTAGGTTTTAGATTGGGTTATTACAAATATCTACAATCGCATATTTAATATATCTTAAATTTAAATATAGAAAAATATCACATTAAAATATTGATTTTATCGATAAATATCGAAAATATTATATTCTGTACAATTTTGATAAACTAAAATTTTTCAAAAAGAAAGTAGAAAAATTTCACATAAAAAATCAATAAAAAAATTTTTTTTTTTTAGCAATATGAAATATAACATATTGTAAAAATGTATATTGAAATTTTATGTATAAAAAATATAGATTTTTAACATTAAATTAACAATATTATCCATTTTACTTTAATTTTTCTACCTTTTCCGATTATATGGTTTTAAACACTATATTTATATTTATTTGTCGCACATATATCCCAACGATAAAATATCGATATAAAATCGATAGATTTTCAACGATGAGGATTAACTTGAGATATCATTTATTTTGGTTTCTTAAGTAACTCGATTCTTCTTCATTCAGAAATTTAGGATTAAATACCAATACAAGCTTCCAATTTTTGTTGTCAGTGCCGAAAGAGAAGGGTTAGAGATTGGAGACGCATATGAAGACCCAGGGAACGGGGCGGACATGGGAGACTTTGACGCGGTCGCAGCGTTTTAGCACCGCGACGTTAATTGCCGAACGCCAAGTACGCGGCTCGCAAACAAAAAACAAACTCCCTTTACTTTTTTCCCATCGAGGGGGGAGGGAGGAGGAGGCGGAGCACTTGGCAATTTCTTGGTTGGCTGCAGCGACAACCGGAACGGCCAGCTAATTGAATCGAGCCAAAGTAATAACTTACCCCCAACTTATCTTATATTTTTGCCTCTCTCTCTTCCTGCAGGATTACAATGGCGAGTGCCCCTACTCACTGTCCCCAGTCAGCGCCAAGAGCCAGAAGCTGCTACGTTCGCCCCGCAAGGCCACCAGAAAGATCTCCCGAATACCCTTCAAGGTCCTCGATGCGCCCGAGCTGCAAGATGACTTCTATTTGAACCTGGTTGATTGGTCCTCGCAGAATGTATTGGCCGTGGGTCTGGGTAGCTGTGTCTACCTTTGGAGTGCCTGCACCAGCCAGGTTAGTGTCCCAGCTCTCTCTCTCTCTCTTTCTCTGCCACCATCATCCTAATGAATCCTTTTACTCTTTGATAGGTAACCCGCCTGTGTGATCTCAGTCCGGATGCAAACACGGTGACGTCGGTATCGTGGAACGAGCGCGGCAATACCGTGGCGGTGGGCACTCATCACGGCTACGTGACCGTCTGGGATGTGGCGGCCAACAAGCAGATCAATAAGCTAAATGGCCATTCGGCGCGTGTGGGTGCCCTGGCCTGGAATAGTGACATCCTGTCCAGTGGTTCGCGGGATCGTTGGATTATACAGCGGGATACAAGAACGCCGCAATTGCAATCGGAACGCCGCTTGGCTGGCCATCGTCAGGAGGTTTGCGGCCTGAAATGGTCGCCAGATAATCAATATTTGGCCAGCGGCGGCAACGACAATCGTTTGTACGTATGGAATCAGCATTCGGTGAATCCGGTGCAATCGTATACAGAACATATGGCGGCGGTGAAGGCTATTGCCTGGTCACCGCACCACCATGGACTGTTGGCCAGCGGCGGCGGTACAGCGGATCGATGCATCCGCTTCTGGAACACTCTAACCGGCCAGCCCATGCAGTGCGTGGACACTGGATCGCAGGTGTGCAATCTGGCCTGGTCTAAGCACTCATCGGAGCTGGTCTCCACGCACGGTTACTCGCAGAATCAGATTTTGGTATGGAAGTACCCATCGCTGACACAGGTGGCCAAGCTGACGGGCCATTCGTACAGGGTCCTCTATTTGGCTCTAAGTCCCGATGGCGAGGCCATTGTCACTGGCGCCGGGGATGAGACATTGCGCTTTTGGAATGTGTTTAGCAAGGCGCGTAGCCAGAAGGAGAACAAATCGGTGCTGAATCTGTTTGCCAACATCAGATAGAAGAAGGACAATATAATAGCAAGGACGCGAAGACTGAAGCGAGGCAAAAGGCAAAAAGGCCAAAGGCAACACACAACACAACCGCAACAGCAACCCAATACACACACATGCAAATCGAAGCAAGCAACTAAAACCAATCAGCAAACCAACTAATCCCAACTAATCAAGCTCTTTTATCTATGGTAAAACGATCATCCGCACGGCGCTCGTTTAGTACATTTTGCAGGCAGTCGCAGCAGCAATAGTTTAAACAAATTTAAGTTAAGTCTAGCAGGTTATGTAGTAACATTTTAAATAGGAAACCAGAGCAACAGCAGAACTGAAGGAATGAATCCGGAACTAAGTCTACATTAAGCCTAAATTCTAGCTTGTAATAACTTTACACACACACACACACACACTCACTTAGTAGTGTTCAACTAAATTGTATTGTTTTATATATACCTATATATATATATATATATATTATACATAAATTTTTTTTGGTACACCTAATTAGAGCTACTTTCACACAAATATCTCTATTTTTTTTGCTTAGGACATAGGAGAAATTTGAATTATTCACTCACTCACTCACATTCATTCATCCCAAAAGATACACAAAAAAATATGTATATTTAAATAAATTTATACAAGTTAAAAAAGGTGCCCACAAAAACGTTGTTTTAATTTTTTTTTTATTTAAAAATTAAGTCTAGCTTGGTTGTATTCACAACTAAGCGGAGACCTGAACCACCACAAACAAGGGGTTTCACAGCAGCGAGCTTTTGCCTGCCCTTAAGCTTTTGTCGATTTCCTTCTGCACTTTTTTTACTGCTGCGGACGCTGCGCTTCATCTGTGACTCCGCAGGGGCGTTGGCCAACCCCCTAAAATTTGGGGATAAAAAAAAGGATTTTATTGAGGTTTGAAATCGACCAAAATTTATCAAAAAATGCATTAAATTTCATCAGAAATGCATTTTTCTGTTTGTTTCTTTTAGGTTAACAAACCAACATATAGAGTTTAAAATTAAAAAAAATATATTTTAGAAAAAATTGTGATTAATGTTAAAATTCTAAAAAAAATTACCTTTGTTTTAATTTTTCAAATATATATTGTTTTTATTAATTTCAATTAAAATATATTGGACTTTTGTACATCATTCCCTTTTTGGCATTAATAAACCACCTAGAAAACGTAAAATATATAAAGTATCTTTGTTTTAATTTTAAAAAATAATTATTTGTAATTAATTAAGATTGAAATATATCAGACCTTAATAAACCACCAAGACGACGTAATTAATTAATTTTTTTTAAGTCTATATATATTATTTTTGAAAATCAAAGGCCTTAAATATAATAATTGGGTAAAAAAGTGTTAATTTAAATTTGTTAAGCTTTTCAGTGTTTGTTTTTATAAGCTTAATACTTTTAAATATCACATTTTAATTTATTAAAAATTAAAATTTTGGCTGTTGTAACCCCTTATACAAATTTGAAAAAAATTGTTTTCTTCCGGACTTGGCCAGATTAACTCGGCTGTTGATTTTGATTAAGAATATATTTAATTATATTTTAATTATTTATATTTACAGTTCATTTTATTCGTTTTATGTGATTCAAAAGTAATGGTTATGCTAAATAATATTCATCTGCTTTTCCTAAAGGACTCAAAAGCCCCCCTTGACTCCCTTTTGCACTAAGCCCCTGGACAGGGGGCTGCAGCTTCCGTTGACAGCGACGCTGGCTGAGCTTCAGCTTCTAGTCCGGCGGCCGCCGCCGCTTCGCCTGTGTTGTTGTAATTCGGTTTCTTGGCCTGGCCAGCAGCAGCAGCAGCAACAGCAGACTGAATTTTCAATTGTTGTTGGTTTTGGGTTTTGTGTCTTTTGCCTGCTTTTTTTTCTTTCGTTTCGTTTCTTTTTTTTTTTTTGTTTTTGTTTTTGGCCAAGTCCAAGTTTAACAGCGCTCGACGCGCCAGAATCAAGTTCAGTTGCGCCGCATACGCGTCGCGGAAATGTTTCGCTGCTGCCACCGTCCCAAAATTACAGATATCGTCAGAAATCGAGCATAAATAAAACCGACAAAATAATCGAACGCGCCGCTGCCGTCCTGCATCCGAATCCGTATCCAAATCCAGAGTCCTTGTGTTTTTAGCTCTCAAAATAACAAGTTAATAAATAAAGGAACCCATATCCGTTTGTTAATTGACCGTTACCTTTTCCAGGTAATTGCAGGATAAAAGTTCTACCTGTTTTTTGTCCTTTATTTTCATGTATTTTTTTTGTTGTTGTTAATGTGAAGTGCAGACACCTGTCCTTGCAGTTGTTGTTGTTATTTGTATATATATATTTTTTTGTTGCGGCTGCTGTGTTGCCTTTTGAAGGTCATTTCACGCACGAAGGCCGCGCCGAGGGTGTGTTCCCCCAAGTGGGCGGCGAGTGTCGGGTGTGGGCGGTGGTCCGCAGTGGGCCAAATGTCAAAAGGTGAAGGCAGCCAGGCGGCCTTGCGTTTAAAGCGCAGCCTTCCCTTCAAACATCCTTCATCCGCGCAGGATTCTCAAGTGCCAGAGAAGTGAAGGTTGCAACGAAATCGAAATCGATATTAAGGATATGTAAATCGATTAAGTAACGATCCCTGATTTAGGTACTATTTTGGGTTTAAAGACGCATAAATTCACGGCTTTAGAGTTCTTTAAATTAAATAAAGGCAATGTTCAAGAAAACATGAATTTTTTAGAGAATAATAAGTGAAAGTTTTACGATTTCAGGAATCTTAATGATACGAGGATAAGAAATCGATTATTTTGAAATATCTTTAGAATTCTTGAAAGGAGCATAAATTATTTATTTTGTAATAAAGTATCTAGGAAGTCGCTTTGTATATAACAAACAAAATTAAGAAATTATCAAAAAGTAAAGCCTAAAAATGTAGAAATTCTTAAGAAATACTAAGCATTGAAAATTACATTAAATATTATTTAGGGTTTCCTTTAAAACGTGCTAAATGTTGTTAGAATACGAATATATGTGAAATATATGTATGTGGAATAAATAAGGATTATATGTGGAATATCTAAAGGAAATATGAAGAAGATATAAGAAATATTTGAGGAATACATGAGGAATATATTACGAATATACAACATAAAATTGAAGGAAAATAAATATAAATATATATTCTTATTCATACTTAATTTTATAATGGAATAAGTAAGATATGAGATATAGCTCTGAAACATTTTTCAAAATTATTTAGCTCCCCAATAAGATCAAAGATCAATATTGAAAACCTCATAAGATCCTGTTTAATGTCACTCAAATATTGAAAATGTTCATATTTATTTAGCTCCTGGCAGAGATCAAAGATCAGTATTGAAAACCCGATGACATCCAAATATGTATATAGTAAATAGAGAACCCTGACAACATCGAATAGTAATAGTACTTAGACCCCACCCAATGGCCCACAAAGTGGTCTCTTGACCAGAACTTAGCCCCATGACATTTTGGTTAGCATTTGCATGTCCAAACACTGATCTCCTCGGACACTCACGCTGTGGACATATCCATCTAGCAACATGGCTAAGTACAATATTTGAGTGGTCGATAAGCAAGATTCCGTCGTCAGGCCGTCAGCACTTTTTCGCACATTCATCTGCGAGAAGACATTACCTCGACAAGCCGCGAAATTTGCTCAGCGATTAGCACACGTAGATCAACTGGGCAGGGTGTAACCCAAGGTCACGCCTCGTTTTGCTTGGTTGGTGCTTGGGTGTTTGGTGTTCGATTCTAGTAAATTGCGAAAGTCAACAATAGGTATGCCTATGTTCTTCACATGGCCAACTTCCGATCGGTTTTCCCCGAAGCCACAATCCTCGGGAGCTACAGAGAGTCGCTTCCTCTATATCGGGCAATTAACGCATTCGTTTTGGCTTTTTTTTTTGGTTTTGACTTTAGTTTCCGCTGATACTATACCCATATACTATGTGGATATTTTTGGTTTTCTTTGTTTTCTTTTTTCGGAGCCGGTACGACCTTGGTAGGGGCGTTCAATGACCGCCACTGTCCAGTTAGATTTATGTATATTGATCCGCCTTTCGATCGATTTGCGGCCAGAGACAATGACAGGCCTCTGTTTGTTATTCGATTGGCCCTAATTCGATCGTCTCCAGATGGCACCACTTTATGATCCCCGTTTTATTTGGGGAAACTGAAAGGGAGGTCTATAGCTTTCTAAAATATCTAAAGATATCCGTAATATCATTTGGGAGAACTGGGAACATATAACATCTTTGTCGCAACCTAAACTAAAGATATGAGCTTATGGTATTTCCAACTATATATTATAATTCTTAAGTTGAGATTCTTATATTAAGATTATCCTTGTCTTAAAAACGACAAGGGGAGTAGGTTTACAAAATATAGTAGAAATTGTACATAGATTCTAAAAGGCTATGATATAAGATTATATATTATGATATACTATTGTATTGTATTGTATTGTAGGATATACTTTGATATATTATGATATACTAAGTTATACCATGATTTACTATGATAAACTAGTGATATTATATGATATATCAAGATATACAATTATGTATATACTGAAGAGTAATGTGATAATTGTCTATTAACTATGATATATTATGATTATGGTTCTATTATTTCGAACAAACAACTTTATTTAATTCCTATTCCGATTTCAAAAACAAATAATATGAAGCAAATATAAGAAAATGTAGAAGGAAATTTATTAACTAAAAGAAATACAAGAGACTGAATGATTAGATATTCCCATGACTTATAATAACATTTTTCATTCCCTAAAATGCATACTATATAATTCCAAAGTACTGTATCATAATTACTTTTCTAAGGTCATGGTAACCTTATCAATCTCTATAGAATGCCGGGCTTTAAAAAGGCCACAATATGTTCCGTATTCCGTTTGCTCTTAAACTTGACCCCATTCAGCAAAGGGACAAGGACGGTGCTTCCTTTATGAACGGGGCACGTCGGAATCGGAAGGTCTGCGGCAATTATAGCGATTATCGGGCCGGCGGTACACTTGCACGGCGACAGTCCAGCAATTACCACGTCTCAAGTTAACCCCCCAAATGGCCGGGGATTGGGGGCTTGGGGGATTACAACTTGTTATTGCTGGGGGTCGCCTCTCAGAACCAGCATCTGCGTCTGGTCTGCAGCGTGACATTCAAAATGCAAACGAACTGCCAAACCAGTTTCGGATGCGTCCGGCCAAGTGAAGGGCCCCCCAACATATATATACATTCATATGTACATAAAAAAGACTGAAAAAAATCTACATAAACAGGAGATCGTTGATTGATGATCGGATCTTGGATCTGATGATCCAAGACACGCCTGTCCACGATTAAGATTTCTTTTTTTTTTTTAGTATACCGTTCAAAGTTCGGGCAGCAGCGACCAAGGTACAGAAACATTCCCCGGGGTTTAATGCCTTTGGTACAGTAAAACGTCCATAAACTGTCTAGGGGCGGGTCAATAGCATTGCCTAAATAAAAAAATTACATGCGTTTTAGTCATAAAAAGTGTTTATTGTCACAATTTTATAGAACCGAAAAAAAAGGGTTAAAGGTACTAAAACGCAATTCGGGCTTTAAGCTTGTTTCTATGCACTGAAATAAAATATTGCTCGTTAGGTGATACCTGAAAATTTGGGCAGTTAAAATGTTGGATTAAAAGTTACAACATTTTTGGCTTAGTTATGAAAAATGTCCTATTCCCATAATAAAAATATATTAAGTCTTGGTGGTATTGGTTTTAAGGCAAAAAATCATATTTATTTAGACTTGCTATTAATAACTTAATTAATAATATATTAAATATTGAAACAAAAAACTCTAACAAAAAATATATATAATTATGAACTTCTATATCTTCTATATTTTTAAATGTAATTAAGCAATTGCAAAGAGTTTTTTTTCAAAGAGTTAAGACTCCAAGTATGTTCATGTCGTGGAAGCTCGACTGTAATCTCATATGATTTGATCCGATGTTGTTGATCTCCTTCTGCTGAGTGACAGTTTAGAGCTAAAGTTATAATAGTCAAAAGATCTATAAACGGTTTAAGTATTTCTTGAATTATTTTTTATACAAATATAGTTGTTGGGGCTTTATTTTTTTTTTTGGGAGTTGGGTCATTGTACTTGAGGTGCACACACACAGCCGTAAACGAACTTTTGATTTTGACTTTGTTTTCGTTTTCTTTTGCACTGATCAAAAGGCAGAAAGAGGTAGAGAGGTGAGGGAGGAAGACTGGCTTAAAAAGCAAAAAAAAAAAAAAAAAAAAAGCATTGACATTGAAAATTATGCGAACAAGACAGAGATCGCTAGATAATCCACAAGAAGAAGAAGAAGCAGCGCAGCAGATGCTTTGATTAAGCTATGCATATGTGTGTGTTTGTGTGTTACGTTCACCGCTAGAATAATGGCCCATAGGTAATTGATTATCAATTGTTGTCACTTGTCGTGTCGGTGCGAATTATTAATGCGAATTGGGATTGATCGGTCCGTTGTGCGGCCATAAATAAACCGCAATTGATCTGCGCAAAATGAAACAATATTCGCCGACTGAGTGACAGGCAAGTTCACTCGCTGACAGAAGAGCAAGGCTCTCTAGACAGGACAGGGGCGCAGGTGGGCATAAATCGGGATATTTTTAAGAGGGGTCTTATTCAAATCAATAATAATCTTAATACAAATAAAGGTATCCTTATTGTAACAAAAAACATTGATTTAACAAATTTAATACAAGTTCTAAATGTCTATGTAAATATTATTTATTTAAAATGGGACTCTGCAGACCCCTTTGCAATGCCCATGTCGCTGCGCTGGCTCCTTGCATCAGGTACTCTCACTCTCTGACAAATTGACTCCTCTAGCTCACTCGCACACTCACCTTGAACCAAGGTCTGGCGTTCTCACGCTCATCCCCTCCCACTCCCACTCCCACTCTTGTTGCCGCTCCAGTTACATGAAGAGTGACAGTTGGCGAGCTGCCCTGTCCCCCTCACACACTCCCGCACAAACAACGAACAATTGGGCAAACAACATAAATAATACTTATATTAAGCGGGTAATAGAGTGTCATCATTAATTATTTTTACGCTTTACAACCTGAGTGGAACGTGATGAGTAAAATTGTTCCTTGGCCTGACATTAAAAGTAACCAAATAATAACGTAAAGTAAACACACACACACATACAGGTGCACCTCTAGAGAAGAATCAAGCGAACGTCATCTCTTAAGTTTTTGACTAATTAACAGAGTTGGCTGAGCGGTGACCTTCACCTTTTGCGCGTTGGCCAAAAACAAGAAAAAGGCACAAAGATGAGAAGCCAAAGAATTGGTAACACGCCGACGCCTCCACCTTCAACTGACCCACAAAAAACGGCGCCGCTCTTCCTGACTCCGTTGTGTCTTTGTTTTGTTTTTGCTTGGGGTAGGTCGCTGGCGCGCTCTCCCTTTCTCACAGCCATGCCGCTGTCCCACTCCCACCTGAATACCGTTCATCAAAAGCCCTCGCCTTTTATTTTGCAAATTGTTTTCGCCTTTTTTTTTTTTTTTTGTTTTTTGTCCTCTTGTCTATCCGCGATCATTTGTTTTGTGCTGCCTTTTGTTTTGATCGTTGGCTTTACAGTGGGTCTTGCTCTGTACCCGCCAGCGAAAGAGAGAACTGAGAAAAATGATATTGGATTTTATTTTAAAACAAAATCATTTCAGAATTTTTGATAAAATACGAGTTTTATTTATTAAAATTTTTTTTATTAATATTTTTTAATTTTTTTTTCTATTCATAAAATTGGAAATTAGATTATTAAAACGATTTTAATAATATTTCCAATATATAGGATAAATTTTGCAATTCCAAATTGGATATTAAATATATATAATATAAAAAAAGTTTTAATATAAAAATGATTTAAGTGATAATAAATTGAATAAGTTTTTGTAAAATGATCTGCTATATAATATAATGATAATGACAAAATAATAAAATTAACATGATTTTGTTGATCTCAATAATACAATTTAAATACAATTTTAAATAAAATGAAATTAATTTAAGAGACCGTAAATAGTTATTTGATAATAATTGATAATATTTGTAAAGTTAGCCCCATAGGTTTTACACTAAAAATGAATATATATTAAATCAATACTTTCAATGGATATATAAATACGATCGTATTTAATTTCTTTCTCTGTATCTGTAGCATAACAAGATAGCCCAAAAGTGATAATTTACACATATTAAAATGATAATTTTCATAACAAAATGTCAAGTTTTTATGCTACTATATATGCGTAAATTGATATGAATTTGGATTAAAGAAGGGTCCTATGACTGAGATGGTTTCCGATGTGACAGTATTGACACGACGCCAGTGAATATGTTTTCGAAATTAATTATACGATGCGTTGACCACTGTGCACAGTTATGGATATTTGATTCTGTCTGTGGCCAGAGGTCACGGAGTGGTCCATAGAAATGCAAAATGCGAGTGGCTCTCGGGGGCTAATGATGGCCCACATATCATACCATATCGCATTGGCTCATTAACGCGCCGGCAGCTAATCGGAGCGGATCTCCTTCTCCTCTTCCTTCGTCACTATCTGATTCTCATACGTAATCGATCTTCTCCCTCCTAGTTGGAGCCATGAGGGAACCGCCCATGGCGGTGGTGCTGGTCCTGTGGCTCCTTGGCTCGGCAATGCCACCCGCCGCCTCCGGATCGGCGGTACTCATCTCGGACATGACCATGACCGTAATGGTGGAGCTGTCCTCGCGGCATCCCTTCTGCAAGATGCACACAGACCGGTGAGCAAAATAAAATAAATATGGGAAATTATAGTCTAGAGTAATGGTGATCTCTGATCTCTTTTAATCCCCGTCAGCGGCGATATTCAGCGCATGCTGCTGCAGTCGGATCCACGTCGCATCCGCCAGGTGCCGCGGGAATCCGTGATGGAGCTGGAGGAGGTGTGCCGCCGCCAGGGCTCCTATGGCCACGAGTTTCGCGGAGGCCTAGGGTTCATCTATCCGGGAACGAAATGGTGCGGCCCGGGTACGGCGGCCACCAGCTACGATGATCTGGGACCGCATGCCCGCGAGGATCGATGCTGTCGGGAGCACGACATGTGTCCGGATGTCCTCAATGTCGGCGAATGCCGGCGAGGGCTATGCAATCGCGGTACCTTCACGCGTAGCCACTGCGACTGCGATGCCCGATTCCGGCGATGTTTACAGGCGGCAAATACGGAGACGGCCAACACCCTCGGAGCGATCTTCTACAATGTTGTGCAGGTGACATGCTTCCAGGAGCGAAGTCCCTGCTCGGCACACCAGAGGTTCGAGGACTACTACTATCGCACCGATCACTGTCCGGCTGAGTACCGCCAGGCGGATCTCTATGTGCCGCCGCATGGCGACAATCTGATAGCCAAGATCCTGGCCCATCCGCAGGGACGCTCCTTGGCCGCCATTGCGCCTGCCAAGGTCACTGCTCGCCGTTGGGGCGTCAAATTGGCCAGCGTTGGCCTGGCGGCAGTCAATATATTACGCGAGGTGGTCCAGCGGCCGCGACTCCTTTGGGACAGCCTGCAGTCACCCGTCAGCAGGGAGCTCCCTCCGCAGTCATCGACGCGCCCAGGTGGAGCCGCAGCCGTTGGCTATCACTACGAGCGGCCGGGAGCGTCATCGTCCTACGGCTATGGCTATGGCAATCGTGGCTATGGATACGGAGCACCCGACTTTCGCTGGAGCTGAGAGCAGCGAGAGCCGAGAGACCCGGCAGACTATTGTTTACAGTTGATAGCGGAGGGGAAGTAATCTTTGGGGAATAATTTAGAGCGACTATTTGAGGATTTTTTTTAGCCAAACAAACGTCCTATCCATTCCATATTTAAAGCACAAACTTCATAAAATTATGAGCATTAGTCCGTTTATAAAAGAAGATAAACATCTCTGATTTAGATAGGAAACTAGATTTAGGAAATGGATTGTCTTCCATTTGTTCAAAGTATTAATATTTTGCTAAGTTTTTTGCATACTATCATCATGGATCTGTAAGTATAACCAGTGGACCGCAAAACTAAATTGAAATCAAACAGTTATAAATAAAAAAAAAAAACAGATTAATTAACGATAGTTGGAAAACGGATCGTTTGCGAGCCTTTGCTGATATCTTATATTAAGAATATAATTATCACAACATTAATATAGATGTTTACTAAACGTTTTTTTGTGAGTCCGCTAGAAAGACTTCAGTTTATTATATAGTCATTTTAAGTGCTTGTACAAACAGATATTTTAAACTGTCGTCTTTTGGTCCACTGGGTAATTATTATTGTTATAGTTTTGCTATGTTTCCCCTTAAAATATCTAGTCGCGTTGTTTTTATTTTTTTAATACTTAAAAAACAAAAAAAAAAGAACTCGAAGAACTTAATTCTCGATGGCTTTTAGTCAGCTCAGTGAACGTGATGTTAATTTTAATGATCTTGACTTTATCCTGTTTCGTTATTTATTGCACAAAAGTTACTTAATATTCTGTAAAAGCCATATAGTTATCTTGGCTTAGTCATCTTGGCTTGAGAGCAGCAGAATGGAATTGTTAATGAACAATTAAATACTTTAAATGGTTTTTTTTTTAATTTTTTGTGCAGTAAGTGTTTTAATAAATTCCTGTTTTTACTTTGGGGAAATCTATAAATAAAACTATAAAGATTAAGAACTTTATTCCAAGATTGCTTGGAACCCCTTACCCAAAGATTACTTTCCGGAGCACTTGAACTAGAGATCGGGACACTACCTACCACTGTTTTCGTTTAGTATTAGTAGTCCATAGGTCCTACATTTACTTACCTGCATGTCCTGCATGTGTCCTTGCGTTGCGTAGCTTGTAGCCCCAAATGCCATTGAAAAATAAACACATTAAGAACCATGCATGCCGTTCCTCTTTCGAACCTCCCGGTTGGATTGTTTCAGGGCCGGATATAACCAAACGGAACAGGAGGCCATCTGCGCTCAGTGGCAATACCAGCCATCGGAGAAGTATGTGCCCAGTCAGCCGAGAACGTCCTCGTAAGGAGCGGAGTGGATCAGCCCAGATAAAGACAAAGACGACGACGACGATAACACTTCAACCTGATGACGAACCTGAGAACCTGAACATGAACCTGAAAGCCAATGATAAAACATAAAACAGAAGCTCAGAAACTAGCAAATGGAAAATATATACATCTATATTTTCATATATTGAACGCATACAAAACAGATCTATATATAATTATGAAAGTGCATACATATAAATAAATATATTTACCAAATCGAGAGCAATCCAAAATGTCTTCATTTCGGGAGAAACCCAAGTGCACCCCAAAACCATTAAACCAACTGTCAGCTTTGTACTTTCGTGTCCTTCTTGCTCTTCACTTTATTTGTGTTTTGTTTTTTGTATACAAAAAAAGTATCGCTAGGTGTGTTGTAGGGGACTCTACTTTACACATTCAAAAATCATTACGGTAAAAGAGGTACAAAAAAAGAAAGGGAAAAATGGAACAGACTAAAGAGAGGTGTTTTTTCTTTTTTCAGGTGAGCAGTGAGGGCTCCTTCAGGCACGCAGGGCCACAAACTGTTGGAAAACCTCCAATATATGCGTGTCCAGGTCGGATGTGAAGAGCAGAGTCTCCAGAGTGCTGCTGTATTTCTGAACTTGTTCATGATGCTGCCAAGAGAGAGAGACATAACAATTAAAGGTTCTTTCACAACAAAAAGATGACTTCTTACCATGAGGAAGACCTGTTGCAGTCGCCCGATTGTCCAGCGATACCAGTCTGTGTCCGGATCACGGCCATCTGTGTCAGAGCGCAGCAGATGCTCCGATAGGATCATTATGAAGCGCTGGAAGACGATGAGGAACAGGCGTTTCTGGTTGACATTCGCCGCCTCCAGCTTCTCCTCCATGCGCTCAACAACCTGGGAAAATCATGTAGCATTCAGTTAGTTTATAGTAAATAAAGGAAAAGTGTTGTACACTCACCTCCTCGGATGGCTTGTCGGCATGCGTGATGGGCTTCTTCCTTTTGTGCGAAGAATCCTCCTCTGAATCGCTGGACGAGGAGTCCGCCTTCGATAGCTTGTCCTTTGCCTCGCTCAGTTCAGTGTCTGCAAAATGGTTGGTTGGAGTTCAAATAAGAGTCCGTGAGGGTTTTCTTAGTACTCACTCAGTTTGATCACATGCTTGTTCATCTTCTTGATGGTCAAGTGAAGGATCTCCCACAGATACATCTTAGTGAATTCACCGGTCATCTCCTTGGAAAAGATCCATGTGGCCACCGCCGAACAGTCAACGATCTGCAGCTTAAGCAGTTTGTCAATCAGCACGACCATCATTTGGGGATGCGATGACCACAGCTCGTAGATGTTGTGCAGAATACAAATCTGGGCCTCCTCCGTTTCGGCCAGGGCACGGAATACCGTGTGGAATTTGGAAATTGCCGCAAAGCTGTGCGAAAACGATTTCGAGCCCAAATTCAGTAGTGTCTGTACGAAAACATCAATTTTCAAGGCATTAAAGCTGCCATCGGACATCTCCTCGCCGCTGTACCCGCTGCTGGGTATCTCCTTCAATATGTTGACCACCTCCTCGGGTGTGCACTTCTGGCGGATGGCCACCACCAGTTGATGGGCCACCGTTGTTCCCGGCAAATTGGCTGGCGGGAGAAACGAGGAGGAGAAACGATGTGGCATTCAGTGAGGTGTGTACTATGTATTTGGGGTTTAACTTTAAAAATCTATAGCTAAGCCAAAAATGCATTCATTTCCATGTAAATTTAATGTTTGCCTAAAACACCCACTTATTTTATGGTTTTTCTCAAATGAAAAGCAATGAGGAGCACTGCCTTGTGTGACACTTTCGTTGCAATTCGCATTTCATTGCTTGCTCTGGCATTTGCTTTTGGTTATGTGCGGTTCATGGCGTGGAACCAAGCGGCACCGCCAGGTAGCTTTGCGTGGCGCTGCTGCGTTACTAATGATGGGCTGTGCTTTAGCTCAGACCTTAACTCGGTTTCTGGCCAAAAGCCAACTCCTTTCGCCTGCCCCTCCAACCGCCAGTTACATTACATTACATGCAGTTTATTGGCACTTGCGTCAATTATGTCAATTGTGCGGATCGAAAAGGGTGGCTTTTGGAGGAGAGCTACTAATTATGCGGCCATTTGGCAAGCATTTTGCATTGCCAAATGCGGAATTGGGAATTCAGGTGCAAATTTAAAGATAATTAACAAGTTTGAAACTGTTTTAAGAGAGCTTAAGATGGAAAGAGTAGGGTTTTAGGATTAAAGTGAAGAGGTAGTCATATCTTTGAATTAATTAATCAGTAAATAAAGTACTAAAATAACAATAAATTATTTGAACACAGTTTTATACAGTTAACTTTGCCAAAGAATCCCTCAAACTCGATAACATTCTTTGGAAACAAAACCTTCTATATGATCATCAAGCATTAACCTTTAGGCAAATCTCAAAGAGACTCTACACTCTAGACAATGTCAATGGTTTGGGAGTTTTGTTATTCTTTTTTTTTTTTTGCATGTGTCAAGATCATCATAGCAGTCTTTTTTGTGTGGAAAAAAAGTTCGCACATAATATTTAATAACAGAGAGTGTGCATTGTCTCTTCCCTGCCACCGTCCATCGCCTCTTGAAATGGCTGGCAGTTAAAAGCCAGAATTAAAGATGTTTTCACGGGAGTCTGGTTTCTGGTTTCCCGCTCAAATTGAGCGTGTCCAGGGAGTAGGTACTCGGGGAAGTACTCGTACTACCCCACGCCATGTAGTTCAATGTTATCGAAAGCGCTGCCGTTCCGTTCCGTTCCGTTACGGGGGGGGTTATCTGCGATGGGTCATCTGCCAAGTCTGGAAGGGAGTGGGGGCAGAAAAGAACCTCGCCGACGGTAACCCCAACCAGAAGGGAACATGGCTTAAACGGAGGCGGGCGCCCTGAGAGGGAAACTCCAGCGAAGCGAGCCACGATAGAAATCTAAGGCAACGTTTGAAAATTTTTTTTTTTGGCCTAAATGGAGGCTATATAGCCAAAACACAAATGAAATCAGATTCAAGAAGCGACCGCAGAGAGTTATGAGCCAGGGGAATATACCCTACAATGGTAATATAATAGATAAATATAAATAAAAAAATATTCATCTACATTAAAAATTCCCAAGTGGTTCTAACTACTTGCTACTTAAGTACTAATGACAAGTGACATGAACTATGTCTAGAAACAACAACCCAAAAAGAGTATTCAGCTGTGCTCCACATCCAACCTAGAGCGTTGCATAAATGACTCCGACTCCGACTTTGGGGGGCTATGCAAAAAGCCAAAGAAAATGAAAAGCACACACGTTGTGGACTGCAGATTGCGCAAAAGACCTCCGCCGCCGCTGGCGACGCATCGCTTGGCTGCCTCAACGAAAGCAGCGGGCCACAGAAGCAACAGAAGCCACACGGCTCCGGATGCCAGCCAGTGCGGATTATTAGCGAGCGCCAGTCGCGGGCGCGTCTCAGTCGTTGTTACAAGCGCGCGCAGCTCAAACGCTTCCCAACGCATCCAACTTGGTGGTGATTCCTCATTATTTATCGAATTTTTGTTGTTGTTGTTGTTTGTGGTGCCGATGAGTGAGTGAGTGAATCCAGAGACAAGACAATGAGGAAACGGAATCTGTGCCTTTGCAGGCTATTGCCTGTACTCATGGCAATCGTAAGTCGTGCTTCGGATATCTAACATCTTCCGTTATTTTTCATCTTCTTTAATCCCTCGCCAGTTGCCCTTGGGCGGGGCCATTGTGGGGGCTGGACGGGATCTGCTGCTGACGCCCAGGCGGGGCCATCAGCTGAATGGCAAACGCATTTTCTACGAGGAGGAAAAGGAGCAGGAGGACCTCTTGCGGCGGCGAAATCCCTCGGAGCTGCGCCAGCGACCCTGGGAGCGAACGCTAAAGCATGTGACCTATGTGACACTCTTTACGGATGCCGCTGTGAACGCAGCTTCGGGAAATGTAAGGTAGGTCATCTTCTAACCACCATTTTTATCCCTTGACTCAAAGCCAGATGCTCGGGCAGCCAGCTGCATGAGTATCACGATTTCTTGCAGACTCCCTACCTGCCGGCGAATCCTCAAAGCGACGCCCTGGCGGGTTCGCCGTCCTCGCGTTTCGGTGACATTATTACCCTGGCCAAGGGCTATCTGGAGCAGCTGGGAACGGGACAGAGCAATGCCACCACCTATCGGTTTGTGGAGGGCGGCACTTGCTTCCAGTTGAAGTGCCAGGCTACTTCCAACCAGCGGCGGCGGGCTCTGTGGCAGGTCCAGCGGATTCGGCATCGGGATGGTGACAGCGGCGGTCGTCCCTTTCACTACGAGATGAAGTTCAGTGTGACGCCGCTGGAGAGTCAGGCCTGGCAGCCGCACCAGCCGATGAGTTATATTCAAAAGGAATCCGACTATCCGGGCAGCTTTGGGCGATTCACCCGCGAGCCAAGTTTTGCCCAAAGGCGACAGGATCGCCCGGCGGCGGCGGCGGAGCAGTCGCAGGCCACCTTTGTCCATGGCATTTTCCAGCCTGCACCGTCGCTGCCTTTGCCGCCAGCAGTGCCGCCCAAGCTCAATATCGGTGAGTATCTCAAGGGCAGTCCCAAGATTGAGCTATTCCCGGGACTTTTTAATCTGGGGCTGCGTCCGAATTATGTGGCGCCCACCACCTATCGTCCCAATTATCCGGCGGTAGAGAGGTTTCCCCACAACAATGAGTTGTCTGGCGGCAATGATGCCACTCCGGGCGGCGTGACTCATCATTTCCATCACCATTTTTATGTGGCCCCCGGAACAGGGGATTCCGAGCTGACCTACCGCCTGCCCTCGTCACCTAGTTCCGATCCCAGCGATCTAACCACTCCGAAAAGTCATCCTTTAGCCGGCTTTTATCCGCCACACCAGACAGTGCAGTTTCCCAACTCGCATTCAGGTTCCTCGGAGTCTGTCGAGGATCAGCGGGAGCAGGATCACGATCAGGCTGTACACCTACGAACACCACAGATCTACGGCCAGGCCTCTAAGTATCAGACGGCCAAGCTGCCGCCGCTCTTGATCTATGCGGGGGCCAACGACGAGGACAAGTCCTTTGTGCAGAGCGAACCTCTCGAGGAGACGGTGTATCGTTACTCGGAACCGGATCCGCTCTATGTGCACCAGAATCCCATAGATGTGCTGCCAGATAAGCAGCAGGAGCAGCAGCCGGAAATTGAGTTAGTAATTGGAGAGCAGGAGAGGAAGGGTAGCAGCCTGGAGCAACCGGAGTTGGTTACCACAGCAGCGCCTTCTACTACCACAGAAGCTATTGAAGCCTCTTCCAGCTCAACAACAACAACATCAGCAATCACACCCCATGTCAACCCCACAACCAGCAGCACCAACTTTGTGTCCACCTCCACGCACTTTAGTCCGCTGCGCTCCCTTAGTCGCTATCGAACCACCCCGCGGATAACAGCTGGCAAGTCCACCACCACCACGACTTCCACGACCACAGAGCCGCCTATTAGTAAGTGGGCCAAGCGCCGCAAGGAGGAGGACAGCAAGGCCAAGAGCAGTCTGCGCCACGAGGCCTTTATAGCCGCCAGCAGCACAACGACAACGACAACGGAGGCGGCAGCCACTCCTCCGCCCAGGCCAGTAGTCGAGGTGCTCACCCAGAAGTCAGTCAGCCGATCGGTGAGCATCAAGGTGGGCGAGAATGGCGAGGAGATACCTATACTCGTGGACGACGAGGAGAACGAGGTGAAGCCAGTAGTGGTTACCCCCAAACTATGATATTTTCCCAACTACAATCATAATCCTAGCCAAGTAAGCTCTAGCCCCCCAAATACATACATATATAACCTTTAGCTTGTGTTATGAGCTAGCGACTCACCTGCCTCCTCGTTGGCATACTTGTAGTTGGGCACGGGCGTGGGCGGGATGAGCTTGGCGTATGTGGTGGGCATCATCTCGGTGATGCGCTGATGATACGAGAGCCTGTCGGAGAAGGAGGAAGATGTTAGGGTCAATAAAAAGGGCAGCAAAGTAAGTGGGATAACACCTACCTTAGGCACTTGTGCAGCACCTCTTGGATGAACTTGGGACGCGGATGCTCGGCATCCAGCAGCAGGCAGCTGTCCCACTCGTCCCAAGACCAAGTGAACTTGAAGTTGCTCAAATGGTACGAGAACCAGTTGACGAAGCGATCAAAACAGGAGGTGTTCATCGAGTCGATACGCATGAACAGGATCTCAGTGGCCTGAGCCAGCACCTGGGGCAGTGTGGCCGGCTGCAGCTTGCACAGCTCGATCAGGATGGAGCCATAGCAAATGTCCAGGTAGCGAGGAGTTGGCATGTGAAAAAGCTCGGCGAATATCACCTCCACGATGCAGTACTCCAGGGGTATCTTGTGCTTGAACGGAAAGCTAAGCAGCTGGGCGGCACAGTCCTTGCGCTCGTGGTGATACGTCTCGATGATGTGGTGCAGATGCTCCTCGATCAGGAAACGCTCAATCGAATGGGCACCGGGCAGATTGGGCCCATCGGGGCAGTCGGTGTAGTCAAACATGCGGTAGACAACCCAGGGCATGGGATACTCGAAGGCATCGTGGTGCGGCGGCGGCACAATTTGCGGCAGATTATGCTGCAGTGCCTCGCACAAAACCGTGTCAAAGGTTAGGTACGGTCGCGGTATGTGTTTCTCCGCCCAGTTGTCCTGGCGCAGCTTGCGTATCTGGGCCCACAGGCAATCCAGGTACTCCTCCTGCGGATGCGGTGCATCCGATGACCACACCCGCAATGCATTGTGGTGCTTCTTGGAGCGCTTGTTCAAATATACCTCGATGCGCAGGAGGAGCGACTCCAGCGCCGACTCCTTCTTCTCGTACAGATCACGGCCAACCCAGGGCAGCGTGGAGAGGACGGCAAAGACGAACCAATCGCGACGCACCTGCGGCACTGTATCTTCGTTGGACACATCGATCATTGTGTCCAGCAGCTGCAGCAGACTGGTGGCCGAGATCACGTGGCAGTTGACCAAATCGGCGAGAAAGCGCAGCGAGTAGCGGGCCGCGTCCCAGCGGCACATCTTCAGCGACTCCTTGAACGTTTTCACCATGTGATCGACGAACTCGCCGCCGAACTTGTAGTTCTTGGCGTTCAGCAGACCCACCAGCGTCGTGTACACTGTGCACTTCTCTGGCATGCGCACGGCACAGTCGGACAGAATGCGCAAAATCTTCAGGCGAAAGGTGCCCAGATCGGCCTCCAGCACGGACACAAGTCCCTCGAGATTCGACTCCACCGACGAGGTGCTGCGCTCTCCCACGCGCAGAATCAGCGACTCCAGGCGGTCCTCGATCTCCTGGTTCTCCGACACTCGGCGGCGCTTGTTGCGACGATGATCTGCATTTGGAAATTGGGAATCCTCCAGTTACCGACTTTCAGAGGCCAAGTTAGATTTCAACCCACTCACCATAGCTTTCGTCCTCCGTGTCGTGGGCCCGTCTGCGACTCATCTTTCCGCACTAATGGACCTCTTACTCTGGGACTTTCACTTCGCTGGCGCTTCCTTTGCTAAAATGCCAAAATGCGCTTGTTGCCTCGTTCCACCGGCACGCTTTGTTGGGTTACCTCCTGGCTGGGAGGCGGCGCCTGTCTTTGCTGCTGCTCCTGGCTAGGAGTTCGGGAGTTGCTGATGGTCAGCGTCAGCTACGTGTCGTCTCTGTTGGAGGCGAGCTCTCTTGACCCGTGTCAACTCTTGAATGGCTTTTTGGAACAATTTTCCAGCGGATGCGGCGCTTCGTTCTTTTTTTTGCCAGCGACTAGAGGTGCGCAGACCGCGATTACCGGCAGTATCGATAACGGCGGATGGCGGCGTGTCGGCTTCACGCATGCACGAGAAACTCACGAAAAGAACCGGCAAATGGACCATAACAATGCATGAAAATTTATTAAAAGTTTTGAATTGGGAACAAAACAAAAGAGAAACAAGAAAGAAAGCTGCATAACTGCATTGCACCGCAGTTTGTAGTCCCTTGCACTTGTCAAGGGTATGAAAAGGAAAATGGTATAACAGTTGCCTGCAAATCGAACATCGACTTGTTTCCAGCTCTAGCGATACAGGGTAATCGATCGATAACACCAATCGTGCTTCCAGTCATTAGCTTTTGTCGTCCCGGCCTGGTAATTTGTAGACCAAAATGAAGTTACTTCTGGCGCTATCCCTCAGCATCCTGCTGATTCTGCCGGCCGAGTCCTTTGAGCCCTTAACCATGACCGCCATAGGCGTCGGCCTCGCCGGCTCTGCTGCGTACCTCAGGTGCAAGTTTACCGAGTGCTGCGATGACCGCAACATACCCGGCAACATACATGGTGAGTGTTTTGTGCATCTTTGTTATCGTTTTTTTTTTTTTTTTAATTCAGAGGATTCCCCGCTTAGCACTCCAAAACTCGTTACAACAAACGCTCTTTGGGCAACACATTGTGATGCAGCACATTGTGCCCGCCCTGAAGGCTCACTTCAGCTCACACAGTACGTCGCGAAAGCCACTGGTGATCAGCTTTCACGGGCAGCCGGGAACGGGCAAGAACTTTGTGGCGGATCAGATTGCCGAGGCGCTGTACCTTAAGGGCTCCAAGTCCGGCTACGTATCCAAGTATCTGGGCCAAGCCGACTTTCCGAACGAGAATGACGTAGCAATTTACAAGGCGCGAATCAACCGGGAGGTACGAAGGCAGTTAAGCGACTGCCCGCGGTCGCTGTTTATCTTCGACGAGGTGGACAAGATGCCCAGCGGCGTCTTTGACACGCTCGCCTCGCTGGTCGACTATAACGCCTTCGCCGATGGCACGGACAACACGAAGGCGATCTTTATCTTTCTATCGAACACGGCCGGCAAGCACATAGCCGACCATCTGGGCGAACTGATGAACGCCGGAAAGATGCGCGAGGACACCCGGCTGAGCGACTTTGAAGGACTTTTGCAGAAGGCCGCCTACAACTTGGACGGTGGCCTGAAGAAGACCGCCCTGATAGAGGCGCACGTGATCGACCACTTTATACCCTTTCTGCCGATGGAGCAGAGTCATGTGGTCAAGTGCCTGGAGGCGGAGTTCTGGCGTTGGGATAGAAGGCCCAATCAGAAAGTAATCGAAGACATTCTCAAAACCTCGATCGTATATGATCGCACACACCTTAAGTTCGCCATCTCCGGGTGCAAGACCCTGGAGAAGAAGGTGGCCATGGCCATTGCACCAAACACTTATTAGTCCCGGTTCAACATTCGTTTGTTTTCTGCGTATTTTGCAAAACAATTTTTAAGGAATAAAGTTAACAGGTTATTATTACGTTTGCACGACTACCACGGATTCAGCCACTTGAGGCGGGCATCCTTGCGCAGCAGATCGGTGTCCAGTCGGCGAGGCTGCTGGTCGAATTGATCGCGTGCCTCCAGGCGGACCTCCACTGGTCCAAGATCCTTGGTAACCAGACACTCGCCATTCTCCTTGAGTATCGTGTGCCGCACATCCTGGGCCGTTGGTTCGCCGTAGGGAAACGTTATCGGGGTGACCTTCACCAGGTGCTTGATCTTCCACAGACGCGCATTGTTCTCTGGTATATTTTTAACCACCGTAAAGTCGCTCTGCTTGCCGTCCAGCCCCAGATCCTTGAGTATGCGCTTCTCCCAGTAGGGATTGCCCTTCACCGGCTTGATGCGCTGCACCCGGAACAGCTTGGCCGGCTCCACTGGTGGGTCCTGATGGTCTGCTGTCCTGCGAATACCGGAAAATGGTGTTAAAGTGCGGCACTTTTCACCGTGCAACCACTCCACCTGGGGTAGTATGTAATGCCCTCGAATTTCTGGCCATCCTTGTATAGGAACTTCTTGTTGTGTTTGCCGTAGGTGCGCACTGGGCATGTGCTGCTCCGCAGGGGTGCCAGTAGTCGCGACAGGTTCATTTTATTTGATTATTTTAGCGAAAAGCAATTGACAACAAGAATTTGTGTTATGAAATGCAATGTGTGCTACCGATATAATGACAATTTATCGATACTTAGAGGTGGAACCTAGTTTTGTTCGAAAATGTGCCAGCAGTGTTGGTAAATGAGCTGGCCTTAAAATCGATACTTGTAATCGATTATTGCATTCCCGCGCGTATTAAAATTTGAAATCTCACCCAGCATCCCAGCATAGAGGGTGGTTTTCCCTCAAAAAGGGGCGGTCCACCGCCATTTTGTTCTTCTTGAAGGGAGCGCTTTAATTGGCGCTAGATGATGAGGGTAGTAAACCTGCCATTGGCTGTTGTTTTTCTCACCCAAGGGTAGTTCCGGTTTTCGCAATAAAGGAAGCTGCAGCCTCGCGACCGGAAGTCAGTTCGACGCTTGTCTCCTTTAGGCGAGCACCAGCAGCAGAGCCCCAGTGGATTTTTAAAAACAGCTTCTACTAGGTAGAAAAAGGATCAAGGAATAATTTGCACCTGTGTCTTCTGTGAGTTTAGGCTTTGTAAAATTAAATGATTTAAAAGTGGGATAAAAGTGATTCAGGATTATGCAGCAAATTAAAAAAAAAAAACTAAAAACCGTTTTTAAATTAGTTTTCGGTCGAAAAAATGTTTTTTTTAATGTACAAATAAAAATGAGATAGTTGAAATAATTTTTTTGTGATGTAAAAAAGTGCTTGAATTATATAAACTTAATCAATAAGTTAGTAACAGTTTTAAGTTAAGTTACATATTTTTAATCCTTAAAAATGAAAATTTATTTATTTAAAAGAATTACGAATTTGATAAGCTTATATAATACAATTTCGAAATAATTAATAATACTTTAAAATTGAAAGCTTATTTTATTTATTTACATCATTTTAATCCTAAAAAAAATTAAGCCTTAAGGCTGTTTAAAAATATTCCGCAAATGTGGTTAATTTTTATTCATGGCAGATACCAAAATTGTCACAAATCTCTAGAGACTTGGGCCTCATCGAACTAGATCCTATTTCACTTAATCCCATTTGGCGGATACCCAAGAGGGCAACAATAGTCGCGACCACGTCCACGACCACGTCCACATCCATGTCCTTGTCCTGGTGCAATTTGTGTGTGACTTTTCAGAAAAGCCCATTAAATAAATGCGAATAAAATAATATGTAAACCACAAAAGGGTCTCGGTTTGCCTCGATCCAAAAGGGGTTGAGGTCTGAGGTCCTTTTCTTGAGATGGAACCCAACTCCCGCGGGCAAATAAACGTGCCGATTGTTCCGGCTATTTGTGTAGGTGTGAAAATATGTTGCGAATAAACAATAAACACAATAAGTACAATAAAAATAAATGAAAATAATAGAAAAGGCAAACACAACACAAAAAGGGGTGTAAAGGGTGTACAGGAGTGTGCTGCCGCACACACCCTCCACAACAAATGCACACAAATGAACCATAAATAATGCAAGTGTTTGATTTGTGGGGTTACGCTACCCGGGATTTAATGCGGAAGGATTAGACAGCAAGTGTCCTTCTTGGGCATTATTCTAGGCACACAATATAGACATACTTTAAGTCAGATAATAATTCTGAATAAGTTATTAATATATTTTAAATAAGACTTTAACTTTTCTATGCCACAATTACTCACTTTTCCGAATCATTTATAACTCCTTCCTCACAGCTGCAGGTCCAAGTTTAAGCTCCCGAGAAGAAGATGGTCTACGACATGACGCACATGGCGGCGGGTCCGCCGCAGAGCATCGCCCTGAGTCGCTACTACCTGCCCGAGGAGGATGAGATGGTCGTTGGAGCCAACAATCCGCATTTGGTTAGCGACGACTATGCAGCCAGCACCACGCTGGATATCGACAAGCGCTTCCAGGCGCGTATGGCCTGCGAGACGGCTGCCCAGCCGGCTCCGCCGCCGCCTCCCACACCGGCACCGCGTCGCCGGACCACTCCCATTGCCCACCTGGATCCTTCGGAGCTGGTGGGTTTGTCGCGCGAGGAGCGTCGTCGCCGACGCCGGGCCACGCTCAAGTATCGGACGGCACATGCCACGCGAGAACGCATCCGGGTGGAGGCCTTTAACGTGTCCTTCGCTGAGCTGCGCAAGCTGCTGCCCACTTTGCCGCCGGACAAGAAGCTGTCCAAGATCGAGATCCTCAAGCTGGCCATCTGCTATATTGCCTATCTAAATCATGTGCTGGAGACGCCCTGAGACAGCGCCGGCGCCTCCAGCTTCGCCACCAGCTGCCTCTTCAACGAGGCCAACTTCTTTGCCCCCCCGTAGGAGGTGGGGGGGCGGCAGCTGTGTCACCAGGATCCGTGGGCGTGGTCCGAATAGAGGGTCATTTCTGTTCTGGCGGAAGAGAAGGGAGGAAAGCCCGCGGAACCATCTGGTGCTCCATCGTTCACTTATATTTGTGGTAATATTTCTTAACCAGAGGTTACCCAGGCAAACGGCTTCTTGACAAACGGATAAGCTTGAGAAATTCTACAATTGTCTTCAGGGGTTTGCTGATTAAATATTTAACCGGAAGCCGTCTTGGACACGGATTTAAGTCTTACCTTATGGTTATAATATTTAACCAGAAGTTAACCTAACAAGTATTTCCGAGCCACCTGGATAGCTCTTTGCCCATCAATCCTGGTACAGCAACATGCAATTCTGTTTGAGGTTACCTATAATTATATTATTTAACCGGATGTTTGCCGTCTAGCTAAACTATGATTATAGTTAACTAGAAGTTTTCCACATATCTAGGTGATTTGACCATAAATATTACGGTTATTCAGATATATAGTAACTTTGACTATTAATTTATATTAATTATTTGAAATTGTTTTGAAGGAATTTCCCGTCTGTTTTTCTTAACCTTATGTTAAATTTATTAATCCCCAATGTCTCGCTTTCTTTCTCTGGTTATAGTGGTTAAAGCATTGAGAAAATGACTTAAAAATTTGTTTATATACTGTTTAACATATTTATTTTTGTTTTTGTTTAAATGAAAATTTGAGTTAATTTAACCCAAGGTTAAAATTCTAAAAATGATATTTTACAAAAGAGCGTTTATAATTTATATATTTTAAGCACTTAACCAGAGGTTAAACAGCGAGCAAAGATGTCATGTAAACAGTTAAGCTGTCCATTAGAGAGTTCATTTATTTAAAATTTATATAATATTTGCATTTAACCAGAGGTTAAAGCGCGAGTAAAAATGTAATGTAAACAGTTAAAGTGTCCAAGGATTAAATTTGAATATTTAATTTGTGTAACAATATTTATTTTAAATACTACTAAGTAATTTAATCTCCAAAAAAACCATAGATCATAGAAGAATCCTAGGCATAATCAATACATTTTTTTGTGTAGCTTGTAAGTTGTGATATTTCTTTATACTACAAATATGATGTGTATGCGTGTGTGTGAATAAAACAGTCAAACAATAAATATATTTAAATACAAGCATATTTTACAAAATTTCATGTGACGAGACCGGTTTTCCCGAGTGTTTCCCCAGCCTCCATTTTGGCTTTGCCACCTCCTCTCTTCGAGTCTCATCTGCTGTGGCTGTGTTTTTCATTTGTTTGGACAATTTCCCTGGGAAAGCCAGCTGCTAACCGACCCCGAGAAAACCCCATGCCGCCAACTTCCTTTTATTCCCACCGCCGCCCACTTGGAACAAAAAGGTAAACGCCCCTTTTCGAAAAACAGGGTCACTGGTGGGTAGTAAAAATGTATGCCCTAAAAAATGAATTACATTCAAAGTGAGATTTTATTTATTTTATTTAAATTGTATTTAATTTTAATCCATTTTTTTTATAATTTAAAGAAAAATGTTCATTTAAGTTTTGCTTTTTGAAGGAACTTCGACTTTGAAAATGAAAATTCGATGATGGCCCCTTTTGCATGAAACACCCTGTAACCGGGCGTGGGAGGCTGTCGGCCAGAAGAGAGTTTGTCAACTTTTTGAAATTTCTCTCTGCATTCTTTTAAAAACGGCCCAATTTCCGCCAGGGGAAGGAGGGGGCGTGGCAACCCAAGATACAGGTGTATGTATATCAATTTTGCAACAATAACAACGTGGCAATGGCAACCACTTGGACTCTCTGTCTCTTCACCTGTCTCCCTCTCGCTTCCCCGTAGGGGGCCTGCCTGCATTCCGACAGTCTGAAGCCTGTCTTGTCCTGAGAGTGCAAGGGAGAGGGAAGTATAAACATAAACAAACTGCAGGCGACAAAAATGTCATTTTTTTTTAGTAAACTTTACCTTGAAATTCGATTTAATGTTTAAGGGTTTATTAATTTTATTTTATTTTAGAAAGTATTCATTATTGTTTGTTGATTTAAATTTAATTCTTGGGAATATATAATTTGTATTTAAATATGATAATAATATAAATAATATTTTAATTTGTATTATTTGGAATTAATTTTTATGAATATAATATAATTTGATATATATTTTTAAGCGAAATAATTGTAACCTGTGCCAGACAGGCTTTTCTTTTCGAGTGACGTATATACGCATATCGTAAATGTATCCTTTACCGTTATGGCTACCACCTCCCACTACCCCCCCACCGCCTCCCTCGATTTGCACATTTGCAAATAGCGACAGTTAAGTTTATTTACTTGGTAACGGTAACTTTGGACCAGAATTGCCACGCAACTGGATTCGGAGCACTGGAGTTATTTATATTTCCGTATTCCATTCCCAATATACACACACAATCGGTTGGCTGAAGGAATTTCCGCGAGGGAAAATTGTGGATTTGATTGTTTTTTTTTCGAATCTGCCAGGATCTAGAATGGTTTTCCAATTGGCCAGGACGACGACAGCTACTGGTAAATTGATGAAAGGAGCAGAGCAAGTGCACAGCGGCAGAGCGTGAAATTAGCTTAAGTGTTTGTCGCCTCGACCAGGACAAAAGGAGGAGGAGAAGGAGCAGTAGCAGGAGGAGGAGGAGTAGTAGAAGGAGCAGGAGCAGCAGCAGCAGCAGCAGCAGGAGCAGTACCAGCCGTAAGTCCTTGGGCTACAAGTGCAAGGGCCACAACACCACATCCTTGCACGTGTGCCCAACTAGCTTTTTGACTGTCTCGGTCCCGTAATCCAACGGACGCGGATGCGGACTGCACCATGTGATAAATTGCACCCCAGAGGGTTGCCATAAAAATCATCGCTTCCAAGGGGTGACGGTGTGCTGTTGATGATAGTATATCCCTGCCCGAGGGTGGGCTGTATTTGTATCTATTCCGGAATAGAAGCACACAATGCCTGCGCCCATCCATCTGGGCCCATCCAAGTGTCGTAATCCGGATGGCATTGTGTAGTTTCGGTGTCCGCTTAAACGCCTCCACTTTTGTTGCTAATTGAGTTTAAAATCAATTTGTATTTTACGCCGGAATCTGTGGCAATAGCAGTGGGATGCCCACCCGGAAAATGATGTTGTGTAATTGCCGTGCAAATTTAATTACACTGCCAACACCATCTCCATCTCATCTCATCTCATCTCATCTCATCTCATGTCATCCATTGTGGTGACCAGACACGCGTTGCGAACGTGTGCCGAGTGCAACACGCCCACACCAGAGGCCTGGTAGCCAGGCCACCCACTCCCCCTGATCGATCAAGGTCTCAATCAAGTGCTGACATCCCGGCCAGCGTCGGAGGGTATCGAGTTACCCAAACGCTCTGCGTCTGCCCATTTGCATTTGTTGATTGAAATCCCGCGTCCGCGTGGGAACCCAAGAGTTCTGGGATTTTGTTTTTCGAAAGTTAAGTTAAGTTAAGAAAGACAGCCTCCTTTAGAAACTTTAAAATTTAAATTTAATAGTCGTTTTAAATTATTTAGAAATTTCTAAATATTCCCAACATTCATTCATAACGAGAGAAAATAATTTCCAACAATTGAAGACATATTGCTTGGCTACCTGCCCGCTCTGTGGGCTAAGTCCCCCTGATAAATGATAACCAGGGATTGTCCAGTTTTTTAACGCGCCTCCTCTGGCTTTGACTTTCGAAGGGCAAACACAGACTGAAGCACAAACAAGGCATTAAGTGGCATTAGACAAATGCGTTTCTACACATGTTCCGGCACAGAGATTACGCCGTGTAATTGGCTCCCTTACCGGGGTTGTTCCGTCCCAGGGTGGGCTTTTTTTTTATCAATTGGTTTGTTTGCCCGGGGACCATAAATAAGGGAATTACTCGAAAGGCGCCGGGGGGGAGGGAGGGTTTTCCTAACAGGTGTCTATCGAGTCTCCTGGCTAAGCTCTTAACCCGCGTTAACCCCTCGACTTTGTTGCAGTTTGAGGGCACCCCAAGCGATTGGCAGTTGCTCCCCACAAGAGCGTTCAAGGTCGTTTCCCAGCCAAGAATGGACACCTGCTGCCCCGAGTGCTTGTTGTTTCAAATTTATTTGGTTTTCTTTGGGTTTTCGGTTTAAATTTGAGATATTGTTAAATTATTCTTAAAAATAATATGTATTTTAATTCCTAGGGATGCCGGCCTGTGCTGGAACTATTAGCTAAATCTCGATCTCTGCAGAGACCCAGCATTGAGGTGAGTCAATGGTTTCAATTGTCAAATTTCATTAAGTCATCCCCTTAATCATGTTTCACCTAAACGCATATTATTCATTTATCTGTAAATAAAGTCAACTCATTCTCATCGGCATCTCCATTTCCATCTCCATTTCCATCTCCATCTCCATCTTGATCCCTGCTCCTTGCCTGCACCCTCCTGTTAATGTAAAGTGAAAGCCAACATCCCAAACCCATTGAACCATGTCGCAAGCAGCCATTCCGGACTTCACCTACACCCCAGGCGACCTGACGGAGCCCCAATTCCGGCTGCCCACGCACCAGCAGTTGCTGGACCTCAACCGGAATCCGCCGGAGCCAGTGCCCCTCAGTCGCCTCACCTTGGACACCAGGGAGACCCAGCCGATCAAGTACCGAGAGCAGCTTGGCTCGGCGGCAGGCCGCCAGTTTCCTGCCTTGGCAGCGGCCCAAAATCGCTACTCGGATCACCTGGAGCGGAGCAGTGAACTCAGCCTGACGGCCTTCGATCCCGGCAAGGATCTCATCTCTCTGCCTACGGTGGCTGCCACCCCCAGCGGCCGCAACTACGACCCGGATCCGGATCTTATCAAGAAGATGCCGTTGCACTCGATCACGGAGAAGCCCAACGAGCGCTGCCCATCGCCGGTGGTCCCGGCCTACGCCAACTTCGAGCTGGCCAAGCGGATGCATCAGGACAATTTGGACCACCAACCGCTGCCGGACTGCGTGGCCGATCTGGCCTTTCGGCGGGCGCAAATCTCCGGCGGCCATGCCGGCCTCTCGCTGGAAATTGATCCCATTGCCACGGGCGTGGGCGTAAAGACGCACAATGCCGGCCCGACGCACTGCACCAAGATGAAGGTGTTCCGCCCGAAGACCGGTGGCGGCATAGTTCCCAAGGCTCTGGGCGGCGGTGATCCGTTCCGGGGTGTTGGCTCGGCGCCGGCCAAAAAAATGGGTCCCATGGACCTGGCCATTTGCTGGGACTTTAAGCCGGCGAATCCGTCAGATGAACCGCGTCTGGCCCGGCACATTGATGGCTCCAATGACTCCGCCGGCCCCGCGGTCTTCACCTGTGTGAAGACACCGCGCGAGGAGCAGTCCGCGGATCTGGGCAGATCGGCCGGCGTCTTCACCAGCACGCTGGGCGAGGCGGACTTTTTCGACAAGGATATACTGCGGCGACGAACGGACTTCGGAGGAGCCCGGCTGGACCGGGAGGATCCCTGTGCCTGCGATTACTCGCCGCCCGCCCGCCAAAGGGCGCGCAGTGTGTCCCGGGACTCGAGTGCCTCGCAATGCCGCCGCCCAGGATTGGGTTCCGGCGGTGGCGGCGGCGGAGTGAGCTTTGGAAATCTGGCGGAGCTGCCCGGACGGGGCATGCCCGATCGCCTGGCCAAGCAGTATCAGTCGTCGCCTCTGCTGGGCGACAAGACTTACCAAGCGCTAAGGGAGAAGTACTTGGGTCCGGACTCGGCCCAGGAGTGCCAGCCGATGGACTGCAGGCCCTCGGGCGGACCGGCCTGCAAGCGTGACGTCCTGCTCCGACGTCCGGCCCGCCGTCTCTGCCACAAGGTAGGTCCCGCTCCGCGCTGCTGTCCCCCGGCCTTTGGCCACGGACACGGACACGGACATGGCCATGGACATGGACACTGCCTGACCAGCAAGGCAGCCTTTCGGGCCGGCGTGCCCAAGCACAATGCCTCTGGGGATTTTGTGGGTGTGGAGCCGCCCTGCGGCGGTGGCGGCGGGGGTGCTAGGGTCTTGGTGGTGCCACGCCCCCGACAGCCGTACTCCAAGAAGAACTATGACATTGATACACTGGTGCCGCCGTTCCAGAGCCAGGCCGGCGGAGCGGGTCAGGGCGGCTATCCGGAGCACTGGCGGCTGGCCAGTGTCTACCAACATGCCTACAAGCCGTTGGACCAGCGAAGGCGACCCCTCCTCCAAACTGTCTACAAGTAGTTTCCCCTGATACCAAATCCTTGCACCTTGCAGAAGGAACATCCAAGTTTTAGGGGGAAAAGCCAGTTAAGTTACAGTTGTCCGTGAATATTTAGCGACATTCTTGTTTGGTTTCTCTTTAAATTGGAATGTTTAGCTAATGGTTAGGCTGTCCGCTAAAAAAAAGCGATGTCCGTCCAAGAGAATTTTGCCTTAGCTGTAGACTAAAAAATGTTTTGTCCAAGGGAAACGATTGAAAATAAATGAAATAATATTAAAAACCAAATAAAATTAAAAAGAATAGAAATAAATAATACAAAAATTATATAAATACAAATAAAAATTTAAATAAAAATAAATAAATAAAAATAAAAAAGTAAATCAATTAAAAGTAAATAAAAATAAAATAAAAAGTAAATTAAGAAAAAAAAAATTAAATAAATTAATTTTAAAAAAATATAAATAAATTAAAAAAAATAATAAATGCAAATATAAAAATAAATAAATTAATATTAAATAAAGAAAAATACAAATTAATAAATAATGAAAAAAATTAATAAATAAATATTAAAAACCTAATAAATAAATATACAAATAATTATGACTTGTCCGTCAAAAAGATACCATTGTCCGCTATTTTAGCCTAGATTTCATTTAGGATTATCGGTTGGTGAAATAAATAAAGAAAAAATCAGCTATTCTTGAATATTGTTTAACTTTTTAATTTCTTGCATATTCTTAAAAAAATAATGTTTTTTTATGCGTTTAGTGGCTTTTTTTTGCATTCTAGAATTTGGTTTAAGTAAGAAAAGTCTTAAAAATGATCTGTAATACCCATAAGCTACACAATAAACGATCACCCAGCATAACGTGTTAAAAATATTACCAAAATGGTCCAACAATTAGATTTAAGAAATGCACTTAGTATTTGATGTTAAAAAACAAAAAGAATTTAGATTTGATAGGATTTTTAAATACGAAATTCAAGGGATACGCCCACAAATAATAATTCTTATTGAATTTCGTATTTAAAAATAATAAAAATTATAAATTAAAACTATACACATTCCCCCCTCCTCCCCTGGAGTACACACTCAAAATCCATATACAAATTGTATGTAAAAAAACAAATGTTATATTCAAAAGGACATAGACAAAACATATATAAAGATATATAGAAAAACATATATTTAAATATATATTAATAAACGTGCAAACATCAAGTTCTTAACATCATAAAACATTGTGTGTGATGTAAATGTGTAAAAAGTTCTTCTGAAAAAAAATCTCTTACAGCTAGATTTTTATCCATGGAATCCTTCGATGGCTTCCTTTCGTGCGCTGGTTTTTGTGTGACAATCTTTGGGTGAATTTTTTTTTTGTGGTGCTTGTTGTAAAACTTATCTAGGTGCTAAAATATGGGTTAAAAAGTAGCGAACAAAAAGTGGGAGTAGACTATGGTTTACTTCTTAATATGTAAGAGTTACCCTAGAAATCTCAATGATCTTTAGAGAGCCGCCTCATCGAGAGTGAGTTTACAAATCCAATTCATGGGTGCTTTTTTAGGAGAGAAACCCAGACTTTGTAGCTTAAAATTTGCTGCTCAACCCTGCTAATAGATCAACTTTAAGCCAGGGATATACCAAAGACATTAAAATTATTAAGATGAACTAAATTTAAGAAAGCCTGAAGCCAGTTCAAAAGCGTTACTCATCTTAGTAATTTTAATGTCTTTGGATATATGTGCCTACAGAGAGATTTCGGTGGCACTTCCACATAAGAAATCAAGTTAAAACGAAGTATAATGGACCATAGATTACTCCCCCCTTCAACCTTCACTTGGCGGTGGCATAGGCATCGTGACTCTTGTGGAACACATGACGCAGCACGTCGCGCGTGGACCGACGGATGCTGTTTCTCAGCGTGTGCTTCTTCTCGTTGGTCAGCTGATCGATGGTCATGTACTCCGTTTGGGCAACACTCGAGCGCAGCTTCATCGTACGCTCGCTGCTATCAATGATGGATATATCGGGCAGTCCGGGCTCCATCTCCGCCTCTGAGACTGTTGTTGTCTTTTGAGGTCTGCGGCGGAGGCTGTGCCTTATGCTGGTCAGTATATTGTGATGCTCTCGGATTTCCTCTGGCTTCTCGGGCGAGGTGTGTTGGGTGGGATGCATCAGTCGTCGTATGGACTTTCTTATCATGCCCTTCATGCCACCACCGGCGGAGGTCTTCACCTCACCGGACTTGCCAGACTTACTGGATCCGATGGAGTGGAGGGACTCCTTGCTGGCTGCAGCAGGTCTGTAGGCCCTAACGAAGCGTGCGGGTGCCTTGAAGTCCACGAGGTCATCGGGCTCTTCGTCGGACTCGGAGGCATAGGCAACATCGGCCTGACCTTTATCCTCTTCTTGCAGGAGGTTCTCCTCCTGCTCTAGGAGGTTTTCCCTCTCCTGGAGTTCTTCCTGCTGCTTCTCTCGCTCCATGAGCTTAACCCTCTCCTGGAGCTTCTCCCGGAGTTGTTCGTGCAGGTTCTCCCGGAGTTGTTCGTGCTGCTTCTCCTGCAGCTTTTCCCGGAGTTGTTCGTGCAGCTTCTCCCGGAGTTGTTCGTGCTGCTTCTCGCGCTCCAAATGCTTCTCCCTCTCCAATAGCGTCTCCCTCTCCAATAGCGTCTCCTTCTCCACCTGCCTCTCCCGCACCCGCTCTGTCTCTTCCTCCCGCAACATCCTCACCCGCTCCACATCCTTCTGCTCTTCGCCCTGCCCATGTTGATCCACCTCTGGCGCCTCGCTTATCTCGGTGAGAGTGCGTCGCCGAGTGCAGATCAGACGCCTCTCCGTGCCTAGCTGCTGCATCATTACATCCTGGGATTCTGTCTCCATCACCAGCGACACCTTGGGCGACGCCATGTTCTCCAGACTCTTCCTGGCCACCTCCCTCTCCAGCACCACACCGTTCTTCCGCAGCTTGGCTTCGTTGATGCTGTTCTCCAGCTCCAGCTGATAGCGATCCAGCTCCTTGCCAATGTCCATGGTGGACTCCTCGCTGATGGCACCCAGCGATCGCTTGGGCGCTGGAACTGGCGAGAAGACTAGCTTCTCGGCCAGCAGCTTGCTGGGCGTCAGCTGGGCCAGGGAGAGGCCATGGAAATCAATGCGACAGCCCACATTGGGAGCAAAGGGCAGGCCGATCTTCAAGCTGGTTGGCAGAGGCTCCTCCTCGGTATCCCGCTCGGCCAGAGCGGGATTGCTTACGCCTGCTGGATTGCAGGCGGCGGTCGAGGCCTCACTTGGCCGGTGAATCTCGAAGGGATTGAGCGAAGCCGGAGCATCGCTTCCGCGCAAATTCAAAGCCGGATTCACGAAGCCCTTGGAGGGCGTGGTGGCCAAACGGATGACCTGGAAAGCGTTGAAAATGGGTTAATTTACTTTTACATTATTCTTATTAATTAAAAAATTTATAAATTACCTCGTACGGATTAAACTGCTTTTCCGGCAGCTCCAAATTCAGGCCAGGATTCTCAAAGCAGGCTGGCTGCTGTTCGCGCTTCTTTTTCTTTGGAGGCTGACGCAGCACCTCAAAGGGATTTGTGGGCAGCTGTACCTGCTGCTGTTGCTGCTGCTGCTTGTCGGCCAGATCCGATATGGACTTGACCTCCAGGCCGGGAAAGGGATTGCTATTCTCCTTGGCCAGGCGTCGGCGGCCAATCAACTTTTTCGGCGTTGAACTGAAGGCGGCGTTGGTGAAGCAGGACTCTGACGCCGCAACAGCGGCAGCTGCATCCTGTCGCACCTGGACGCCCCTTTCCGGGGGTAGTTGTGGCGTCGGGGGCGGGGGAGCATGGCTATGAACGGCCGTTTCCCTTTTGCGCTTGCGCGGCGTCTCCGTGAACACTAATTCAGCTATGCTCTTGGTCTCCAACATGGTCAAAGCAGAGCTTTGTTTCTTTTTCGTAAAATTAATTAAACACTGGATTCAAACAACGCAGCAGGACACATAAATAAAAAAACGAAAAACTCGATTTGTTTGGCTGCGCGTCTATTTGAAAATTCAGCTTTAGCGGTTAACCAACACTGCAGGCGTACTAGTTGGGCCGATGGTTATCGATATCGATAGGTACGGCAATTTAATTATTCTGCTAAATAAATTAAGGACATTATTATGTTTATATATTTTACTTTAAATCATTTAATAAATTGAATTGTTTTTTGAGAACCGTATTAATTTTAAAGCACAACATATAACATATAACAGTTTTTGTTGAGTTGCTCTTTGGCCATCTCTAAGTCCAGCGCCTCCAGGCTGCATTTACCAACACTGACGCGACCGCTGCCTAAATTTCAACATTTGAAAAACACAGAAATAAAACGCAGCTGCTGCACGTAAAACTGAGCTAAAACCTCAATATAATTAGAAAATCCTCGGGAACTGTGAGTGGCGTAGCCTCCTAAATTCGACCAGATGTCCAGCTGCGGGTCCAGGCAACGAAAAACGGCGAAATCCTCGCGTATTCCTCCACAGGCCAGGGAATACATTTCGGAAATGGCCGAGGATCGGGAACTGGAGCGATTCATGGCCTTGTCATCGACTGCCAGCAGCGGAGCGAGTGGCAGCATCCACACCTGTGCCGTGCGTGTGAGCTTAGCAACGGAGACTGCTGCAATCTCCCGACCTGGAGCCCGCCGCCCCAGGAGCAAGGACTGCCAAACGGTGGCTAAACAGGCAGATGGAGCAGCTGAAGAGGCTCTCTTGCAGCTGCCAGCATCTCCCACGGACCAACAACAGCCGGCAAAGCCAGCAAAAAGCCAAGAGAGTTCACCCGCAGCAGATAGCTATCGCATCATTCCGATTGTAATGGTCGACGATCAGAGCAAGTCTCGTCCAGCTGCTGCCACCCAAACCATGTCCCTTTCCGTGGAGGACCTGCGCACACCCACCAAACAGCCCACGGAGATGCACACGAAGAAGACACAGACGCCGGAATCGGCACTCAAGTCGCACAAGCGTCTGGAATGGGATCCGGCCGCCGACGTTGGTTACTACAAGCGTGCAGTGTCCACGAGTAATATCAGCACGCTGGAGCGCTCCGTGCTGGAGGAGTGCGGTTGGCGCCAACCGATGCGGTCCGAGACAGACTTGGACAGATTGCAGCGTCGGGAGAGCGATGAAAAGGCAGGCACTCCCATAGAGGAGAAGACAACTGTACCGCTGGCATCCAGTACTATGGTAGGGCGCCAGGTGGCATCGGCAGGCGTCTCCCGAAAGGCGGATTCGTACAGTAGCTCCCGGGGCGAGGTATCTAATGGTAGCTCCAGAGGAGAGCCATTTAACAGCAGCTCCAAGGGAGAGATTCTCCCAAGCAGCTCTAAAGAAGGAGAAGTTCTTCCAAGCAGCTCCAGGCGGAAGGCTCCGCCCGGCAGCTACAAGAGCGTGGCTTCCAAGAACAGCTTCAATCGAAAGGACTCCCATAGCAGCTCTAGGAAGGAAACAACATCCCTGGGCAGCTCCTCCAAAAAGGAGACTCCCTGCAGCAACTCCAGCAAGAAGGAACTAAGGACTAGTTCCAGTCTAGAAGCTCTGCAGGCGCAGGTCAGCTCCCGAAGGGAATCGCTAGTTAGCAATCCCCAGGCAGCCTCAAGGCTCAGTTCCAGAGCAGAAAACTCGCAGAGCAGCTCCAGGCTAGGCTCTGAAATGAGTTCTAGGCGCGAGTCGCAGGGCACCTCGCTATATGGCAGTTCGGCGGCCAGTAGCTTCGATTACCACATCAACATGGAGCAGGAACAGGAGTGGCTCAAGTCATTGCAGAAGCAGCAGCAGGAGGAGCAGCAAAAGGAGCCGCACAAGGAGGCTAAAGGTGGTGAAAAGGATCAAAGGCAGGCGGAGCCCAAGAACAGAGATCAGAAGAAAGCGGAACAGCGGGAGAAGCAGCGCCAGCAGGAGCGCCAATTTACAGCCGCTCAATTCGAACGAATCCTAGGTAGTCGGCGGCTTGAAAACAAGGAGAACCATCGTCCAGAATCCACCTCCACGTCCGTGTCCTCACAGCACGCTGCCGCTGGTCATAAGAGAGATCTCGACCTGGGCATTGATCTGCTCTGCTCACTGGTGGAGGCGCGCAGCCTCAGTCAGGGGCAGAAGAAGTCACTGGTGCGGGACATAGCCAGGCGGATTGCCTGCCTCGACCTGGCGGAGTCCAGCAGCACGGCAAGCAGTCGCAGGGAGCGGGCTACAAAGCCTGTTACCGTGACTGCTTCTCTCCAGCGTCAGGATGTGGCCACGAATACATCGCTGGCGGGATCACTAAGCTCCTCCTCGCCCCAAGTGGTGACCCTGCCCGTTCCAGCTCCGCGAAAACGCAACGTCGATGGTACACCTTCACCGCTGCACAGCAGCTCCATGTCAGCCTCCACCAGTGCCTCCAACGAGGTCATAACCCAGAAAACAAACATACCCACACGTGATGCCGCCTCCACGGATGCGGATGTGGATGTGGATGCAGATGCGGCCATACGGGATGCCCTGACTCCGATGACGCAGAGCGAAATCGAGTACGAGGAGCGCATGAAAGCGGGCATGGACCCCGAGCGGAGGAGTCAGCTCAACTGGATCGAGGCGGAGATTGAGCGCTTGCAGTCGCTGAAGGTGTTTTTGGAGGAAGTCGAGGAAAATCAGCCCAAGGCAGCGGACGAGGAATTAATTGAGGCAGAGCCACAGGAACCGGAGGAAAAGGAGCAGGAGCAGGAGCGGGAGCCCAAGGAAGGAAGTGGGTGCAAGGCCAGGCAACTGGCTAAGGCTGTGCAAACGGAGGAGTTACAGGAAGATGCCACTCCCAAGCCCCCAGTGCGTCTTGAATCGGTGCGCGTGCCACCGAGGATAGCCGGTGACGTGCAGGCACCTCAGCCGCCGCCTCATCGCTATCCCCGCACCAAAATGGCCACGCCTGTCCTGGCCTCACACAGCTCCTCCAGCGGACGCAGCGAAAGCGTTAGCTCCTTTGTCCAGCAAAGACACCGACGCTTCCGCGAGCATTATCAGAACCAGCAGCAGCAGCAGTTGCTTCTACTCAAGCAGCAGCAAATGCAAAGCCTGCAGCAGCAGTACAAGCAGCAGCAGCAGCAGCAGCAGCAACTGTGCCAGCTTAAGCACCAACCTCGAGTGGTGATTGTCCACGAGGAGCAGCACATCGTTTGCGAGTCCCACCGGCCGGTAAGTTTAGCTTAGCTTCTGCTATACCCTTCTCTTTCGCCACTCTCAAGCCCTCTCTTTCATTTTCGCAGCAACGCCAACAGCAGGAATACATTCAGATGATGCAGTACGACCAGACGGTGGCTTCAGGCAGTGCCTATGCCACACCCCACTCGAGTGCCAGCGGTGCAGACAACGAGCGCGAGAGAGCCATCTACTACCAAGTGGTGAACTCACCGGGAGCCAGCGGCAGCTACGTCCAAGCAGAACCAGTGGCGGCCACCACCTCGTCGGGCTCCTCGATGATGTGCCTCAGCTCAGAGATGTCCATACCCATGGGCAGGGTTAATACCTGCGAGACGACCACGACGACCACCACCACGCATCAGTATGACGATGTGGCCTGTCAGCGGAGGAAGCGACGTGGCGGTGGTGAGGAGCGAATGCAGCGCCAGACTCTCCAAGTGCGTCCCAGCGGCATTGCCTATGTCATTCAGTTCAGCGCCTCGGACAGCGGTGGTGAAGTGATGCCGGAAACGCGCTCCCTGCAGGACCAACTGCAGCTGGCCCGTCCCGAGTTCTGTGCCAAGTCCAAGCAACGCAAGGCCATCCTGAATCAAATGCAAATGATGCGAAATTTGCGCAGGCGGGAAATGGACGAACTGGTGGCGGAGAATAACTTTAGTCTAGAGACGCTGGACAGGCGGCTGCGAATGCAGCTGCCGCCGCCGGCCACTTGTGAGTGTGTTTATCAGCTTCTGCCATAGGCAATCCCTAACAGATTTCTTCTCAAATAACTTTGCAGCGCGTCTGCGAGTCTTTACCACCAAGGAAATGAAGGCCATGACCAGCAGGAAGTGCCAAAGATTGCCAGAAGTATTGGATGCTGCAAATCGCGAGCTGGAGATGCGTAGGCGTCGCAACAACCGCCTGATGCGGGATATATTTAACAAGGTAAGACACCGTCTTTATGTCCTATAATTTAAGTCAGGGGTATACAAGTTGGTTTTCCTTTCCTAATTCCATGAAAATGTATTCTTATATATTCTTGCAGCGCATGCGAAATCGTGTGTCCAATGGACAAGTCTCGCTGAATCACAGCAGGACAATCATCTAGGCAGGATGCCATTACAGCACAAGGACACTCCCAGTACAAAGATTTAAGAAATTTCGAATTTAGAAATTAAGTTCCTGTTTTTTTTTACACTAAATGTTACCTGGAAATTGAAATGATCTGGCGGCAATGGCTTAAAGTTCAAACTGAAAGGTTTTAAGGGAACCATAGGATAGCTTATAAATCTATATTAATTTATGTTTTTTTTCTTTTTTAACAGGACTAAGTTAACATAAAGAAATATGTTTTCAAGTCTTACAAAAATAAATTTAAAAAATTAAATTAAGTAACGTTTTTATTGAAATAAGTTTGAACTGTAACGAGTGGAGATCATTATCTTTTAAATGTTAAATTGTTTATTGATATTCAAGTCTATTCTTGTTTAAAAATAACATCAATTTATATCAAGAGCTTACAGAACTGGCATTTAATTAGTGTTTTTATAATGTTTGTTATACAAAAAATTCAGCAAATGAACAACAACTTAGGGGGCTTATTATTAAAAACAAAAAATAATACAAATAAATATATTTAAAGGAAAATTATTATAATCAAATGTTTTGTAACATAATAAAATGTAATAAAATTTTAAAAATTAAATAAAATAAAATTTTTTTAAATTTAAAATTAAATTTAAAATAAACTTGAATAAATACAAATAATTTTTTTAAATTAATATTAGAATATTTAAACAAATTGCAGAGAGCTTTGTCAAAAACCAAGCTTTCACATTATCAGCGCCAGGTGTCGCCGTCGGCAAGTTCGTTGCCTAAGTCTTTCGTTTGGCGGAAACCTGTTTACAACTGTGCGAGGGAATTAATGAAGTTCAAGGTCATTGAAAGCGAAAGTTAAAGTGCATTTCTAGGGTAAACAAAAAGTGAGAGCAACAAGAATATATTCAGTGGGAATCGGGAGCTAAAGGAGGGCCAATCCGGGCTTGGCTACCGCCTTTCATTAAGGTGAAGTGTGTGTGTGTGTGTGTTGATGGGTTGTCATTGATTTGTATGAAAATTGGTTTCTTTGCTTTTTGTTCAGTTTTTGTTTTGTTTCGCCGATTGTCCATATATTGATTTTAGCTGGGCTTTGCTTTGCTTTGCTTTGCTTTGCCTGACTTCCGCCGATTTTCTTTGTCTCTGGCGCATTTCTCATTATGAAGTTGCGGCGACGACGAGTCTCGGCCGAGTCTCGACCGGAGCCGAGAGCCATGTGCGTTTGGGTTTTCGGTTACCAGGGTTTTTGCCTTGGGCCAACGGAATTACGATTCGCATGTTTGTTTATAAACAAATGGGGGGAAATATATATATGTTTTATTTACACAATTATCGTACGTGTGCTTTAACCTGTTTAAGTTTAAGTTTTATTTTGCATTTGTCCAAAACTCAAACTAGTTTTAAGCCGCATTTTGGTCTTAAGTCTTTACCAAACACTTGCAGGCACATCTCAGATCAGAGATTATCTCGCAGCGGAATGCCTTTGATTTGGAAATTTATTGGAAATTAATTTTGTCAATGAAGCATAGAGAGAGAGAAGCTTGCAGAAGGCGCTCAAAAATGATTGCAACACTTTTTATATTCTCTCAACACCTTGGACATGTTTTACGCCAAGCCGAGCACTAAAATGCTTTTTAATGGCACTTGGTAGAAGGTAGTGCATGCTAAGTACTTCCTCGAGTAGAATCAGGGACAAGAGTTATGGAATATATTGTGTGGGAAATCGAGTTTACATATATTAGGAAGTAAGCGTCACTTTAAAAGTCATTATAATGGTGATTAAACCATCAGGACTTACGGTCAGGCAACATTAAGAGATATTTATGATACTTTTCCATTTTTTATACAATTCTCCCGACAGATATTCCCATGGATGGGTTGGTACCGTTGGATCCTCACGATTACCAAGACGATTTCTGTGATTGATGGACGAATGCAATCGATTACCCTGCAATTAAGTATCGATGTTTTACGACTATCGGGCCGAGGCAGTGTAATTAGCTTATATTTATATGAGCCAGTCTGCCATCAATTAGCCTTTTGCATATGTACGAGCATCTAAGCTGTGTAAATCTTGGATATATACTATATATCCACTGCATGACACCCATAAAAAAAGGTGAATGGAGATTGCAGCCGCAAATCTTCTTGCTAATTCGCGGGGATTTGAATTAATGCCGGACCAGTGCGATATTAGTTATTAGCCAGAGCCATGCATATGGCCAACTAATTTATGAGTGTCATCAATTTCAGCCTTAATGCCCTCCCAGCTGGGATGACTCCACCCTTTCTGGGGGTTCTGGCCCCCAACCCTTGAATTATGCATTTCCCTTCACTTTTCAGCCGAGTTTCGGCTTCTATTTACTAACAACTCCGGCAATTGTGCTTACTTATTATTGCACTGGTAATTCCGTTTGGGTACATAGCTCGCAATTAAATATGTTAATTCTGTTGTTTTTTTAATGGAAGCCTTCAGCCGTCCGAAGGCGAGGCGATGGGAAATACTTGCAGTTTGGCGGCGCCCATTGTAAGTTGGATATATATTCTATATCTCTGCTTCTATTTAGGCATCAGGTGGGAGTTAGTTTTGACGATCTTCCGAAATCTGAAATCAGCCAGCCGACACTAAACGGAACTGACCTGGTCTCGGAGTGGGTTAACCAGCGAACCAGAAGTTTTCAGCTAAATTAATTCGGGCGCCTTAACAATGGGCAGCTAAATGAAGTTGGAATTCATTAATTAAGTAACTAAGAAGGGAAAATTTAAAATCATAACTAAACAAGTATCATTAATGAGGGTTGTCTTTATTGTTTGGTTATGGGTTTCGCCTGAAACTTGTAATACTTCCTTAGTTAACATCATTCAAAATTGAATAAGACAAAAAGTTATTACAAAAAAGTAAATAAAAAGCTTGTAAATCAATTATTATCATATAAAATTAATTCAATCAAACTGTGTAGAACATTTCAAGAAGCTTTCAATCGTAAATTAAATAATAAAAATAATATAAAAATGATGAACCCCTCTTGAAAGAGCTTTGATGGCCAAGATCTCACTTAACCTACCAAACAACCTTCCTTCAATTTTGATTTAAAACTGATAATTAGCAACGAGGAAATCAACTTGTGGCCAGAGTCTCAGTTTGGTCTTAGATCTCCGCTGCCTCGAGTGGCACTCATACAGCTTAAAGCTGTCTTTAGGACCCAGAAACGCACTGTATCCATTCTCAGTGTTGTTTTCCCAAGCCAATTGATAAATATCCACATCAACAACTGTCGATCGGTAGCTTACAGCTTGAAATACTGAACGAACCATAATCGAATAATGCGATTATGAATATTCATGGGCCGGGGAACGAGTATGTAAATGCCAAAAACTGAGAAGAGGCCGAGAAACAGTCTTCTTTTTTTTTGGTTTTTTCTGTCGCATAAATTCACCTCAAATGTCTCGGGCGTGTGTCGTCCAAGGAGCGAGTGCATTGAACCCATCGTTGGCGTTGGCGGAGTTTTGGTGGGAGAGTTAGTACCACGACTAGTAACTAAAGGCAAATTCCCAGGCAATCTACCATATCCGCCGTGGCAGACGGCTATGCAAATATATGCCAAACTGAAGCATAGAAATAGAATCACAGCCAGAGTTCCAACCAGTTTTCAGGTATTAATAAGCGATGATGTGGGATATTCCGCAGAGTATACACAGTGGATATGGAATAAACTATATTATCAAACAAAGTCTGATAAGTAACGTGTTTAAATAACGATTAACTCGTTACTTGTGAGAACTTTGTAAAGAACAGCAACATTTCCTAACTAAAGAATTTAAAAATCTCCTGTAAATACAGTAAATTATACTTAAATATAATATATTATAAACTTGAATCTATTACAAATAACTAACTAACTAACTAATATATATTATGATTAATATTTTCATAAACTAAACACTTTCGTTTGTTGTCAAAATTGTTTAATAAACTCTTCACTTTCAAGAGCTTCACTTTAAAAAGAAGAACATTTCCTATTGCCTCTGGGTTTTATTTAAACATTATTCACTGTATTTGAATAGGCTTGAGAGACACTTGTCAATGGTTCTTGACTCGACATCGGCATCTTCCTGCTTTAGTTCTCCCCGACCCTGGGCCTGTGGAGGCAAAGCTCACGACTCTTGAGCCTGGGGCCCATTAATCAGTTTGGCACTTTGGGCTGCTGCTGCTTCTGCTGCTGAATTTGGCTAAGAGCCTCCTGTCTCTGTCTCTACCTCTGTCTCTGTCTCTGCTGACCAACTGCCAAAACATTGATATAAATGTTGATTGCTGGGCCATTGTGGCCCGCCGCTAGCCGCGGTGATTAAATGCTGATAATTTGTTTGACTTTCGGCTATGCGCACAGTGGGCAAGCAGCTTGAAGCCTTTCAAATTTACAAACAAATCAATTAAAATTGATATAGAAATATATTTAAGTAAATTAAATTTAGATATCACCAAAATTGAAACATCTATTGTTTCTTTTAATATTGTAGAAAAATACAAGTCTTTTAGGGACATGTCATGACCTTTTGTTCTTAAGAAGTCTATATAAATTTATATTTTATAATATTTATTATCATTATTTAGAAATTAAAGCGTAATTTACTACAAAATATATTTGTGGACTATGTATTTTGGTACTTGAAATCCCTGTATCATTTTCATTCACCGGCACTATCGTTACTACATGTGTACATATTAGACATAAACATTACATGTATACATACATATATTACCCAATCCAATTTGCCTTGATATAATTTAGCACCTTAACCCATCCCACTGTGCGGACTTGAGAAGCCCCAAACATGAGGAGTCGACGACGAGCCGGGTTTTTGGAAGTAAGCCGCGCATGCGCACAGATTAGCATAGGCAAACAAAAGAACCGCCGCACCGGCGAGCATAACCGAATGTGGGTTATTATGAAATAGCAGACAGCTAGTACACTGTCAGCGAAAATAACTAGGGAATAGTATATTATTTCGAAAATAATTACAGAAATACCCAAGATCCTAGGCAAAATAACAAAGAAACCTTGAAAATATCAACAAAATCGATATGATATATCCAAAGAATATTTAAAAATATACATATACATATGTATATACGTAAAACATATTTATTGATCTAAAATATCATAACAAACCGAGCCTAAAACCCATCTTATCAACTTAGTTAGGTAAAAAAAAAAAAGGAAAATCGGAAATTTCGATAAAATCGATAAGTCAATAATGTAAATTAAAAAACAAGCTAAAATGAATAACAATAAATATTTACATTTAGTAAACTCTAAATAAACAAGATTGATATCTTAAAAATCGATACTTCTTCCATAAATCGTTTCTTATATATTGGTTCTGCCATTCCCATTTCGATTTTCATTCAAACTCTGCATTTTTTCCCAGTGTTTATGATATGAGCTGCTATGCTGCTTCATCTGCTATCAATGGCTTCTAATTGGGCAACGCGCTCGACCCAACATCAAACCGATCATCGCCCCATCTCGCTCCGCAGAGCCACCAATAATCGATCCATCGATTTCGGGGGTATAAAGGTGCGTGCTGCGGAACTGCTGGAATTAGTTTTGGTCAGCTGTTTGACACCGATCCACTTAGCACTCGAGATGAAGCCCTTTGCCTGCATTCTGGTGATCCTCGCCTCCGTTTTGGCCGTTGGCCACGCCTCCCTGGGCGGTCTCCTTGGCGGCGGCGGCGGTGGTGGTGGTGGTGGCTCCATTGGAGGAGGTGCCGGTGGCATTGGCCAGCTGCTGCAGAGCAAGCTGGGAAGTCTCGGCGGTCTTGGCGGTGGCCTGGGCGGTGGTCTAGGCGGCGGCTTGGGCGGCAAGCTCGGAGGCGGCGGCGGTGGAGGATACTCTGGTGGCCAGTCTGGAGGCTGGTCAAACGGTGGTGGATACTCCGGCGGCGGTGGATACTCCGGCGGCGGTGGATACTCCGGCGGCGGTGGATACTCCGGCGGCGGTGGATACTCTGCTCCTAGGCCCGTCGAGAAGGTGGTCATCGTGAAGGTCATCAGTGAGGGTCAGTCCGGCGGCTACTCCAACGGCGGTGGCTACTCCGGCGGCTACTCCGGCGCCCAGTCTGGTGGCTGGTCCTCTGGCGGCGGTGGTGGCTACTCCGGTGGCGCCCAGTCCGGAGGCTGGAACAAGGGCTGGTAAGCCAGACGCAGGTTTGGCCCGAAGACCAACCGCAAATAGAGTTCAAACTGCCAACCAAAAAGCTATGCCGAGAGGGAGGCCTCCAGAGATTAAAAGGGAGATGAGATCCTGCCTCCCGCTAGCTTTAAGTTTTAATATAAATTTTTTTTTTATTATTTTTTAGAGGTATTTTGTTTGTTTAGAATTTATGCAAAAATCACAAAAAAAAAAAGAGAAGAATTTCCATTTTTAATTTGAGTCTATTTTTGGTGCCAACTGGTTTTGCGGCAGTTTACGGATCGCTGCTTTCTGCTCTGACCCAATGGCCAAGTTGAGGTCATCACCTGCCACCTAATGCCACATAATGGGACAGGCAAATCGGTCTTGGAACTTGGTTTTTTGGTTTTTTGGATCTCAGATCTTGCGCAAGCAAAGTGCATTTTGCATTGTCTACCATCGATCTTGGGGTTTTTGAAGCCGCCCATGAATTAAAATGAGCTCGAAACGTGCCAAAGCCAAAAGGTTCAAGCGGTTCTAGAGCGAAACAATTACCAAAAATGCCAGTTGGAAATTTACAAAAATGTTGTATATATATAATATACGATATAGATATTCTATAGGCCCAAGAAGAGCTGCAACTCCAATTCTAAATGGTGTTAATGCATCTGCATTTTTGAGTCTCTTTTATTTCTTTTGTGGAGGCGACACCTTTGTGCTTCGATCCGTCGACTCATAAGCTGCTGCACCCGAACAATCGGTGCCTGATTGATTGATTGATCGCCGGGCGACCCGATTTCTTAGAGACAGCACGAATTATGTGCAACCGCACGGTAGCACTTTTGGCCAAGACAAACACGCAGCAGCAACAGCAGCTGCGAAATCTCCAATTCCAATTCGAGATCGAGATCGAGGCACAGTTCCTATTCCAACGCCAGCTATATCAGCTATATCAGCTGCCTGGCATTCTGAATAATGGGCAGACATAAAGAACCGATGGCTAAGACCGATCCCCTGGCGGGCTCTTAAGCCGCCGGCACTTGAACTCAATTAAGTAGTTTTGCGGTTGCTTCATAAAAAAAAATAATAATAAAAAATGGCTGGCTAATAAATCGATGATCATGAGACGGTATCAGCTCTGGGCTACACTAGTCAACAAAAACAAAATTGAATTAGAGATAACAGAAGAATTTAGAAAGTTTAGTAAACCTTATAAACCTTAAGGGGTTTCATTTAAGTTAATTAAAATAAATATTATTATTTGTTCTATTCTTTCGAGAATAATGTAAGTTTTTATTAATTTTCAAATTTAAATTATGTTCAAAGTTATAGAATTTTAAAGTAAACGCTTTTTTACTAAGGTACTCTGCCATTCTTCTTACTTTTTTATTTATTTCAAAAAATGTTTTAGAACTCACACTGTTTTTAAAATATATATGTATATTTTTTTTGAAATGTTTACCAACTCTTAAGCTAAAGTGTATGACTTAATGAGTATGTATATATATTTTAGAAGCTTTTAAAAATAAAGCTCATAAACCCCTAAGATTGATATGGAAAGTTGTGGGATAAGAAACCTTTTTATTGCCAGTTAAGTTTACCAAACTCTTTATATTTAATTAATTTTTATTTAGTAATTAAATTTATAAATATAAAATACCCAAAGCTAAATATTTAATACCCATTAAATTCTTGTTTAAAATGTCTCCTTGGCTTTAATTTTTTCTTCTCAAAATATTTGCATTTGAAAGTAAGTTACATACTATACCTTGCTTTATTCCAAAGGGCTTTCCCACTCACTGCTGTCCAGTGTCTTCCACTTATTAAGTGCCGACGCAGGTGCTCCACCTGGAGGCGTTCTCTGGGGCGGCCTACGTGGGGCCAAGCTGAGCGTAAGAAATCGAAAGTTGGCAGTGGCGCTGAAGCTAAAGCTGAGACTGAGACTGGGACGCTGGCATAATGAGGCCCATCAAGTGGCGTTGCTCCAACCGAGCAGATCCGAGCCAGCCGAAGCGCCTTGTGCCCGTCCCCTTCCGTTTCCAGCCCGCCCCGAGCTTCGTCGAGTGGAGCGTTGGCTATTGTAAGCGATCGCTGTGGCAGTTTTGGCAATTACATCTGATTATACGAGGCACCCGACTCAGACACAGACTCAGACTCTGCTTAGAGCTTAGAATCTTGGGATCTTCGGGGGTATAAATAGCCGAGAGTCGCTGCAGTGGGGAACTAGTTAGTGCACGGCAGCGGCGGAGATGCAATCCACAGCAACGACCACGATGACACGACGACTTGGCCGGCTTGGCTTGATGGTGCTACTGGGCCTGATAGCTGTCCAGGGGAAACCCCATGGCTGGAGCAGCGGCGGTGGCTCCGGCAGCGGTTGGTCCTCTGGAGGAGGAGGCGGTTGGTCAGGAGGCGGAGGCGGCGGCGGCAGCAAGGTTATCATCAGTGCCTGGCCTTCATCGGGCGGTGGTGGAGGCTGGAAGAGCGGCGGCGGCGGAGGAGGTGGCTGGTCCTCTGGAGGCGGCGGCTGGAAGAGCGGCGGCGGCAGCAGTGGCTGGTCCTCTGGAGGCATCTCCTCCGGCTGGCCCAGTTCCGGCGGCAGCTCAGGCTGGAAATCAAGCTCTGGCGGCGGCTCCGGCTGGTCCAGCGCCTTGTCTAGCCTCTCCGGCTGGAAATCGCAGGCCTTGTCCAGTTTGAGCGGCGGCGGCGGTGGCTGGTCCTCTGGAGGAGGAGGAGGCGGCTGGTCCTTGGGCGGCAGCGGCGGTGGCTGGAAGAGCGGCGGCGGTGGTGGTGGCGGCTGGAAGAGCGGCGGTGGCGGCGGAGGCGGAGGCTGGAAGAGTGGCGGCTCAGGATGGTCATCGGGCGGCAGCTCCTCCTCGGCCTGGCCCAGCAAGATCAGCAGTGGTTGGTCCTCCGGCGGCGGCGGTGGCGGCTGGAAGAGCGGCGGAGGAGGCAGTGGCTGGTCGTCCTGGTAGATACTGGACGCCACACCTGACCACATCTGGCAAACCGGCAACGAGGCGACACTAGATCCCACTGCACAGCTTGTACATAACATTTCTCTGCCCTAAGCTTAACCAATCCTCTATTTTTTTTCTTTGTTGTATGTCCAAAAAAAAAAAAACAAAAATATATGTGAATAAATATTACGAGAATGTAATTCTGATGGGTTTTTAGTGGCTTATAAGGAACAAGTGGAGGAAAGTGGAGGACAGTGAAGAGAAGTGAAGCAAAGTGCTTAATATGAACAGGAAATTCGGTGCTAAATGGGCCACTTTTCAAAAAATAAATGTGGCAAAAGGGCTAAAGTTAGCTTCGTAAATTAAATTCTATATAATACCACAACATTTGAACAATTTTTGATCAATTTTGTATTGCAAAACATTTAGAGGTATAGGAGTTATAGGAAATCTTTCGATTTGCCTCCGAAAAAAGTTGTTTTGTGGTGTGCTATCCACAGAATCATCCGATCTAAAAAAATTATAGCTCATTCGTTAAAGGATAAGTGTCCCGAGGTACTTACGTGGCGTTTCTATTTTTAAACATTTTCCCCGATTTTTTATAATAATTGGAAGTCAAAACACCGATTTTTGATTAAAAATGAACTTAATTTGTTAAATTTAAAATAAATAATTAAAAAAATAATTTTTGTGTTATAAAAGAGTCGTTTTGGTTTTTTATTTATATAAATAACCCCCCCCTACAAGCTAATAACACTGCAACATTTTTAAAAAATTCATAAAAATTGTTTTATTAGTGCACAAAAAAAAGGGAGAAATAGCAGGAATAGAAGGTCATAAGCTTTGGATTTACAAAAAAAGAGGAAAGGGAGAATCCAGGTGTTGTCTCTATCTCTATGCTTGGGAACACATGTCAGCATCCGCCGGAGAATAAGCTGCTCTTATTGCGGATGGGCTTGGGGTCGAGAAGTTATTTACCAGCCGCCGCCGCCGTGGTGGCCACCACCTCCTCCGCTGCCGCCGCCGGGGCCATACTTGCCGCCGCCACCACCACCGCCGCCGCCGCCATGCTTGCCACCGCCGCTATTACCACCCTGCCAGGAAATGGAGCTGCCACGATTACCGGCCAGGGACTTGCTGCCACCTCCATGGCCACCTTGGCCGCCGCCATAGCCTCCCTGTCCACCACCGCCTCCATGGCCACCTAAGAAAATTATATGAAAAATTATGAATAAATTGTTAATAAATTATTAATAATTTAATAAAATTTCTGAGCTTCTGCATACCTTGGTTGCCGCCTCCGTATCCACCTTGCCCACCGCCTCCTCCGCCTCCATTCTTCTGCCAGCCTCCTTGGCCGCCGCCTCCTTGGCCACCACCTCCGTTTTGCCAGCCTCCTTGGCCGCCGCCGCCGCCGTTCTTCTTCTGTCCATGGCCACCGCCTCCGCCATAGCCACCACCATTACCACCTCCGCCGTTTTGCCAGCCTCCTTGGCCACCACCACCACCACCTCCGTAGCCACTACCGCCGCCACTGCCGCCGCCTCCGCCCAGCAATCCGGCCGAGGCAAAGGCGATCAGCAGACCGCACACAAACACAAGGATCAGAGCGTGACGCATCTTGGGCACTCAAAAAAAAAAAAAATTGATATATATTAAATATTATTCGATTGGAAGCCGCTGTGCAACTGCTGTTGGAGAAGGCTCGATGCCACTGATGAGTTGGCCCAGAAGCAGGCCAGGCTTTTATAGCTCCCGCCGCGGAACTGATTGAACGCTTCGGCTGAGTCATCCGCCGCCTAAACATCCCTGGCTCCCAAAGGAAGGTTGAGAACTGCACTCCATGGCGAGACAATGCGCTCGATTCTCGATTCTCGAGTCTCAAGTATCAAGTACGATGGCGCACTCGGCGTATACGCAATGAGCCGGCGATGGGAATATCGCGTATACGCCACCGCGCCACTTGCAAACTGCTGAGCCATGGCTGCATCATTAATTGCTAGCCAACACATGGACTTGGCCACTTGGAACGCCTCTAGTAATTTGTCTTACATGCGAAATTCTGAACATATTTAATTTGCTTGTTTTTTTTTTTTGTTTTTTGAGTCTTCTATGGCAGCTCAATTTTGCTGTAGAATTTTGTAGAATTTTCTTAATTATTATTTTAAAGAATTTTAAAGTCTGGCTTTAGGGGTGGTAAATAAAGTAGGCAAAATTATGGTTTACACTGGGAAAAATTGTTATAATAAAAAATTCTATTACAAAATATTAAATAATAATAAACTTTAGTAAGAAATATGTTTAAAATATAAAGAATTTAATAGATTTTAAGTAGAAAATTTTAAAAAATAAAATAAAAAAGAGAAAGACCTTTTTTTTTAACTTAAGTAATCGTAACCATAATTCTAAAAATAATATAAATTTAAAAAATAATACAAAACACAAAACAGAGTATTCAAAATGAATATTCGACTTTTTTTCATTTAATAAACTATAGTTATTCATAAACAATGAATTAATTGGGGTTATAAGCCCCTTTTTAGTTAACTATAATAAAAAAAGAAGGCCTTTTAAATTAAAGGTCTTGCTATCTAATCTATTATTATATTTAATAAATTAAACAACATAAGATCTTTAATTTATTACCTATAAAAAATCGTAGAGTAGAGCATTCAAATTAGTTTTATTAACAAAATGATTTTCCAATCATTTTCATTTCATATTTTTATGCTCATTTTTCGGTTTCGTTTCTCGCTTTATTGCCATGCAATATTTGCGGCAATTAATCTTCATTTATACAGCAGCCGCCGAGCTGAAATTGAAAATTGGTAAATGCTTGAGACACGACTTGGCTGCACACACAGCACACACACACACCATACACACTCACTTACAGCCAGGCAAACACTAGTTCAATGTCAATTACCATGCAAACATGGCTATATTCATGCTCAAGTGCATTACTTACCATAAATTTCATCAATTCTGCTGCCACCAGCGATGGCGGGGTGTCTGATGTGTCTGCCAGTATACATATATGCAGACATATGTATATCTTTATATATGCATCTTCTTCAGAGCCAAGACCACAGGCTGACCTCTGCAAATAAACCAGAGGAAAACCAGGCGGAAAACAGTGGAAAAGCTGCACGTTTTTCAATGTTCAATTGAGGTTTTGAAAATGTGACTTTAGCTTAAAGAAAATATTAAAATATAAGGTAATTGTTAAGAATTTAATTTAAGGGGGTTTCCTGAATTAGGAGGCAAAAAAAATCGATTTTTTTTTTATTACTTAAATCGATAGATAAACTATCTAAGAATATACCACAAAAATTTCAGAAAATTTCAGCCAATTCGAAGTATTTTCGAAGATACAGAGATGAACCGCTTTTTATATTTTTTACAGCATGTTAAAGTCAATATTTTATCCCGAAAAATGCAATATTGACTTTAACATGCTGTAAAAAATATAAAAAGCGGTTTTCAACAACCGGTTCAAATAGAAGAGAATTTAATTCTAAACAGAATAAGCCTTTATTCGTTTCAATCGGTCAATAAGTTTTTTTGTTATCTTTCCCGCCAATTCGAAAGAATCGTAAAAATTAAAAGTGGAGAAAACGCGCTTCAAAGTTCGCCAAGCGCCTGCAAACCTGCTCGGCGCTCCTTTGCTTTCATCTCTGTATCTTCGAAAATACTTCGAATTGGCTTCTGAAATTTTTGTGGTATATTCTTACATAGTTTATCTATCGATTTAAACAATAAAAAAAAACCGATTTTTTTGGCCTCCTAATTCAGGAAACCCCGTTAAGAAATTTAAGATTTAAATTTGGAGAATATTAAAAAGTATTTAATATGTATATTATTTTTTAAAACATCTTAGTTTTTGGACTTTTCAAGCAGTAATTTTTGTTTTATATTTTTAATAAAGAAAAGTAGCTATATTTTATAGTTTAAGTTAAGAAAAACCTGGCTTAAAATTGAATTATATTCTTTTAAGCTATACAAATTCAGTTCCTGTTCAAGTTCAAACCTTTCTCCATATCTTTAAAGATTCGTCCACAGTGCCTCTGTTACACAGTCCATGATGATCTCTGTTGAACTCCAGCCGCTTTGGCACCTTGGCCACATCTTGATCATGATCATGATCATCATCATCAGCACGCTGTTCCACAATCATTTGCAAAATCCATAAAATAATAATAATTGCTCAGTGCTTAGAATGTTAATTGCTAACGATCTATAAATGCAAAAGATCATCCACACAAAAAGCTCAATTATGCGGCAGTCGGATCGTAATAAAATGGAAAATAAATGCAGGCCTAATTTATGCGTCCTAAAAATAAAATCTAAAAAAAATTTAATAAACAAACAAAGTTAACCAAGCCCAAATATTAACATAAAGCACTTCAATTTGTGCATTTTTTTTTTTTTTTTTTTGTGTACAAAAAAATGAGTATTTTAACCAAAAAAAAAAAAAAAGATATATATAAACTATATATTTTTAATATTTATATTACAAAATATATCGTGTGAACCAGAGGGGGAGTAAGGGATTAAGATGGGGACTGGGACTTGGACCGGGTTTTGGGGGGGGGGGGTCTTGGTTTCCAGAGATGGCCAGGATTCCAGGGATTGTTATTCCTTCCACAATGTCAGGCTCCTTTACCACCAGCCGCTGTTGGAGCCGGAACTGGCCCAGCCTGAGTTGCCACTGGTCCAGCCAGAGTTGCCACCTCCCCAGCCTGAGTTGCCACTGGTCCAACCCGAGTTGCCACCTCCCCAGCCTGAGTTGCCACTGGTCCAACCTGAGCTGCCACCTCCCCAGCCGGAGTTACCACCCCATCCCGAGTTGCCACCGCTCCATCCTCCACCTCCGCCGCCAATCTTGATGACCTTGATCACCTGCGGCTGCGAGGACCAGCCGCTGTTCCATCCTCCGCCGCTATTCCAGCCGCTGCTACTGCTCCCACCCCAAGGACTCGATCCCCAGCCAGAGGAGCTGCGGACGACGCCGGCCGAGACACAGGCCACCAGGGCGCAGAGTACCAGGAACACCTTCATCTTGCTGTAGCCTTTTGGTTGGATTTGAGTTGTGCGTCTCGAAGTGTGGCACTCGAATGCTGTCCACTGGATCGCCGCTCGCTATTTATGGCAAAAAATTGAAACTGAAACAGAAACAAACTAAACTGCGTGGCCCAGACGGATCTCGTCTCCGGGGCGAGGCAAGTCGAGAATCCACAAAATAAATCTCACCCCAGCGGCGGGTGGCTGGGCCAGGTAATTGCAGTTTATTAAACCACTTTGAGCGTCCGATTCTTGACCAGGGTCAACCGCTTTACAGGCCGCAAGATGCCAAGAAGCAGCAGAAGCCGCACTCCCAGTCAACTTGGTTAGCCGGCGCGAGTCAGCCAACCATGTGGCCAAGTTGCAAAATTCGTACATAACTCACACGCTTGATGGATCATTTCCTCGCCAGGCAGCTGCTGCGGAAACTGCAGCAGAAGTGCACTGGGAAAAAAAGGGGAAATCCAAGGAAATTGAAATAAATTAATTTTAGCTTAAGGTTCCTTAAGAACCATTTTTTTTAGAAACTATTAAAAATAAATTTCAAGCAAAAAACCATCATTTATATTTTATTTATTTAGTTATTTATAACTATGCTCTCTTTTTCTTCCAGTGCTGTTGTCACTAAGCCACAAATTTGCTGAAGCGACCTAGGCTGGGAATTATGGCCCGTGAGTCATTTGTCAAACTGGCAGCTTAAGCTGTAAACGGAGACACTTGCAGATGCAAAAGCCTATTGAGATGGAGGAGGAGGAGAAGATGCAGCTGGAGGTGTGGATGTGGATTTCAGGTGAAGGGGTCCATGAGCGGAGGCTGTGGCACAGTGGAGAGATCAGGTCCAAAAGGTAACTGGATCCCGACAATGGCATTTCCTGAACGTGTCAAGTCAAACTGAAAGGACAAGGCTAGACCCTGACAGTTCAGCTTGATGGCTGCATAATTAACACAATAATAAAAGCATTTATATATGAAATTATATACTTAAAATGTAATATTCCAACTGCTAAACTATTTTTACTTTCCCGGCAAATAGTAAACCCAATTCAATAAATGTCAGTTAACCTCCATAAATCACCCCATCATCCCATACCAATTAGCTTCGATATTGAAATCAACTTTCCAGCCATAAAGATGCAAGTCCACCTAGGACATCTGGTACATTAAAAGAGTGTAATCTATATGTTTATAGCTGATCTGATCCCATGAAATCATCATTCATTCTACCCTGACAACATTCTCCGCCTCGTGCGGCTGACCTTAGTCCCCGTGTAAAGCTCATCTGGATGAAAACCAGCTGACATCCAGTCCAATTTCAATTTCCAGTTGATACCCGGCACAGGTCCCACTGTACCTGGGCGCCAGTCAGATAATTGTCATAAGAAAAAATAAAAATAAAAATAAAAATAAATAAATAAAGCCACATCTCTGAGCTTGTTGTGGCGACATCGCGGCCTCTTTTCCACAGGTTATTTATCTTTCGTTGCGGGTCCAAGTGGTGGTATCCTATCTCTCTGGTGAGAAGGTAATCCCAGGGATTAGAATGCTTAGTTAGAGAGCGTAAATTAAAGGTAAATTAAAAACTATTAAATCTCTTAATAAAATATTATGAAAGAAGTCCTAATACAATAACTATGGAAACGAATTTCTCTTCCTTGAAAGTAATTAATTTGTTAATTTATTTACCCCTAAAATATCAATTTTAATCGATTTGAATACGTTTTTTTCAGGTAAGAATCTAGTAATAAATAAATCAAAAAACATAGAGAAACTCCTAGCAACTACCAGGCATTGAACCCTTTTCCGTAACAATCAGTCCATAAAGTGCTGTGTCCTTACAACTCAGGCCACTTCAGTTTCATGAAATCCTTAGGTTACGAGAGTGCTAAATACTCTAAGGGAAAATCATGGCTAGCTAGGATAGAAATATACTTACAAGTAGCTGAAATACAATTAAAATATAACCCAAAATACACCTTCCAGCCCAGACTTTGGATAATAACAGAGACAGAGAGAAACAGGCAATCGATTATTGCTATATTTTAGGATATACATACATATTTCCCAGAAATCAATAATAAAATCAACCAAAAATATTCAGTAACACTTAAGAGTTAAGAAGATGCCGCCAAGAGAAAGCCAGGCAAATACCTTGATCTTCAAGGACCTCGAAACACGGACAACTAAAGATCAGTTTAACCTTACCCAACCTAAGAACAAACCTCATAGACCATATAAAGAATATTTTGGGCAAGTAAATCGATCTAAAAAAAAAAAGAAAATTCGATCAAAATGCTGAAAGCGCCGTACGGGCACTGGAAACACCAGGTTCGGAACCATCCTAGAATGTTCGCTGGTGTTTACGCAGTACACATACACCTCAGACCACTCCAGCTACATGAAATCCTAGGGTAAAATGTTCAATTTAAGTTACAGAATTGCCATAAAGAAAAATCAAGGCCAACTGGGTGCTAAAAGTAGAGAGTTTTATGTTTACTGATAATAAGGAACCAAGGTTTGAATACAATTTAATTTATAAGTTTATTGTTATTTTCTTTGAAGTTAATAAGTAAATGTGTGTGTGCCAGCCTTTCCTAACTCTTTAAATCCCTCAGTATCACATTCTAGGGTCTCCCTTATCAGAGGCGTCTTCCTATCGCTGGAGCTAATGGAGAGCCTTAAACACGGATTTTAGGTATATAAATATATATAAATCGGGGGAAAGAAAAACAAATAATAAGAAACAGCCATACTCTAGCCAAGACCAAACAGGGACAATGACTTGCGCGTGGTCGAGGTGATCGGTTGGGCGGTGGTGCTGGAGCTGCCGGTGGTACAGGCGCCGCAGTCCTCCAGGCGGGACGAACGCACAATGGAGGCATGGATGCCAAAGGGCGAGGTGGCACTAACCTCCAGGAAAAAGTTGCCCTTGATGTTATTTGGCACGGCATAGCCCATGGGCACCTCATTGCCGGAACAGCGGAAGTCCCGCAGGCGGCTCAGAGAGCTGCAGCGGGTGGCCAGGAAATTGCGCTCATTGCCCGGATACACGGTCTCTGCGTAGTACTGCCAGGACCTGGCATGGGCACAGACCACCGATAAGCAGCCCGTTGGCAGTGGATCCAATCCGCCCGGATAGAAGTCCACATCGCCGAGGGGATCCCGCTTGCCCAGCACTCCGGGATTGCTGTGGATTACATCGATAAACTCGGCATCGCCGCGCAGCAATCCAGATAGGACTTCGCCTTCGTTGAAGCACGGCTTGGCGGGATCCAGGCCAGTGATTCGGGGTATCGTTTTGCCAGTGAGACGATGCAGATGTCGGCCGGCGGAGCCCACGATATGAGCGCCCAGACTATGGCCAATCAGATGGATATTTGACACGGGCACAAGGTCCAGCAGCTTCACCAGGCCCCGGGCTATGTTCTCGCCAATTTCCTCCGTGTTGAAGGCGGACCAGGTGTACAGGGTATCCACAAAGCGGGCAGCATCCACGGCCTGTAAGGGGAAAATATTTAAAACAAGAATGAAAGCTAGCTTTGACACGAAGTATGTATACCCTTCAAGGTGGCAATTGAAATCTATTAAAACTAAGCCGAAAAGCGGTTCTGTGTTAGTTTTTATTTATTTAAAAATTTCTTACCTAAATTTAAATTTTAAGAAATCAATATTAGTTGCAGTTTTTTGTTATTTCTTGAAGCCATGACTCTTACTTTTCGTTTCCTATTTCTAGTTAATTATAAACTTAAGCTGCTTAAGTTTTTTAAGCTACAAAAACCCCCTGATCTTTATAGATTATTTACTCTATCTACACCTTATATATTCACAAACCTTATTAGATCGGAATATATATTTCAAATAGCTTTGAATAAGCCTTATTACTCACCACAAAGTTGACATCGCCGCGACAGTTGTAGGCCTTTGAGAAGACATCGATGGTATCGGAGCCATTCACTGTGGTGGTCCAACCCGTGGCCAGGATGACCACCTTCTTCTTGGGATCAAACAGGGGACTCCTCCACATGGCCTCCGGATTGGTCAGAGGGAAATTGACTTTGGTGCAGGCCGTTTGCAGTTGGAAGTTCATCAGCTTGATGTCTGGGGTAAACTTCGATTTGATCTTGTTGGAGGCCAAGGCCTGAGAGCCTTAAGAATAAATTAGAAGAATTAATTACATTATTTTTATATAAACATAATTAAATATTCAACACTCACAAATCACACTCAGCGAACTGGAGACAAACTCAAAGGGATAGCCGGCAATGAGCTGCTTGGATCCATCCAGGAGTCCCTGGGGCGTGGGCAGCATACTGGGATCCACAATGGTGGCGCCCACATTGCCAATGGAATCAATCACATCCGGCAGTGTCCACTCAATGGCCTTCAGTGGCGAGAGGACCTGCAGCAGGAGGACCAAATGGAGCTGGATTGACAGCATTTTCTTCCCTCTGGAGTTACCACTACCACCACCACCACCACCATTCATTCTGGACAAGATCTCAACGCTAACTGAGTGCCGGAAGCCCGTTGACAAGGCTATTTATAGCCTCCAGAGGGAGGGGGACAGCAGCAAACGCCTTATATAAACTTACGATTCCGCTCGGCTGTGACCATATCGATTGCTTCCGATCAGATAAGGTGCACTTGTCACTTAATTAGTTTCTATACGGATTGCGGCGCCTCTCGTCTCTCTCGGAATGGGAATCAGATTCGGGCGTCAATGCGATGCTAGCTGAGATTCTAAATGGGATTCTAGGGGGGGATTCTAGGGGGGATTTTAGGGGGGATTCTAGGTGGGATTCTGGTTGAGATTCTGGTTGAGATTTTAGCTGAGATTCCGCTTAAGATTCCGAGACCCCAGCAAAGTGCAGTCGCATGTCGCGGGCTCATCTGCATATATTTCAATTCTAATCGAAACGCATTAAATCTGAGGTCGTAAAAATCCATAATGCCCTGTTATATAGTCCATAGTGAGTCGAAGGGAATTATACTCTAATATTTATATTTATATTTATTTATCATAAGATATACCATCTAAGAAATCAAGGAACACTTCGATCTAGACATCAAAGAATCATCAAATATATATAAATCAATTTATGTGTATATTTATTTATATATTAAATCATATATATTTATTTATACATATTTATTATACATAGCTCTTACTGCCCAAAATAGACCCGTTTTAATCGCTCGCCAAACACGAGAAATCCCTGACATTGTGATCTTGGAATTCCCGCTGCTGGCTGGTTCTCCTAATCTCTCCAAGGGGTCGTCTCTAACTGATTATAGAACGCTGGACGACACATTTTATATATTATTTTATTTGGCTTTGTTTTGTTTAGGTTTGTAAACAAACTTCCTCAGTTTATCGGCAAGGCCCCTGGGTCGTCTCACCGGAGGTAGTGTATCATGGAAGTACACTGAAAAACTATACTAGATTTATTATTTTTAAGCTTTAAAAAATATTTTTTAATATGTATTTAAGACTGTGACTGTTGAAAAACATTTGTTTTATTAATAATTACGTCAGACATTAAACAAATTACATTATAAATTACAAAAAATAAACTAATTTAAGTTGTTATATAAAATAATTAGTACACTTTTATTTTTCAAACCTTTTTCTTTTAATTTGAAAATAATAATAATAATACTTTTTAAATAAAACTACTTAATGCTTAGCAAATTTTAAAATTTAATTAAGTGTTTATTTAGTTTTAGGGAATTTAAATCAAAAACAATAAAAAAGACAGCTCACATTCGCAAATATATTAAAACCATAACCTTTAAAAATAGTACAAGAAATTCTTTTCGTTTTTTAATATTTGATTTCTTGAAAAATTCAATTTTTGTTTACTTTTGGGTAATTAACATATATATAAACAAACAAAATATAGACAAAAAGTTTCCGTTTTTTATTAAATTTATATTTATTTATAAAACTAAATAATATATCATTTTTCTAGTTAATTTTTTCTCTCAGTGCTGGGCCAAATCGCACGTAAATAACATCAAATGGCTGCTGCTGGTTACGACAACCGAGCCATATTAATGCGGAATCACTACTCATTGCTCATTCTGTATTCCCCGATCCCGGCCAGAAATCTCCCATCTCCGATCTCGGATCTTCAAGCCATTGTCATTCCATCGACGTGCTCTGGACTATTTTTTTGTGCGCCCAAAGACGTCACAAAAGAGTTAACACTGGGTTCGTGATTTCTCACACAAATCACGATTTTTGGTCACCGGAAAATTGTTTACATTTTTTAAAAATATTTTTTTTAAGTTTTGTCATATTTTTTACATTTCAGCTGCTTGCTGAAGTTTTGGTGGGATATAAGTTTTTTATAAAAATTATCACAGCAAATTGTGAATAAATATTTATTATTACTTTTTTAAAACTTAAATTTTAGTAAATTCATAACTCTGCCAAAAAAGCAACAATTTTAATTTATTAAATTAAATGAAGGTTAAAAAAATATGCAGATTTGTTAACCTAACTCCGCTTTCCGAATGAAAATCTCAGGCCAAGTCCCAGCGATTTGGCCAGAGTTTTCCATGCAATGATTCTAGTACCCTTAAACCCTTGCAGGGTATTTTATTTCCAGTCCGAAGCTCATTACGCATTGAAGGAGTCATTTCCGACCCCATAAACCATATATATTCTTGATCAGCATTAACAGGCGCATCTTTCTGGCCATGTCCGGCAAAAAAAATTTGTTGATCAATTTTTTCAAAATTTCATTAAAATTCTCAAAATTTGATAAAATTTTAATTTTCTAACTAAGTATGCAGATTTGTTAACCTTATAAAAACTAACATAACACCGCTTTCCGAATGCAAATTAAGGCACTTTTGATAGAGTTATGTCTATTTTAGTTTTTAATTTTCTGTTTTACTCATTTCAATTACAGACTTTCCATCGTCATTGCCATCGCCATCGCTCCTAGTCATCAATATCAGTAGACCTGAATTTTTAAATTTTTTTTTCTAAATTTTTAAAATTTTTTTTCTCAATTAAAAAATTTTTTTTTCTGAACTTTTAACATTTTTTCAGGTTTTTTTTTTAATTTTTTTAGAATTTTTTACATTTTTTTTTAATATTTTAACTGCCAAATTTGAATTTGAATTTAACTGCCAAATTTGATTTTGAATTTAACGACGATCAGTTTCAGTGTGCCCAGGTACAGTTGTAAAATAACACCTAAATTTTGATTCAAAAGGTTTGAGTCTCCGCTTACTTGCGCCGGCTCCTAAATGGTTCGAAACTTTGACTTTTTATAACAGTTTATACCAGTTTTCAGTTGCTTGCTGCTGGTTTCTGTTCACCTGTTACCCCAATTTGGCAAACGGTCAATTTGCATGGAAATGTTTGGAAATTTAGATGGGCTGCTGTAGGGATGTTGTTGTAAAAAGGTTGTTGCTGCCATCAAGCTGTTGTTGTTGGCAACAAATAGGTATAAATGCTTAAAATGAAATATAACAGTTTATACCAATTATTATTTTTTGCCCAGAAGTTTTTATAACAGTTTATACCAGTTTTCAGTTGCTTGCTGCTGGTTTCTGTTCGCCTGTTACCCCAGTTTGTGAAACGGCCAAATTGAATGGAAATTTTTGCTCACTTACATCAGTGATGCTCATCTGCATCAGTGATACTCATCTGCATCAGTGATGCTCATCTGCATCAGTGATGCTCATCTAGCTATTTTTTTTTCAGTTTCAGTGTGCCCAGGTGCAGTTGTAAAATAACACCTAAATTTGGATTCAAAAGGTTTGAGTCTCCGCTAACTCGCGCCGGCTCCTAAATGGTTTGAAACTTGGACTTTTTATAACAGTTTCTACCAGTTTTCAAGTGCTTGCTGCTGATTTCTGTTCGCCTGTTACCCCAATTTGGGAAATGGGCAATTTGCATGGGTATGTTCGGAAATTTGGATTGTCTGCTGTGGGGATGTTGTTGTAAAAAGGTTGTTGTTGCCATCAAGCTGTTGTTGTCGGCAACAAATAGGAATGAATGCATAAAATGAAATATATCAGTTTATACCAATTATAATTTTTGGCCAAAAGTTTTTATAACAGTTTATACCAGTTTTCAGTTGCTTGCTGCTGGTTTCTGTTCGCCTGTTACCCCAGTTTGGAAAGCGGCCAAATTGAATGAAAAATTTTGCTAACTTCCATCAGTGATGCTCATCTGCATCAGTGATGCTCATCTACATCAGTGATGCTAATCTGGCTATATTTCAATATTGGGGGGCAATAAAATCGGGCTTAATGGCAGTGATGCTCATCTAGCTATTTATTTTGCATTATTGGTAGAAAATGGCATCTGACTAACTGCCAGTGATGCTCATTTGGCTAGGATGCTCCTACCTAAAATAAAAACCCCCATCCCCCTAAAAACTCAAAAATAAATAATTTTTTAAGGTTCTTTATTTAATTTCGGTTTAATAAATAAAAGAAAAACGGTGATGCGTGTGCCACAGGCGGAGGTCGTCTTCAACGGTTCCAGCCCGGTCTTGGTGACACCCTCGTTTTGCTGCCCCGGCTCCTAGTCCTGCTCCTGCTCCTCCTCGTCCTGATCTTCCTCGCCAACGCTTTGTGTATCTCCTTCAGTAACCGCTTCCAGTTCCTGGCTGTTCCTCTCAATGTGGAAGAACTAACATAACTAAGTCAATAGTTTATGACACTCAATTCGGAAAGCTGTTCTAAGCAAGAAACTAATTTTCAAAGGTCCATACCTCGGCCAAAAATGCATACAATTCAATTCGTTCAATTCAAGCTGTTCTGAGTTGCCTTTTCTAAGCCTAACAAAACTGCATAGTACGTTTAGGGTACTTTTCAATTTCATTTTTTCTAAATTTTTTAGAATTTTAATGATGGTACCCCTTACATATTTTTGCAAAAATTGAGCGATTTATTTTGGTAATTTTTGGGGAAAAAAAAAACAATTTTCAAAGGTTCATAACTCAGCCATTGCATGAAATTCAATTCTGAAAGTTGTTCTGAGTTCGTTTTTCTAAGCTGAACAAAACTGCTTACTCAGTTTTACTGAAATACTTTACGCCTTGACCTTGAAATTATCGGGGAAATACCCATCGAAATAGGATTTGTATAAAAAGCGAAGCATTTGTCATCAAAAGATACAATTTAATATTTTAAAATTAATTAATTATATATATACCTCGAGAAATTCGCCTTAATCACTCGCAGGTGCCGCATTCACTGGTAGATTGCGTATATGTCTCAGGGTTATAATTCTCACCGTACGGCTCCTGGCCTTTTGCCCCCACATAGTACAGACCCAGCTCTGTGGGCCTGGCGGCGTAGCCCATCACTGTCCTCGTGTCCTGGCAGTATCTACCAACGAGCAGGTCAGCATAACGATCACAGCGTCGGCCCAGGAAGTCCCACTCATTCGAGGGATACACACTCTCCGCATAATAGTCCACGGCTCGCTGGTGGGAGCACGCGATGGTCTCCAGCCCAGTGCAGCCATCCTTGAAGGGAATTCTTCCTTGGACAAAGAAATCCGCGTCGCCAGCTCGCTTCGGGGAGCCCAGCATGCCAGGATTGGAGTGGATAATGTCAACAAATCTGGCATCGCCACTTCTCAAGCCTTCGAGGTCATTGCCATCGTAGAAGCAGGGATTTGCTGGATCCAATCCGGTCAGGCGCTTTAGAATTCTTCCCTGCGACAACTGCCTGTAGTTCCTGCCCGTCGAGCCCGCAATCTGGGCGCCCAAACTATGGCCCACTATGTGCAGCTGCTGGGTCACATAGGTGGCATTCAGACGGAGCAGAGCCTTGGCCACATAAAGGCCAATGACCTCCGTGTTTAGGGCCGACCAGGAGTACAGAGTGTCCACGAAGTTGGCGGCATCCAGGACCTGTCAAGATCAATCAGTTAAGTCCAATCTTTGGCGCCATTAAGACTCACCAGAATATTGGTATCGTTGCGACAGGCATAGGCCTTGGCCACGGGTCCACTGTTGGAGCTGTTGATGCTCGTCCTCCAGCCGGTGATGAACAGCACTGTGGACAGATTCGCATTAAAGCCGGGTGTTTTAAACAAATCCTCAGCTCGATCCAGGCGAATACTGGTATTCCCGCAATCGTTTTCGGTGCGCAGGAGAAAGGACATCTGCGACATGTCCGGCACCAGTTTGGACCTCACCACACCGAGATCCACAATGGTGCTGCAGATGTAGTTGAGCGTGGAGAAGGCTATGTCCAGGGGCAAGCCAATGGCAAGCTGCCGGAGTTGATCCTGGAGGCGATCGGTGAGTTCCGATCGGATTTGCATATCATTAAGGATGGCGCTCTCCAGCGAGGTGGAGATTTCGCTTAGAAAAGGTTGGGATTTCAAATTTACAGAGGGTGTCCAACGAGTTGAGGGGCTTTTGCAATCACAGGATGTGTCAGAAGTGGCTTGGCTTGGCTTACATGGCGAGGAAGTGTTTCCAAGTTTAGGTTTTAAGTAGGTTTCCGAAAGAATCCCAGTCTCAGAATGTTTTTTATTGGAATTTGTGGTACCTTCCGTGTTTTGTTTACTCAAGTAACTTTCATTATTGGCACTTAAAATATTAAAAATTGATAAACTCAAGTCGTTTAGGTTTCTAGATTCAGGATCCCCTAGATGACCTAGATCCCCTAGAGTTTCAGTTCCATTTTGGTAGCCACATTCCACAATTACAGCCAGGAGTAGCACTGCCAGAAGCTCTTCTATGAGCCCCATTGAACCCATTATAATCCGCGTCTCACACTGAAAAAAAACCATCACCTTGGAGCTCTTTTATATGGGAAAGAATTCAGACAATTTCAATTTCGAAACAATATTTATGACCTCTTGAAAGATATAGACACCATTGTGTTCTAGGGCACGACGCCACGATATCTCCCGATTTCGTGATTTCCCGACCGGCACGAACTATAGTATATATCGCTTGCAAAATTCCAGGTAGCTTCAGCTATAGCTTCACCTGAAATCCAGCGATCCAGTAATCTGGACTGCGGTGGGCGGCAGACATTGGCAATCGCATAATTTCCAAGCGAAAATATTTTTGCGTTAGGAAATGCTGCTTTCTGCTACACTAAGAAAAATAAGTTAAAGGGAAGGATATTAAAATATTAAAAATAAATGAAATATTTAAATAATATATTTGATTTAATCATATACATTAAGGCATTAGTCACATTAAATTAGTGTTTAAATACAAAGATTGATTACCTAAAATATTGATATGTTTTTTTATATATCACAGAGTGGTTTAACTTATTTTTAAATATTTAATAAATGCTAGAACTTCAATGTATTAACGTTGATCAACGTTTATTATTCCCAATTATTTTTTTTAAGATTTATTAAATCTCCTGAATAATAAATTATTGATTTCCTTAGTTATTCTCTTTGATATTTTTAAATATATATTTTTTAACCAAAAAAATATATCGTTTTTTTGGAGAAGTGTTCTTTTTCGCTGTGTGTTTTAATCCCAAAAAACCCAAAAATGCCAAAATGCGAATCGCCTAATAACTACTTTGCTTCGCTTCCAATTACCCATTCTGCAACTCACCGCCCCCGCCATCAAGAAAGGCAAAAACTCAGCGGGAAATGAGTCCAACTTCAACAGTTGGACATATGTATACTCTTTCCTAACACTATCAGATGGATGAATATAATAAGAATGAAGAATATTCTAAATAAAAATAAAAATATTGAAAAGTTAGATGTAACATTTATGGTATAAGTTGATATATTTATTTAAATATTTTTTAATATATATTTGATATATTTATTTAAGCGTAAGTTACTTAATTTAAACCATATTTAATACATCTTCTGTGTTTATAGAAAGGGGAGTACCCCCTGGAAAGGGTATACAAGACACAAAACAAAACAATACAAAACAAACGACGCTATTACATTGGCAATTTGTGTGCCCCACTGCCCGGGCTGAATTGCTGCTGTTGTTGATCGCCGATGTTGCTGTGAATGATGGGTTGCGTGCCGACAACATGAAGAACTGGGCAACTGAGCAACTGAGCAACCAAACGGCAGCAATACCGGCAATTTACCTCAATTTACCTGGGCGAAAAGTGTAAGTGCGAGTGCCGGCAGTTGGGCTGGATTCGCAAATTAATAGCCAGCCACCTAATTATATCTACTTATCGTACAAGTTGCCCTCAAAAACAGGTGGGGGGTTTACTATGTGAAATAAGAGATTATAAGATATACAACTCACTTGCTGGCTCTTAAGTTTAATTTAATTTTCTAAAATTTAGAATTTTAGTTTAATGAAAGCACAAGGCAGGTGAGCCTTTGTTTTTAGAGACACACTGACTTTAAGCCATTCAAATGTTTAAACTATAAGAAATTCTTGGTAATTATAAAGCATTTACTAAGTTACCATTCAAATTTAACTACATAAAAGAGTTCAAATGAGTTTAAAATAAAAATAAATCTCTATTTTCTGACTATTTCTCAACTAACTAAGTTATAGTTAATGTTTTTACTATAAGAAATTCTTGGTAATTATAAAGCATTTACTTAGAGTGTGTTTTCAATAATAATAAAAAATAATATATTCCTTAACACATTCACAAATATTAAATTCTCTCTTTAACCATTTACATTGTTTAATATTTAAATATATAAAAGTGTTGAAATTAATTTATAATAATAATAAAAATCAATTTTGCAACTCTTTTTAATTTTCTAACACCTCCTATAGAGCATTTCGTATTCGCAATAACCCATTTTTATTTCCAATTTTTTTTTGGCAAATTATTTAAACATTTCACGCTATACTGATGGCGTACACTGTCGACAATCAGCAAGTGTTTATACGTACATGCTTGCACACAGCGTTTGCTGTTTTGTTTCGCTTTTCCAATCTCTCTGCCGTGCTCCATATTTCTGGACAGGAGTAGACACACGCGCAGCCTTTGCTTTGGAATGGAGAGTATACAGATAGAGTATATATACCACAATATATATTTACTGTAATATATACTCGGCTATATATGCCGGCGATCAAGCGCAGAGTCTTTGCGGACGGACTGTTCGCTCTGATGGCTTTTGAGCTTTTTAATTGCCGAGAGTCTCATGAAATCGAAAATCACTCAGATTGCTTTATATATTACAGAGATATACCCAGATAATGGGTCTTGTGTAATAAAGATAAAGTTTAGAGCAATTTGGGAATATATATTGATAGTTAAGGAATTGAAATATTAAGTTAACATCATATTCAGTTGAATTGGAATTTTATGGGGAAAATTACAAGATAAGAATTTCCTGTAATTCAAGAATTTAATAAAATATATATTCAAGTCATTTTAGGTTTATATTAATATTAAATTTATATTTTATTTAAAAAATTAAATAACTACTTACTAATTTACATATCAAGGCTTAGATAGAGCTACGATTTTTTGGGGAAAAGTAAAAGATAAGAATTTTCAGTAATTTAAGAATTAAAAAAAAAAAATATATTATATATTTTTTTATTTTAAAAATATTTTTAATATATTTAACTTTAATATTTTATATATTTTATTTTAAAACTTCAATTGCTACTTATTTATTTAAAATATTAATGCTAGATTATGTGCCTCTCTATTGGCCTTATGACTTCTCCCCTGCATTTTTCAAACCTCTGTTTTCTTGTCACAATGAGCCTCCTCTCACTGCATTGTTTGGGCCAAGAGCAACTCGTATGTGCACAGGTGGGCTGTGTGGGTAGGTAAGTATATTTGCCATTCTATTTCCAATCTTTGCTGTTGATAAACCCAATTAGTTGGTCTGTGCCAAACGTGTTTTTGGCTTCCGCATGGGCTGCTCCCCCTTCACCTCCGGTGGGGTTAGGGCCCACAGGGTTGCCAAAAAAATGTAAAAAACAAAAATTACGCAATGGGTTAAACGGCCAGCGAGAACTGGCCAAAGAAATATCGCAAAATTGTCTGGGGAGAAGACGAAAATTATTACGTATACGCACCGTTGCCAAGACGTCGACGTAATGCGGAGTAAGTGCAGCAAATTATCAGCTGCAAGAGGGGGGCGGCAGATGTCCGTTGCAACATTTTCCTTTTCTATTTGTTGTTGTCTTTTTGGTTTTTGTTTTTTGCGAAAAGCACCAAAGTGTGGCTGGAAAATGCAGGAAAATGCAGCTGGAAATGAGCGAACGGGTAGCATATAAAACGAAACGGAGCTGGGAGAAGTAAATTAGTTGACTCGAAACATTTCGCCGCGACGGTCAGGAAGAAAGGAAAATTCCCCGTGAAAAACCATGTTCAATAGCCGCCACCTCAAAATGTTGATCCTGCTGAGCGCTGAGCTGCTGCTGCTACTGGGCGCAGGCATCCAGGGCTATCCCTTGGACGAGAAGGACCTCTCCTCGGGCATCGTTCACTCGGCCGGGTTGCTGGGCCACTATGCCGGCGGCCTGACCGGCGGCGAGGCCTTGTCCAAGCTGGACTTTAGCTCATCGTCCTCGCATGAGTTGGGTGGCGAGCAGGATCACCTGGGCTCGCTGGGCGACCACCTCAGCGAGGAGGGTTTCCCCTCGGACTTCGGCAGCAGCGATGCCGGCGAGGAGTATGCGGAGGCCAGCGAGCTGCACTCGCACTACGAGGATGCCGGCGACCATGACGAGCACAAGGCAGTGCCTGGCATTGATCACGGCAAGGGTGCCTTTAGCTACAGCACTCTGTATGAGTTCAAGGATCGCGATGAGCACGAGCTGCAGCACATCCAGCACCAGGCCCTGGAGCAGCAGGTGGAGCACCAGGTGGAGCATCAGATACTGGAGCATCAGCACCATGACCACCACCACGAGCTGAGCCAACTGGAGCACCTCTACTAAGACTGTGATTGTCGCCAAAACCTAGCAAAATGCTCAAAGATTATACTTAATGAGAGAGATTCTGTTTGTTTTTGTTTTTTTTTTGTAATTTGTTGTTACATAACGTTTATCTAAATAAATAACTAAGTTAAATCGAATTTAATCAAAAAGTTTGAGTAGGATGGGTGGAAGGGCAGGAGAGTTATGGTAAAATAAAGCTGAGGAGCCAATGCAACATGGCGGTGTTGCCAGGCTCTTGAGGGTGTTGCTAAACATGTTTCTGGCAACATTTTCCAAGCAACATGTTGCCTAAGCAATGTTATATTAAATTTAGGTTTTTATAAACAAAAACTCTCAGATTAAAGCTTAAAAATATTACTTGTACATTTATTTCTGTTTTTTATTTTTTGAATAGTAAGAAAAGGCTTTTTATTAAGCAAGTTAAATATAAAAACCCAAATTCAGGACAATAAAAATATAAAAAATACAAACATATATTTTAGATAATAAACAAAATATAAAACAGCTTAAAAACGGCTATAAAAACATATAATTTTATGAATATGATCCATGGCCTAGCGTCCATGGGAGTGAATCACCTTAGGCTGGGCCAATTTGGGCTGCGAAAAGTCCACATTATCGTTGACCGCGATGCGTGGTTCATGGATTGAGTCAGGTGTGATCGAGGAGTGCGGCAGGTGCGAAGCGGTCAAGGTGTCCACATAGAAATGCGGCCAGGGATTGCCCAACGAAGGGGACTGGACATGGGGCACCAACAGCAGTTGGGGCTGTTCGGAATCGGGAGCCAGTTGTAGAATTCCCGAGCTGATGTGTATGGCGGGGCCATAGGCTGAAATAGGAATTAAATATATTTAAATATATATTTATAATACATACTATATTGTATATATTTTGTGATAATAATAAATATTACTCATACGCACCGTGAGCAGGCAAGGCCGAGGGAATCATCTCCTGTTCCACTGCATGGCTACATACAAGAGCCACCAAAGCCACTGTTAGAGTAACTAACCTGAGTCCAAGCCACTGCATTTTGTCTTGGATAACTCCCCCAGGGCTGAGACTATATATAGTAACCTGCAACCGGAAGCTGCGGGTCTTGGATGAATGCCCAATGGTGACACTGGGACTGGGAACACTGTGACTGCCCCTCGGAACGCACACGCATTGCATGCGGCGATTGATTGAGATCAGAGGGTTTATATTTAATTGCAGAATAATAAATAATTTTAACATTTTTTTTTATAGATTTCAATTAAAGATAATATGAATATTCTGTAACCTTATATATTCTTATAAATTCTTGAGTTTATATTTAGTTTTTCTCTTTTAAAACAAATGCCTAAAAGAAGACACAAAATATCTTTAAAAGCATAAAGTAAGGCCATTAAAACACTGTATTCCGTATAATAAATTCTATATAAAAACTTTTAATTATTAATTATAGAATATATCCTTAAAAAAAAAACCCAAAGAACACATTTCATCTCTCTCTTTCTCTTTGTACCTTCATCCAAGTAACCTCTCAGGGCCAGCTTCTTCTCTTCTGAGCCGGAATCGGAATATATTGGAATTGCCACCGATTCGTTGGGAGTTAGCACACGGATGCTAATTTTTTATAGAATCAATAACACAATGAACCCCGGTAGAAAGCCATGAAAAAAAAACCCCGAAAACTGTGACAAACGAAGTCGTTTGAGGTTCTCAAGATTACATAAGGTGGCCACAATGTTTGTTGGATTTTTATCACCAAAAATATATTTAAGAGATTTATTATATATTATATTAATTAAATTGGTAAAATAGATTTTGTTATATTTTATATATATATATATATAAAATCTATTTTACCAATTTAATTAATCAGATAGCTCAGATATATAGTATATATGTAAGCTCAGTTTCGGTTATGTTGATTTATTTTTGTATATACACATTCGATCGTTTCGGTTTCTTTACACAACAAAAAAATACAATTATTCGATTTAGAACTAGAAAAAAAATTGCTGAGTACGGTTAGGTTTGGATTAGGTTAGGTTAGACTTCTGGTTGAGGGTTCATCACGAAGCCCTAGCAGCCCACCAGCTTCTCGAAGATGCCACCGCGCTTCCAGCCGGAGAAGCCACCATTAGAGCCGGCATTATAGCCGCCATTATAGCCACCATTGTAGCCTCCATTGTAGCCACCATTGTAGCCACCATTGTAGCCACCTTCGTATCCACCGCTGGAGGATGAGGCGGAGGCGGAGGAGGAGGCAGCGGCACTGGAGTAGCTTGAGCCCACAGCTGGAGGCCCATAAACCTGCGCGGGTGCATGGCTAGCCACATCCTCGTCCACGATCAGCTTGATGGTCTTCACCACCTGCTGGCTCTGCGGCTGCGGGGCATAGGAGATGGGTGCGGGGGCCACGGGGGCGTACGAAATGGGTGCAGGCGCCACGGGGGCAGGAGCCGCATAGCGGATCACCGGAGCGGGGGCAGGAGCAGTGTAGGTAACAGCCGGAGCAGCCTGAACACGCACCACCTGAGGCTGGGGAGCTGGCACCGAGTAGGTGACTGGAGCAGGAGCTGGTGCAGGAGCGGAGTAGGTCACAGCAGGAGCAGGAGCGGAGTAGGTAACAGCGGGAGCTGGAGCGGAGTAGGTAACAGCGGGAGCAGGAGCTGGGGCGGAGTATGTGACAGCAGGAGCAGGAGCTGGGGCGGAATAGCTCACAGCGGGAGCTGGGGCAGAGTAGCTGGAGGCACTGGCACTGGAGGAGGCACTCGAGGAGGAGTAACCACCGCCGTAGCTGCCGCCATAGTTGCCACCATAGCCGCCCGACGAGCGTCCATAGTTGTACGTGGGCTGCTCCACTACCTTGATGACCTTGATCACCTGCTCGCCGCCGCCATAGCCGCCGCCATAACCGCCGCTATAACCACCTCCATAACCCCCGCCATAGGACGATGCTGAAGATGCAGACGAGGCCGAGGAGCTGCCATAGCCGGAGCTGTAGACTGGACGGCTGGGCTGACTGTAATATCCTTGGTTATAGCCACCGGAGTAGCCTCCGCTACCGTAGCCACCGCCTCCATAACCACCACCGCCGGATGAGCCACCGCCCAGGCCGCCGCCACTGGTAATGGCCTTGAGCAGGGCCAACTTGGCGCCCAACAGGGCATTCGAGGGGGCCACGAGGGCCAGCAGGGCGATGACTACGCAGACGTACAGCCTCATGGTGGTGCCAAAGCTAATGATGATGATGCTGCTGCCGGGAATCCAAACGAAACTCAACTGATGGCCCAAATCGAGACGGGGCACTAATTTATAGTCGGCTCGCTCCCTAAGCGGCATCTCTGCCTCCCAAAATGGTACCTTACCTGTGGATGTACCTGTGCCCGCCTCTACCTGTGTGCCCGTGTATTCGTGTAGTTCTAATCTCATCCAGCGCCGAGCTGAGCTTCCCCCAAAAGCTGTTTGCTTAATTCATAAATAGTTACTTATGAGCCCAGCCACAAGATGAGCCACAAAATGGAACTACAGGGGAGACTCTGAAATATAGAGTTTTCTTGTAAGGGATTTTTATATTTTTTTTTACACCAGTATTGTATATTTTTAAAATATTTTTAAATGTTAAAAGAAAATATCATCTTTTATAGATAAATTAAAAATATTGTAAGCATTTTATTTATATTTAAATTATTTTTTTAAAATAAACTCAAGCATAAAACCTTGGTTTCTACCTATATTTGATATTTGTATAAAATCGAACCTAATTTATTAGTTTAAAATCCCTTTTTAATACTCAAAATCTTTAAATTAAATTGAATTAAAGTAAAGTATTTAATTTAAGCTAAAACTCCCTTCAAGTTCGCCTTGTCTAGGCTTCACTGTAACTTAAATCTAGGCGGGGCAGTGGCTGTCTGTCACCTCAACTACTTAACCATCAAGTGAGATATTTTCTCGCATCTCCCTCATCGAAAAATGAAAAAAAAAGCTAAAAAAAAACAAATAAATCTTTTTGAAAACTACATTTTGTTGGCGAACCAAGAGCGTTACGGATTCGCAAGAAGCACAGGTAATTCCCCAAAAATCACACAATTAGCACTGAGGGAAATGTTTGATTTAATATAGACTATAATTCTGTCCAAGGATGGCCCTGAAAAGCATTATAAAGAAGCGACTTTGTTTGCTTGTAAAAATAAATTAGTTATTATAAAAATTAAATAAAATATATATTTACAAATAAGAAATGTTTAAGAGGTATTTAACATTAAAGTTATTGAAAAATATTGTTAGTTGTTATAGAAAATATTGAATAAAATATATTAAACAAAGAAAACTGTTTAATTTAGCTTTTGTTTTAATTTAAAGGTTCTTGAAAGCCTTTCTAAAACAAACATAAATTTAATAAAGAAAATAAACAAGCATTTAGACTCGGTTTTTAAATTAGTTCTATATTTCTTTTTAGAACTTTTCTTGAAAAAAAGACAAATAAATAAATAAAAATAATAACATTTTTTCTTTCAGTGCACACTGGCCCATGTGCGTAGCCAGCTTATTGGCATTGTCACTCATTCCGCCACCGAAATCTTGTGCATGGCTTCACGTAGCCAAAAACCAAATATCCAAATGGCCAAATGGCTGAATGGCCAAGTATCCGAAGCACGCCCAGATCGTGGCTCATCTGGGATTTTAGATTTCGGTTGTTGTTTCGCCTCATCTGAATCGCTTCTCGAAAACTCGTCCCGAGAAGCCACGTTGCCCCGTTGTCTGACGCAGAGACCTCTCCTCCACCTCCTCCGCCAAATATTACATTTATGTAAATGCCAGTGCGGCTCTTTGTTTTCCTATTGATCTGGTCTACTATGCAAATTAGGTCAAAACAAAAAGACTAAACATATATGTATAGGCAGAACGCACAAAAGATTTTCCATCTGGCGAAATGTTGTATGACAACAGGTTTCTTAGCCACACGAGATTCTCGTAAAATCCCTTTTTTTGGAATACAAATTTGCAGCATAAATAATTTTAAAAGCCTATGTTAGGTGAACTTTTTTGTGATCTACCATAGACAGCGCATCACAAAACTATATGGCGTTAAAAATGGACTTAAACTTGAACTTAACACTATTATTGTTTATTAATATTTCGGTTATAAAAAAGAGAAGCTTACAAAGCTTCTTTTTATTACCAATTTTCTTTAGCTTTTATAGTTAAATTCTCCTTTAATTCCTTAAACTTTTGTGACGCACTGTATTCTCCATAATCTGTATTTTTGTTTTCTTCTATTATCTTTCTCCCTAAAACCCCTCCCTCTTTTATTGACTGAACATGGCAAATATTAAATCATAGCCAATTTACACATTCCCATTTACAGATTTTTGGTACTTATACCCAAGGAAGTATATATTTATTTTTAATATATAGTATGCAGATTTATTAACCTTAAAAAGACTAAAACAGACTTTAATTTAATTCATTTTTTGATAAAAAACAAAAAATTTGTAATAAGCCGAAATTCAGTATTGCATCTTTTGCTAAGCTATATATATTCTATATTTTGATTTTAAATTAAGAAAAATATTTTTAAAAAATCTCTTTCTTTTCTTACAGTACATTTCCAGTATAATGAAGAAGTATCTGTACATATCTGTAGTAGGATGTCTGGAGCTGGACCAGCTCTGGCAATTTGCACCCACTTGGACGCACAGCATTCTCGGGCGAACGTTTTGGGCTTGGCTCTTGTGACTTTGACTTTGGCTTTGCTTTTGGCTTTTGGCACTTGATTACCATTAACAGCATTGTTAGGGCCGGCTAGCTTGCCCCACGATCTGCAGTTGGGCTAACTGAATGCGTAAACAGGTGACTGCCGGAGCTACCAACTCTCGGTTGGTACTCTCGGTTTCATTCACGACCAATTCCAAGGCCGTCGCTCGGGTTGAATGGGCTGGGCATCTCTTCTTTTGTGGCGACTTTTTCAATTAGGTGCGAAATTTCATTTTGTAATTGTGAAGCGAGGAATTGCCACAGTCGCCACAGTATGTAACCTGTTCAATGGTTAGAAATTCGGACTTTAAAAATAAGATTTTTATATACCGATTTTATTGAGTGTGAAAAGAATTTTGTGTAGAGTCTTATTTGTGGCTAGCAGACTTTTGGGCTTGCATTCATTCATTGCTTCTTTAAATACAGTTTTAAAACTAAAATAAGAACAAAATATAAAAATTATAATTAATTTAAGTAATTAATTAATATTTAATTACTAAAAGTTTAGCTAAAAACTTTACATTCCAGATTTGCTTACCTTTTCCTCTTTTTAAATTTCAATTAAACACTTTTTAGTCTATATTTGTTGTTTGCAATTTTAATAAATAAATAATTTAAATAATAAATTAATATTTTATTACTTACCTTTTCCTTTTATATTTTGTAAAATTTATATACATATATATTTTTTATTATGACTATTACTATCATTTAAGTGAAAATAACATTAGGAAAAATTTTATTTACTCTTAAATTTAATTTAAATTTTAAATTGAATCTAACTTTTTATTTAATCAATTTAAAAACACCTTCTTTTTGTCGTTAATTTATTTTTTCAAGTCGTTTCTTTAAACATTTTATTAGTTTATTTTTTAAAACAAAATCGTTGTTTAAAATTATAAAAAAAAAATTATACAAATTTCGTTTTTCAACACAGTCCCGAAGCCAAGCCCAGGGGCGGCGGTGGTGCTCCAAATCCTAGGCCAAAGCCACCTCCAGCGCCATAGCCAGCTCCAAAGCCATACGAGGCGGGCAGGGCAGCTCCACCTCCAAAGCCACCGATTCCTCCCAGTCCTCCGCCGAGACCACCACCAAAACCACTCACATAGCCAGCCCCTCCAGCCAGGACAGGTGATGCCACCGGGGTAGACACCGAGGTAACCACTGGAGTGACCACAGCCGAGGTAGATATGGCCGGAGCAGCGCCCACAAAGCCGCCAGAGTAGCCGCCTCCATAGCCAGCTCCATAGCCTCCTCCATAGCCTGCTCCATAGCCTCCAGAGTAACCGCCGCCTCCTGGCACCACCGACACCTTGATCACCTTCACCACGTTCTCGGGAGCATATCCATAGCCACCGCCATAGCCATAGCCGGAGCCGTAGCCCTGACCATAGCCATAACCTTGGCCATAACCATAACCAGAGCCATAGCCAGAGGCAGCTCCTCCGCCGAGCAGCAGGTTCAGCTTGCCAAAGGTGGCCTCTCCAGGCTGAGCCAAAGCCAGCACCAAAATCCAGGCCGTTGCCAGTGCCATGTAGAACTTCATGATGATATTAAGAGCTTTTCCAAAGATGTCCCAGCAAATCCACTGCAAGTCGTCGACTGATGAACTCCGATGACCGCAGGTCCGACTTTATACCCCATCAACTGGCCAGGGGCGACAATACCCAGCGATTGTTCTGTCCCCAAAAAAGATGTGTGTGTGTGTGTCCCGATGTGTGAAATTACTCAAGGGGCTACGAGAGGGCTCCGTCACAAACTATTTCTGTGTCAAAGTCAATTCTTCACTTATTTTACCAACCGCAAAAGGTTCAAGTTTGCTTAGAACCCGAAAAACCCCAAGTGAAGGCATTAAAATGCGAGGAAAAACGGTTATAATTGTGTAAATATTGCAGCTTAAAGGGAATTAACACTTTCGTTTTCAGGCGGCGGATTATGCAAGCGGATCTGTGGGTTAGCTCACGGGGTATTAATCGGTTCTGGGTAACAGTGAGACGAGCTTATTGAGAGCAAAAAGAAGGTTAAGAGTACCACCCTCTCTCCTTCTGAAAAACTTACCTCTAGATGGATATGTCCCAAGGATCACAAGGTCAGCCAGGCAGCAGCTAGTTTGTCAAATCACATAAAATAGCCCAAAATTGGGGAGAAAAATTCAGAGTATTTGGAGCGTTTAGGTGTACCTTTGACCCCCCGGTTTTCCGGTCATGAAGAAGCAAACCCGCACGCTGAGGAATCTCCGCCAGAGGCAGGGCGGCAGCAGCAGCAGCGAGGATGACTCGGCCAACATCAAGCTATTAACCTCGCCCCTTATAAGGAGGCGCACCAAGACCGACAAAACGCCAAAGGGAATGTTCTACAGCACGGACTGGGCCAAGACGGCGCTGGTGACCAACTTCCACAAGCGGGGCTGGCAGGAGGTGCCGGCTTTTGGCGGCGACTGGAACTTTTACTGGGCCGGCACCCAGAACTGTCGCTATATCTTTGGCATCGATCATCCCTATCGCATGCGATCCGATCAGTGGGTAGCCCCAGATCCACCTCACTTCCAGGTCATCTTTCATCAATTTCACCCACAGAATCATCAACCACTTTCCCAACTCCATTGAGCTCTCACGCAAGGATCTGCTCATCAAGAACATCAAGCGCTATCGCAAGGATCTGGAGCGTAGAGGGGATCCCCTGGCACAGACTCTGTCGCCGGACACCAAGCTGGGCATTGGCGGCACACGGTATAAACATCTGGATATTATACCCATGACCTTTGTCCTGCCCGCCGACTATCAACTGTTTGTGGAGGAATTCCATCAGAGTCCAGCCAGCACGTGGATCGTCAAGCCCTGCAGCAAGTCACAGGGCGTGGGCATCTTTCTGGTGAACAAGCTCTCCAAGCTGAAGAAGTACGCCTGCGAGGCCCGCACCTTCTGTCCGCAAATGAGCCGCGGTACCTGCGTGGTGGTATCCAAATACATAAAGAATCCGTTGCTTATCGGCGGCAAAAAGTTCGACCTGCGGCTCTTTGTCCTGGTGACCGCATTCGCCCCGCTGAAGGCGTATCTCTACAAGGAGGGCTTCTGTCGCTTCTGCACCGAGAAGTACGACCAGGCCGAGATCGACAATGTCTTTATGCATCTCACCAATGTCAGCATACAGAAGACCAATGTGAGTTGCAGGCCCGTAAATATATGTATATTTATACCCTTGCAGGGTATTATAATTTCAGTCAGAAGTTTGCAACGCAGTGAAGGAGACGTTTCCGACCCTATAAAGTATATATATTCTTGATCAGCATCAACAGGGGAATCTTTCTAGATATGTCAGGAAGAAATCGGAAATTTGGATTTTGATAAAAAATTGAATTTTCAAAATTTTTAAATGAATTTAAAATTTAAATTTATTAACTGTAGAAAATCTTGCACAGAACAGTTTTCCGATTTAAAATTAATGCTCTTTTGGCCAAGTTATGATATTTTAAATTTAAAAAAAAATCAAGAAGATTTTTTAATATAAAAAATCCGATTTTATAATACAAAATAATATTTTTCTGAGTCAAGGAATCATTTCCGACCCCATAAACCATATATATTCTTGATCAGCATTAACATGCGAATCTTTCTAGACACGTCCGGAAGGAATCGATTTTTTGGCCATTTTTGCGAAATTTGATAAGGGGTTACATCATTAAAATTAGCAAAAATGGCCAAAAATTTTGATTTCTTAAAATTTTAAATTTGGTATGCAGTTTTTTTAAATTAATAAAAACTAACACAAAACTGCTTTCCGAATCGAAATTAATGCATTTTTGGCCTAGTTATGATATATTTTAATTGTTACCTGCAAGGGTATACAAACTTTGGCTGGCCAAAGTTAGCTTTCTTTCTTGTTTGTTATTCGTTTTATAATCTTTTTAGCAAGAGTACAACTCCATACATGGCGGCAAGTGGCCCCTGCAGAACCTCTGGCTCTATCTGGACAGCCTTCGCGGCGAGGGCATCTCCCACCTGCTGTGGCACCGCATCTCGGAGACCATCCGCCACTCCCTGGACGCCGTGGCCCCGGTAATGGCCAACGATAGGCACTGCTTTGAGGTTTATGGCTACGACATCATCATCGATGACAACCTAAAGCCTTGGCTGATCGAGATCAATACGTCGCCATCCATGCACTCGACCACCGCCAATGATCGCATGCTCAAGTCGCGGCTAATAGACAATGTCCTGGATGTGGTGGTGCCGCCCAATAGCATGCCAGAGTGAGTAACTAAGGGATTAGGTTGAACTAATCCTTATTTGTGCCTTGTGTAACCAGCGAGCATTGGGACAAGACGCCGCGTCCAGAGCTGCTAAAGAACTTTACCGTGCTAATGCCCATTCCGCTGGCCAAGAAGCTGCCGGCGGTGGTGGTCAGGTCACCGAAGAAGCGGCCAGCCCGCCGAAGGAGAGCCGGCTCCAGGGTCCAGCCGGCTCAGGAAGATTCCTCCTCGGCTGTGAGTCAAAGGAAGAAGTGAGGCTGTGTTTTTTTTGTGTTTATGGAAATGTTTAGCTTTTAATTCGCACAAATTACTCTTAAGGATTATACAAAATTATAGTATATCGTATATATATATATAGATATATATTCGCTATACATATAGGCTTAGGCGCTAGCTATGTGGGTAATCGAATGGTTCGTATAACTAAGTTAAGCCTGTCTTTTTAGGGACCTCCGGAAGCCTAGAGGTCGGCTGCACAAATTCACCAATCACTAAACTTGCTTTTCTATATTTATATATATATATATATTTATAGTTATGTATGGATAGAAAAAAAATAGATAATTCACTCTACATTCATATAGCCTACATGTATATGATGCGGGTGGCTCCAAGTTTTACTTTCCTCACTGTTTGCACACAAAATGGCGTCCGCCTTAAAGCTAACACAAAAAAAAAGAAGAAAAACAAACAAACAAGTTTCTATGTACAAATTAAAAGAGAAACATAAAAAAAATGAATACAGAATATATATCGAGGGAGAGAATCATTCTCAAATCATTCATTCTTTTGTGTATAATTTTGAATGTGGTTTCTGGCTTTTGCGTTACTTATTATGCTATTTACAAAGGCGGTTTGACTTAGACTTAGACTTTAAGATGATTAACGGATTGCATTTCCATTATGAACAATTAAATCTAAGCTAAGCAGACGGACACTGGATGGGTCGTCGCGCTTTACAAGGGAATACTATCAATGTTACTCGTTACTTGCTACTCGTTACTCGTTACTCTCTTGGCTTCGGCTTCGGGTGCTCCTTCGAAATTATTTACGTTGTGATTTATGGGTCGTCGCACTTTACAAGGGAATACTATCAATGTTACTTGCTACTCGTTACTCGTTACTCTCTTGGCTTCCTTCTACATTATATTTATCTTGTGATTTATGTTTAACTTAGCCTAGATGCGTCAGGGTGGATGTGAAATTGTTTTGAATTCGTGTTCAGATCTAAAAACAAATTACTCGCTGATTATTTACTCTCTTTCTGTCGATAATCAAGTGTATAAAGTATATATAATGTTTCGTGGCTTAGAAAAATATCACGAATTACATATAGTGATGGTTTATATTCCAGTAGATACAATTAAATATTTGCCATTTGGTTCTCGAGAGGTTCACAAAAATGTACATATATTGCACCTCGAAACTATCGACTTACAAAATGATATATCTAGGGATTTATAATCGACAATAAACCACAATTTCACATATATTATTCGGATTATTCTGATGATTTTAACCCACCCCTGGGGGTGTTTACAAATGTGTGTGTGTGTGTGTGTGTACAATAGTTTTTCTTAAATATATTTAGATGAAAGCTCAGCACTCGGTGGCGTAGTAGAAGACCTCCACCTCCTCGGTAACCTCGCTGAGAATGGCCCCTTGGTCACCAGATTCCGATCTCGATCCCGAGCCAGAACCTGGTCCGCTTTTAGCGAGCACATCGCGTGTGGCGCGCGCATGCGCCAGCACCTATAGTCACACCTTCGAGGCGTGCGGCTGAGAGCCAGCGGTGCTGCCGTACTGAGCCTGTCCGGACATCTTTTGCACGGTCTGGTAGGTGGGCTGCTGCTGTGACTGCTGCTGCTGCTGCTGCTGGAGAAGCAAGTGCGCCGGTATGCCGCTCTGCTCGCGTATAGTCACCTGGGTAACAAAGGGTCCCCGACTGCGGGCGCTGCTATTCAAGCTAGCCGGCGAGTAGCCATTCATGGCCGCCGCCTTCCAATGCGGCACATTGATGGGCGACGAGGACGAGGAGGCTGCACTGCTGCTGTGACTGTGCTTGATGCTACCCACCCGCTGCTGCTGCACTGTCTCGTACTCGTAGTAGCTGCTCATGGGACGCATGCCGTTGGCCTGCGACTGCGGCTGGGCGGAGGATGGCTGGGAGCCAGAGCTGGTCGAATGCATGCTAATGTCCTGGGAGCGGGCGCTGCGCTGCGAATGGTAATGCTGATGTCGGCGACTGTGAAGAGTAGAGGGAAACACATTTTAGTTGTTTTTATTTATTTTATTTTTTAGTTTAAAGTTTCTTTTCTTTTCCACAAAAAAAAAACCCAACAATTATTTATTAAGGAAGGTGTTTCCTGGCCAGGACTGTTACCTTTCTGCCTCCACCTTGATGCGCTGCCGGATCACCTGCTGTCGCATGCATTCGAGCGTTGACTCCGAAAGCGTTTCCGAAATGGATGTGATGGAATCGCCTCGACTGTCAGGTATTTTATATACATATTTTTTTTTTTACCAGTGTAGATGTTAGGGTAGTCGTATGTGTATGTGTGTGTGTGTGTGTGTGTGTGTGTGAGGGTGTGCGTGTGTGGTGAGTTACACAAAAACAACAACAACAAACATAGACAAAGAGCCACGGATTAGACAGAGAAAGAAAGAGAGAGATTCAACACAAACAATGTTAAGGTTAAATGGTATAAAAAATATATTAAAAAATATTTAAAAACACATTTATTAATTGTTAATTAAATATTAAGGTTGAATGGTTTTAAAAATGTTTAATAGCATGTTTTAAAAATGTTTAAAAATATGTTTAATATTTATTAGTTCGATTTTAAAGTAAAATGGTTTCAAAAATGTTGAAAAATATTTTTTAAAATGTTGAAAAACACATTTATTAATTGTTAATATATATAAGACATTCCCTCACCCTTAATAAAAAGCTTAAGAAATCGACAAAGAATAGAGATGGCTCACCTTATCTGATGAAGCTGCTGCTGCTGCTGCTCCTGGTGCTGCAGATCCTCGTAGTTGGCATAATGCTGATAGCGATGGTTGAAGATGTCGTTCTGGTGGATGCCACCATTTAGCTGCGATGAAGCACCGATCACCCCATTGGGAGCTGGTAGAGGTGGCGGCGGCTGATACGCCGGCGGCTTGCCATTACGCTCCAGAGCGGCCAAAGCAGCAGTGGGTACTTGCATCATTTTGGGCACATGTTGATGCTGCTGCTGCTGCTGCTGCGGGGAGGTGGCTGATGAAACCACCGAACTGGGCGGCGATATGGCCACCGAATAGGTATCCACTGGCACCACGCCATCCTTGCGATTCTTGCCAAAGCGGAACATGTGCCCAATGCCGCGCAATATGCTCGGCTTCTTGGCCCGCGACGATTTGCTGCCATGCTTGCCATCGTTCAGGGAACTCTGGAAGGGTCCATTGCGCTGCGAGGCAAAGCCACCTTCGTGGTCGCCCTCCTCCAGCAGCCAGGTCTTGCGGGGCTCTGCAAGATTTTCAATCAATTGAAAACCCATCGATTTATGGCTTCCATTTATAATACTCACTGTTGGCATCTGGCTCACTGACCACCGCCGCTCGCAGGCTATCCTCCCGCCCGCGACCACGCGGTGCCCGCAGAGCATGATGTCCCCGCGGCTCATCCGACATCTGCAGCTCCTGCACCATCGTCTGCAGCGACTCCAGCGACGAGGACTTCTTCATGCCAAGTGATGGACCCAAATCACCCAGCTGATCGCGGGCCTCCGCCTCCGCAGCAGCCAACTGCTGCTGCGACTCCCTTTGCTCAATGCTGGACGCAGTCTTGGCATGCTTATAGCCGGAATTAAACTGGGCATTCGCACTGGCAATACGAGCCGTTAGCGACTCAATGGAGCCGCCGTATACAGCCGACTTGGTCAGCTGAATGCGACGCTCGCGGTCCCGCTCCTCGCGCAACTTCTTGTTCCGCTGATACGTGCCCGTCTCCCGGGCATCCAGCGCTGCATGATGCTTCTCCGAGATGCTGCGGCGTCCCAGGGCATCGCGCGAGAAGTGCTCCACCCCCGAGTTGGTCTCCAAGCTGAGCTGCGACGAATAGGTGGCATCAAAGTTGCTGGACGATGAAGGAGTGCCCGGGACAATGGCCGACGGTCCACCTTGATTGCCGGCGGTGGTCGTCATCGGTTGCGATGAGTTGGCGCTGCTCGCGTTGCAGTGCTGTCCATCGTGCGAACGCGCCGGCAGGGTTCTAGGACATGGGAATTAATTATTACTGAATTCTCTGGGGGGAAAGTGACTTCAACTTACGGTGACATGGGCTCGGCATCGTCCTCGATGAGCAGCGCCGTATTGCCATGGCCCGTGAGCAGATGCAGCTGTGCCGGCGACCAGTTATCGTTGGTGGCCATGTAGTAGCTCTCGTTCCGCAGCGCTGCATTGTTGCTTAAGGGAGCCGGCGGCAGGCGACGCTGCTGATGCGAAGACTGTGCCTGCTGTTGCGAGGGATGGTGCGGCTGCTGCTGCTGCTGGAGCTTCTGCTGGGATGGCTGAGCTGAGTTGGAGGAGCAAATGCCACCGGTTAGACGATCCAAAACGGGATTGCTCCATCTGTTAAAGGGAAAACTTTTTAAAATATAGTTCAAGTCAAGGAAAGTAGCTCCTACTCACCTGTTCATCTCATTGCCAGCCCCGCCTCCACTTCCACCGCCATTGCAGCGCTGCTCCCGCTTCTCCGGACTCAAATAGATGACCGTGGCTCCTGAATTATCGCTGGCATTGGAGCTGCTATTATTGTTATTGCTATTTCCATTGGAGTTGGAATTACTGCCACCGCTACTGCTATTACTATGGCTGTGACTGTGACTGTGATCTAGTATGTCACTGGAGCTGGCCGAGCGCAGAATTTTGCGACCCACCAGCAGGGTAATGGTGCCCGGATGCTTGCCCGGCGTATTCACCATTGCCCGACGCAGCGTCTCCATGGCCTCGGCATTGTTCTGGCCACGCAGCGATACTCCATTCACGCTCAGCAGCTGATCGTTCATACGCAGGCGTCCATCCCGAGAGGCAGCACCGCCATGGATCACATTTTTTACGAATATGCCCAGGTCGCCGTCGTGCTTCATCAGCTGCTGGCCATTGCTGCCGCCGGAGGTGGCACTCGAGACGGAGGCATTCAAATTCGAGCAAGTCTTGCCCTTGACACTGACACCCAGGCCGGCCTTTTCCGTATCATGGACGGGAATGTGGAGGGTCAGCTCCTCGCGGGAGTTCCAGCTATTGCTGCTGGGCGGAAGGCTGTCCTGTGGGTGGGTAAAAGAGGAATCTTTAGGTTTGATCGGTTCTTAAAAGGGTTTTCGAGCTGTAAACTTACATTGGAAGCTGCTGACTCACTGCCCGCATCGATAAAGTGCTGAGATTCGTTGAGCAGCTGCTGCTGCTGCTGCTGCTGTTGGTGCTGGGTAAACAGGGACCTGGCACTGCTTGATTTCTGCACAGGAACAGGAGCAGGATTAACCTGTGCCGGCACAGAGGAGGTACTTTTCTCCGTGGATTGTTCACCACCCGCCGCTGGCTCGGCCAACTCCTGCTGCCGAGAGACCACAATTCGCACAGTGGCACCTGCTGGCATGCCCCTTAAAATAGCCACCACATCCGTTTGGGTCTTGCCCGTCATGGGAGTGCCATCCACTTCCAGCAGGCGATCTCCGGGCTTAAGACGTCCATCCTCAATGGCAGCGCCACGCGGCAGTATGTTCTTAATGTAGATGGGACAATGGCCACCGGCGGGATTGTCACGCGTTGTCACCGAGAAGCCCAGGCCATTGGGGCCCTTCTTGAGCAGAATCTCAATCTTGCGGCCCAGCTTACGGGTGTTGGCCACCTGCAGCGAGGTGCCCACGGGAGCGGCATGAGGCTTGCGGGTTGGAGATACCGTGGCCACCTCCACCATTTCGGCCACCTTGGAGTCGCGCTGCTGGCGACGATTGCCTCGGTCGCCTCGGAGCACCCTCACCCTTAGCTCGGAGCTCTCCAGGGCGCGTCGCAGTTGCTCCTGCACCTGAGATTCGGTGAGTCCAATCAGTTTGATCCCATTGATCTCCAGAATGCGATCATCGCGACGCAGCCGGCCTCGTTCCGCACGACTCCCGGGCTCTACATGCTGCACCAGCAGACCGCCGCCATGCTCCTTGTCCGGCAGAGCAGTGAGTCCCAGCGGACTACCGTACTCGTTGATGATCAGCAGCATCTCGCCATCCTTCTCCCTGATCGACTCATAGGCCTGGCCCAGCGGCTCCTTCCTCTTAGTCTCCCTGGGCAGGGACTTGCTGGAGTAAGCACCGAGCATGCCCGACGACGAGGATGACGACTGCTGGTAGGCCTGCTGGTGGGCCGGCTGTTGGGTCTGCAGCTTCTCGGCCGCCTCCATCCACTTGTAGCCGTTGCCATCGCCCAAAAACTGCATGGACAGGCGACCGGAACGGGCGAATGGCTGATGATTACCCGCTGCTGTCCCATTTACATTCGCGGCATGCTGCGGCTGCTGGTGTAGCAACTGCTCCTTTAGCTGCTGACTGGGATCGTCCTCTTCCTCCCACTGCGGCGACAACTGCCCACCGGCCTTGTCCAGCAGCAAGCGCTCGGGTGAATCACCGCCGCCGGCATAGTGAGGTGCCGCCGCCGACCAACGCTTGTTGCTGCCCTCCGCCTTGAGGGAGGCCAGCAGGTTGGGATCACTGCTGCGACGTACCATTAGGCCCACGCCCAGGCCAGCCATTGGACCAGAGGTGGTACTTGTCACCTCGATGTGCGGTGTGGACAGGTCACGGGGACAGGTGGGCGCCTCGGTGTTGGTGGGATCACGGAAAATGTCCGGTGAACCAGTGCCCACAGATGAGCTGCCAGAGGCTCCGTCACCGCCGCCCTGGGCAACGCCCGGATCCGGTCCAGGGTCTTCAAAGTGAGCGAGTATCTGCTCCCGGTCATCGGCCACATCCCGCACACAGTCATCCGGATCGAGGATGCCTGACTGGGTTTGCAGATGTGTCACTGTCACCCAGGAATCGGGCTGAAAATAGGGGGAGAAAAATGGGGAAATTAATTTGTGAAATTTTGGGAAATTATATTATATATTATATAATAATTATATATATATTATAATTTCAATTATTATAAAATTAAAAACAGGGGATTAAAAATCAACTAATCCCTATAAATAATCCCTTCTTCTTGTCTTCCTATAAAGATAAAGCCATCTCCATTAGTTTGAGACCATGTGGCGCGGAAGTCTTTTTCAACGAGCAACAAAGGCCCTACTACTACTACTCCTCCTCCTCCATCACATCTGCAATCTTGGCTCAGTCTGGGCAATAGCATCTTGGAGTCGCATCGTCTTTCGGAGCCACTTCTCACAGGCCATCATCTTGCCATCTGCAGCAGCATCTGTGTGCTGCTTCCGCATAGAGCAGCCACTCTACGTGTTGAGTCACTACGGTGTCCGAATCAACGAATCTATGAATCTACGAATCCAAGTCCCTCCATCTCTCGCCTCACGTGGGCTCAACTTGAACTCCCTGGGCGAGTTCCCAAAAAAAGACAGACCGCATCGACCTCCAGCGCCCCAAATTGCAGTATTTTCGAGGCAAGGAGCTAGCGTTGCTTTTGGCATTCCGATGGATTCCACAACCAAATGCCAAATGCCGGCCACAAGCAACTGAGTATGCACAGAGGAAAATGGTATAGGAACTAAGGGAAACTAGCAAGGTATTTTATATTATATAATTATAATAAAATGTATATTAAAATAGGAAGAAGATATATTAAAAATAAAGAAGTGTAGCAGCCACTGAAATCCTTTAAATTGTACTATATACAAATTGAGTTTTTTGTGCAGTGTATAGAAACAAAACAATTGCATCATGGCTATAGAAAAATAAAGCCCAAAAAAAAAACCAGTCAAAAGCGTTGGAGGTTCAACGACTGAGACGAAGAGCTGCAGAACTGGAACGTCTCGAACGTCAACTTGGCGCAATAATTTCGGCTATTTTTTGCTTCTCCTTCGTTTACCTAAACTCTGTTTTTTATTTTTGGTTTGTTTCTTCACATGGTTTGTTCGCTGATGTGTTTGTTGTTGTTGTTGTTTGCCGCTTTTTGTGGGTCAAAGAGCGCCTATTCATTCAGGCATTCTATCGCTTTTGCAGCGTCCAAATCGCGATTTGCCGCAAAGAATGCAGTTTGGGCAGCACAGTGGGTTAAAAACGGTAAAAAATGTTCAAAAATCTGCCAATTTTTTTTTTTTTTTATTTTCATAGTTAATATACCATAAATAGAAATTTTGTAGCACCTTTTTAAAACAATAATTATTTCTGTAAAATTCACGTATGAAAAATGTGTGTCTCACTTGATTCGAAAGGCAAATTTTTATCATTCTATATTCATCTTCTGTATTTATTTTTTCTGTATTCATTCCATTGTATTCATTTTCCCGTATGTATTTATATGTATCCTTTCTTCTGTATGTAATATCATTCTGTATTTAGATTTGTATTTGTAATTTTTCTGTATTCATTTAAATATTTCCCCTTAAAATAATAATAATAATACGAAATAATTCCCCTTAAAAAAATCCCTTTGGCCCCACTGTGCCTCTTTGATTATATTTCTTTATGGTCATTTGTCAATGGAAATTATGCGGCAACGATCCGACAACGATCTCGTTCTCATATATCATATATAAAAAAAACTATGGAAAATGTGGGCGTGGCGGCTGAACAACTAACAAGTGTCGTCGTCGTCGTCATCGTTGTCGTGTGGGACTTGGCAACGAACCGGAGGAATGCCAAAAGAGATTGTGATTGGATTTGTCATGTGTATATATCAATGCACGTTGTTTATCAATAATAAAAAAATGTTTAAGGTATATACAAGAATTTCCAACTCTGCTTAAGAATTTTTTGTATCTGAGAGATAAATGTTTATTAAGTATTGATGAGGCCTTGAATTTTCTCCCAGTGATTCTATCTTTTGGGCATCTTTTATGGATGCATCTTTGTATGATATATCTTTACCTTTACACACGAATAGGCCGAGGGCGAGGGCGGCCTCTTGGGCAGCGTGAGGGAGTAGGACTTGTGGAGCTGGCCATGGGGAATCCCCTCATGCTTGGCGGCCACCTTGTAGGTGTGTCGCCACCCAAAGAGGCCGCCCAGCTTGGTGGCCAGCGCCGGGCACTTGGGCGGCACATCGAACATTTTCGTTTCGGAATCCAATCTTTGGTCTTTGCTGTTTTAGCTCTGGAAGCCCACTTGCTTCACTGCTTATTATTTGTTATTTATTACGTATTTGTTTTGTTAGTTTTTTATTATTGTTGTGTTTGCCTTTTCGTTTACGTTTTTGCACTGTTCACAGTTTTTAACGATTAATCGTAATTTGAGGAACATATCACCGCTCTATAAACACACACAAAAAAATATATATATCTTCGTTATGATTCAACGCACTTAGTCACACGGTCTTTAGTCTTTTGTCAATATTATTATTATTCTTGATTTATTCTGGCTTCTTATCGATGATGCAATGCGACAGTCTTATCAGAGGAACACTATCAAAATGCAGTGGGAATTGGCTGTCTTATCAGAGGCATACGGAAATACTATCTCCGGAATAGTATATGCGACGACATTGGAAGGCAAGATAGTAGTTTTGAAATCAGGTTGTATTATCTCTATTTAAATTTAAGAAGGAACAAGCTAAATATGCCTAATAGTATGATATGGAGTCTTAAAGGCAACGAGGTCAGTGTGAATTCTTATTAAAAGATTTTGAAAACCCTATTGATTTCTGTAATATTCCCCACTTTTTGAGTAATAAAACTCCTTTTCAGCAGTCCTTTATTTATAAGCTAACTAAACATAAACAAAAAGAACTTCAAGCCAGACAAAACACAATAAACACAATCAATAATAAACAAATTTTCTTATCGAAACTATAAACAAATGGAAGAAGATATACATAAATAAATAGATAAACAAGAAAGGAATTTTAAGAAAAACAAGTTTAAGAAACTTTAAGCAAAGCTAAGAGCTTGAGGCGATAATTTAAACATTTTGTGGTATTTAATTATTAAATTAAAATGTGTCTAACTGTGTCTTAATTTAAGCCAAATAAAATTTTAAAGCCTTATTTAAACATATCCTAACTTTAGACCAAACTTTCCTGTTTTCCATTCTCCGTTTTCACCCAAATGTAACCCCATTCTTCATGTAGGTTTATAATTATTTTACATTTTGTGGTTAGAAGCAAACGTGTTTGAGGCTCTAAGAGAGTCAGCACACAAACAAAGCATTTTCGCATTTTCCATGCAGTAATTTTCCCGCTTGCCTCTCGGCAGTCGGAAAAACGGCAACAAGTTGCACGGCTGGCATTATTTTATTTCCATGTTCGTGCTCAGGCATTTTGCCTATAATATATATATTTGTATATACATATGTACATACAGCTGTGTTCACTGAAATAGCAGTGCGACAGAAAAACAACTTCAAAACGTTTTTTTGTACATATTCCTTTTTGCCAGCTGATATATTGCACATTGTTTTTGTAAAATGGAACATAAAGATAAGAATCGAGAAAAAATTCCGTTAGATTTGCTCTATTTTTATGTTTTATTGATATTTTTTCACATATGCAGCTCGTTTTGGCCGATCACTGAAATAGCAGTTTTTAATTTTATTTCGCAAAAAGTGCCGAAATTTCTTTTAATTTTGTAAAAAATGAGTTTAATTACGGTCATTATTATAGTTTATACTATAATACACCTTTACAACGCAAAAAAAATTATTTTTGTGGGCGCAGGACCTCACTGCTCCATGAGAGAAAGGTATCAGATAACTTAGCCTAGAAAGAAGGCAAAACATGTAAAGAGTCTCTAAATCTTTCAAATTGTTCTTTTAAAATAGTTTATAAATCATAAAATATGAACCGAACCCAAAAAAACCGAGGTATGATTCGCAAAAACCACAGTTGTACAGGCTCGACGCGTACTTTGCTTCAGCAAAGCTCGTCCTTTTGCATCCTCTAGGGATATATGAGCGGGAATTGGCATGGGAATCAGTCATGGGACCATTCGCCGGGGACTTATTGAATAAATTCTAGATTCGCGAAGACCATGGAAAATGTCACTGCTTGGTTAAAGGCATATCAAGGCCAGATTGGAGTTCGCCAATAGCCACTTGAACTGCCACTATTCAAATGGCGTTATATCCGTTGGACAAATGACTCCAAATTGGTTTTATTTGGTGGAATAGGACAAGATAATATGTCCGTCGACCTCCAAATACATAGTACCCCCAAAACCATACGCTGAAGACAGTAAAATACGGTGGCCTAAAAGTCATGGTATCGGTATACTTTTCATACAACGTTGTAGGTCCTGTATATATGATCTGCGGGATCAAAGACCATTATGTTTATGTCTAAATATTAAAAACTGTCTAGCAGCCGTATCCTGAGGAAAATATGCCATTAATTTGGACATTTCAGCAGTACAGTGACCCTAATCATACCAGCAAGGTAGCCAAAGAGTGGGTTCTTAATGAAAAAGTGGATGCAATGCCATGTCCTGCACAGTCCCCGGATATAAATCCGATCGAAAACTTATGGGGGACATCAAGGGCTACGTATTAAAGAAGTTTCCGACTTCTAAGATGTAGCTTTGGCAATTTGTGCAGGAGGAATGAGGCCATATTCCCCTCAAGCGTTGCTAAGACTTGGTGGACTCCTTGCCACCCATGTATGAGGCTATAATAGCTTCTAAAGGCTATTTAACAAAATATTAGATCATAGTCAATTAGAATTTAAGAAGAAATAGGTTTCTTATACGATATTTTTAAATTTATGAAGAATTTTAGTTTTTCACTGCTATTTCAATGATCGGCATAATATAGACCTTTTTTGTTGTTATTAGCTATATCTTCTAAAGGGTTTATGTTACCTAAATTAAATGATTGTGGTATTGTTAATAATTAAATACACTAAGCCTTTATGAAAAAAAATTTGATGAAAATAGTGTTT